TGTCGGCTTGGTTTTTTTTAAGTTCCCTGCTCAGAGTGTGACGCTTTTGTGGGATATTTAATCCCTGTACATTGTGGGAGTATAGTTTTAGATTGAATGTGTGTGGGAATTGGATGTGCTGTTTCGGTCTTCACTGTCTCGTGTGTTGGCTAGCGGTGGGTCGCCGCTCTTGTTCTGAGAAGAGTGGCCGGGGGTGTTTTTCGTTATACGTCGGTGTGGCGGGTGACCCGTGATCGGTTCTATGAGGCGGATATAGTGTACTAGTGGAATGTTAACCCTGCCTTTGTGTGAATTGCATACAGACATAGATGATGTGATTTGTCTTTGAGCATAGGTGAATTGAAAACATTTAACATATTTACAATAACATAAACATAACAATTTTTGAGATCTGGCTCTTGTGCCCTGGTCGTCCATCAGGGCGCAGTTTATCCCGCTAGTTCCTCCTACTAGCTCTCCCTATCTGGGGGGTTGGGAAGTCCGGTTCTGGCCTCCTGGCCGAGCCAGTGGTCGCTGCCCCAGGCCAGCGGCTCTAATCTAGGCTACCTTGGGGATGTGTTTTGAGGGTTGTCTGACTCACAGGGAGTGTTGGTAGGAGCAGAGGGATCTTGCCATCAATCCTGTGTTCTTGATTTGGAGATGGGCATGTGGGTTTTTAACGTGGAGGTTTGGAATTATCACTTATCTAGGGGGGGCTGCGGGCGTTGGAGTGGGATGTTGGTTTGGCAGAGAGGCAACAGCTTGCTCCCCCGTTCCCCTCTTTTAGTCCATGTTACTGGTATCTCTATACTTTGCTTGCCTCACGTCCCCTAGGGGGCGGGAGTAGCAGTGGCCCCTACATGGTTTCCCAACTGTTGGCTCGCTATGTGGGAAGGATGGTGCACGTGGTTTAGGTAGCATTTTTAGGGTCCATTAGTCTATACTGTCTATGGGGCTCCTGCCCTCGCTTGGTTCTATGGCCCTATTGTCTTCTGACCCTGACCTGGTGCTGCTCCTGGGGCACCGCCCCACCACCCTCCATGTCTCCCCGCTTTGAGCCCTTGATCCCGCTTCTTATTTTGGCTATGTTAGGTAGGTGGGGTAGTTAGTGGGTATGTTTTCAGGGGGGGCTACAGGGTCGGAGACCCTCTCGCGTGGGTCGTATCCTACTGTCTAGACGGGGTCCCCGCCCCATGGTGGTTAACTTTCCCCTCCTGTTGCCCCTTCACTCACAGTTCCTCTCCCCCCTCCCAAGTCCCCCTCCCCCTGTTCCCTACATATATGAAATAATGATCCGTAGTGTTAACACAAAAACAATTGTAGCGAGTATATTACCCTCTCTCGTCGTGTTTCCCTTGGTCGACGGTGAACAATGTCCCAAAGTCCCTGAAAAAGATTAGCAGTGACCATGGTGTATTTTGCGTTGATACTGTCCGTATGGATGTCATCCGTCATCCCCTGGCTTCCGTCACTATGTTGCGGTGTGTTTCGGCGTTTTGGAGTGTTTCACCGTCTGCCACTCTTGGTGCAATGTCGGTCGTTTGTTTGGTTTGTCCCTGTTTGTAGCTAGAGTGAGGCCCCAAGAGCGCAGCAGTCGGGTTCCTTCTTCTGCGGTTGAGGCAATATGGGTCTTGCCGTCTCGTAGGATCAATAGCTTGATTGGGAATCCCCAGCGGTACGGGATTTTCCTGTTCCTGAGTTCAGCTGTGACGTCCTTGAAAGTTTTCCTGCGTCTAAGTGTTTCGGCCGAAAGGTCTGCGTATATCTGGACCTCTTTATATCTGTCCGGGAGATCTTGTAGAGGTTTCTTGGAGCGCAGGAGGGATTCTTTTACGTGATAGTAGTGTAGTCTGAGCATCACGTCCCTCGGTATTGAGGCTGGCAGATGTTGTGGCTTTGCCACCCTGTGCGCCCTATCCATGAGTAGCATGTCAATTGGGAGGTCAGGAGCCAAAATATGGAACAGGTCTGTGAGGTATGTCATGAGGTCTGCAGCCTGTACGTCTTCAGGTATACCTCTCACCCGGAGATTTTGGCGCCTGGATCTGTCCTCAAGGTCCATGTTTTTTACTTCTTGCTTCTCAAGCTTTGCCTCCAGCTCCTCAATTTTTTCTGCCATGCTGTTGTGTGCTTCGGCATATTCCGCCATCTTGCTTTCCATGTGGGCTGTACGGTTTCCTATGTCGGCAATATCTTTCTTTAGGTCCGCTATTGCTGCATGGACTGTTGTTTGTATTTTTGCAGCCATGTCATCTAACATTGTCTGGAACAGCTCACCGTGTATTTGCATGGTGCTGGGTGCAGGCTGTTGTGGGGAATGTGGCTGGGGAATTTCCTGTTCATCCCCACTGCCGTCGCCATCTTGTCCCGTCTGAGCCTGTGACTTGTGGCTTGCCGTTTTCGCGGCGAAAAACTAGTGTTTTTCTTTGGCGTCGGTCACCCTCCTTGCTCCCCTCTGTGACATTGTGGCAGTACCTCACTCTGGGGAGTGTTTGTGCCGGTAGGATGCTGTTTGTGCCGCTGTATTTAGCCGTCGGCTCGGGAGCTCTCCACTCACGCGGCCATTCCGTTCGAGCGCAGGCTCCGCCCCCTGCAAGTGTCTTTTTAAAGACAAGAGCTATAACACTGCCGGCGGATGTGGATACCTGCCTGGAAGAAGGGCTGCAGTGTATGAGGCAGAGGGGACGATAACTGCCTGGAAGGAGAGCTGCAGCCTGGTCGGGTGGAAAAGCACCAGAAGGACCTCAGTCAAGCTTCGGTGACTGGGGCTGCAGTGTTCCAGGGTCCATGCAAGCGGCTAGGAAGCAGTCTGGGCGCAGGTACTCGGTCGGAGTACAGGAGCTCCGTCACACGTTGTGTCTACCATCAGCTTACAGAGCCCCAGCTCATTTCACATGATTATAGATAAAGCTGCATCACTGTAAGCTGATGGGGGACCTATTAGAGAGTAGGTAGGTTCTTGTTCGTCTTATGGAAGCACAGTTATCTTCCTCTTGCAACGTTTCTTCATGGCAGCTGGGATTAATATACTTTTTTTTTTATATATAATCCTTTAGTTTTTTATGCATAGGAAATATAAACGGTCCTGTCATGCCCCAACAGCAATAGCGAGACAAGCAGGAATTGTAAGCATAACACTGCAAGGTAAATGTGGTAAACTGCACATTTTTATAGCATCATGTTAAACAAGTATGTAAGTCAGGTGTGTGTATTGAGTAAAGGGGAGAAAAGACGTGTGTCACCGTCTCACAGTACAGTTGTGAAAAGGTTGGTGTGGTAGACTAGTATGTAAGACTGGTAATATGGAGCAGGTAGCACCAAAGGGCTCAAACCCAAGAGAGTCCTTTCAGGCAAACCACGTTAGTACGTAAGTACTAATTGATTTTTGAAAATTACACAAAATGAGCAATTATGTACATTCGGACAGGTACAAGGGAGAGTGGAACTCCTTGCACCATAATCTATGCACTAGTTGTTATGATGCCTTATATTTTACCGATATGTTAGATTTAATAAGATACTAAATACATGTACGGTGTTACAGAAAAACAGACATACTGTATTCTTGTGTTTTTATTGTGAAGAAAGGACGATCGGTCTTGTTATGTGACAGTATCTCCTAATCATGTGTGTGACAGCAAACAGAAGGCAGATTGTGCACAGTAATGATTTCAGTATCTCAGCTGCAAACGTATTAGAACCAGACGGTCACGGGTCATATGTTTCAGAATTATCCACTTTTTCCATCTATTAACCCTTAGCGTGATCATGAGGTCCATTATATACACAAGAGGCAACAAAGTCTCTAATCAGAACTTTGTAACCACTGGTTTAGGACCCACAGCTAGACCTCAGGTATTTTCATGAAAAAATGCAGTGTTTACATTGCTCCCTAGGGACACCTCTAGTGGCAGTTTTAAATATATTTTAAAAAATGCAGCCCATTTGGAAATTCTCAGGATTCTAATTGGCCAGTCTAGATCTCCGTAACCTATCAAAAAAAAAGGGTACAGTGGGGGGATGGGCTGGAGAAATGAACACAGCATCGATTAGGTACATATTTTAAGGGGCTGCATAATTCAGGTAATGAATAATGGAGTACATTTTTTTTGACTACAGCCTCACATTTAACGGCTTTAGCCCCTAAAGTCCCTCATTAACGACACCCTTAGAACAGGTATCTCATATTTGTCAAACTCTAGACGGACTACGATAAACTGTTCCCTGTAGTGGCACGGCCTTCTCTTTTGTAGTGAAGATCCCTTGGATACTGGTGGAAGAGACTACTGAAGATGTTTTGTAGAATGTATTTTAGCATTATTGTACGACACTTGAAGAATGGGTGACCAAGCTAATTTTACACTCTAGGATTGGATCATCAAATATCTTTGCCTATATTGGCAATTCAGTTTTCGACATCCTTCAATTGACTATTTAGTAAAGAAACACCAAATTAGTTATGACTTATCCAACAGGAAATTGCTTCCAAATTACCCTCGAATTTGTCTATTCAGCTATTTATTTGGAGATTTCATCTCTCATGGTTTTTGCAGACGAAATAAAAAAAAAAAATCTGTCTGCTTTTTGTTCTTTTATAAAGTTGCGTAACTTTAAGAAGCATTAGTTTTCTTTCTTCTTTAGTAAATCATGCTCATATGAGTGCAGCTAAAATTCCCTCCGGGGGAGAGTTAACGGGTCGGATCCAAAATTATTCTCTTGTGGAAACAAAGGGATGTTGTAAAAACCCTAATGGACAAACAAAGTGTAGATTGTGAGTAGGATGGGATAAGTTCCTTCAAAGGATAAAATGGGTATGCAAGCGAGGGACATACAGTGTGATTATTGTGTAACCTCTATCCAAACCCCAGCTGTATTTACTACCCAAAACTTGCTATGTAGTGTCACCGTGTGCGTCTTCCGGTCTTAAGCAGTAAACAAACTCTGGTTTTAAGATTTGTCCATTTTTAAAATGGTTAACTTTAAATGTCTTCGTTTTTCTTTAATGCTCCTGCCTTTGTTGCGTTACTCTGTAAATAAAACTTTAATTCTTGGCACTAAGTTATTGCTATGTTTTGTTACAGACGTCTATGAAGCAAAGACCAAAAACTCATCATGTCGGTGATATACAGCGAAGTTGCGGTTGAAGATGTCTCTGGTAACAGTTTCTGGATGGTGAGACACTTCAAATACGATGATAAGCAGCAAAGACACCAGTAACTGATTAGTTCATTAATAAAGTCATGTGTTGACAACATAATTTTATCTCTTAATAAATCAGTAGTAAGACTTCACATTAAATATTTAGTGTACCTTTGGCACCAAATTTCAAGAAGGACATATTGGAATTGAGAAAAATGCAGAGGTGGGATGCGAAATTGTAAAGGTGGATGGAAGTAGGGCTGCCATCAGAAATTTTAGGGCCCCTGACACAGCTCAAGATCTGGGTCCCCTGGGCCAGCCCCGAGTCCACCCACAAGGATGAAGTGTGTGTGTGTCATGGATGCAGTTTGTATAGTGGATGCGGTATGTGTGTCATGGATGCAGTGTGTATAGTGGATGCAGATTGTACGTTTTGTGTAATGTATGTAATGTTTGTATGCATGCATTAGATGCAAAGGTGTGTGTGTAGTGAATGTAGGTGTGTATAGTGAATACACAGTGTGTGTTTTTGTAGTGCATGTAGTGTGTTTGTAGTGAATGTAGTCTGTAGTGAGTGCAGAGTGTGTATAGTGCATGTAGTGTGATTGTAGTGAGTGCAAAGTATGTTTAGTGAAAGTAGTGTGATTGTAGTAAATGCAAAATGTGTATAGTAAATTGTAGTGTGTTTGCAGCGAGTGCAAAGTGTGTATAGTGATTGTAGTGAGTGAAAAGTGTGTTTAGTGAATGTAGTGTGAGTGTGTGTAGTGCAGATTGTGTTTAGTGAATGTAGTGTGTGTGTAGTGCAGAGTGTGTTTAGTGAATGTAGTGTGAGTGTGTTTAGTGCAGAGTGTGTAAAATAGGCGGGAGGGGAGTATTTTTTATTTATTTGTGTATATTTCAATTCTATTCCCCCCTCCCTGCTTCTTACCTTGCCAGGGAGGGGGGAGATTGCATACCCTGGTGGTCCAGTGGCATGGTGGAGGGAGACAGACGCTGTACATTGCAGAGGGGGGCCCAGCAGCACACTGTCTTCCTTTCCAGCTCCTCTCTGACTAACTCTCGCGAGACCGGCCTGCGTGCTGTGCGGAGCGTTGCCATGGTAACCTGTGGCAACGCTCTGGTGGCCGGAGGGCGCAGGAAAGTTAAACAGAGAGCAGTTGGAAAGGAGGACAGAGTGTGCTGCTGGGCCCCCTCTTCAATGTACAGGTAGCAGCGTGCCCACAGTGCACATATATATAGCGAAAATCGCTATATATATGCACATAAGGAAGGTGGGGCTTGGACTGCCAGAGTAGTCCGGGCCCCCCACGAACGCCGGGCTCATGACAACCGTTATGGTTGTCATGCCCCGATGATGGCCCTGGGTGGAAGACTTTAGTTATGAAGAGAAGTTGCCTTAAAAAAAAAAAGTATAATACACTTAACGCGTTTCACCATACAATGGCTTTCTCAAAAGTGTTTACAGAAGGAAGGACCAGAGCTGCTTTAAATAAGGAGGGAAATTCAAAAATAACTACTGTGTGATTCATGGGTCCCATGGCCAACATTAATTAACATAATATTTATAGAAAAAGATAAAAGAGCAAACTATATACTTATACGGTGTAATATTATAAATAATAATAAAGATATAACAATGAGCCAGTAAACCTTATGAAATAAAACCACATAGATATGGACATAAAAAAGAGAAAATAAATAATACATAAAAATAACAATACATAAAAAAGATAATGCATAAAAATGATGATAATAAAAATAGAAGTGCTAAAAAATAGTTATACTCGAGAGGTGGCAATATAGAATATAATAAAATATAATAAAAAATACTGTGAAAAAGGGCCATATTAACAGGGTTATTCCAAGTATATAAAATGAACAAAAAAAGGCTAAAATGAATACGAGACTTGTGGATAAAGGGGGGAATAAGGGGCATACATAAAATGTGGGACAAGATAACTGAAGTGTGATTATAAAAAGTTAAATAGATCGAAATCAGAATTTAGATCGGTAATATTGCCACCTCTCCATGGCAAAGTGCAGACTTCTATAGCATAAAAGTTCAGGAATTTGGGGTTTCTATTACGTATTAAAAAGTGTTTAGACACTGTATGATTACTAAAACCTGTCAAAATATCCCTGCAGTGCTCTGCTATCTTGGTTTTGAGATTTTAGGTTGTCATCCCCACTTATTGGAGACCACAAGGGCACTCCAATACAAGACATACATTTTAGATTCTTTGTTCATAATGTTGTAAGAATGGTCAGTGTGTTTACACGCCGAACACATTTTGCATTTAAAAAAACCTGTTTTGTTGAAAAATATGTTTTTTTGTTTAATAGATTTTCTTGCATAGTTTGTAGTTAAAAAGGATCTAAGGTTTGGAGCTCCCATAAAGACGATTTTAGGTTTGGATGGTAAAATCTTATTTAGTATGTCGTCTTCTTTAAGTATGTCCCACTGCTTGTTGATTATTTTTTTTACTTGGTTTTAATCTTAAGAGCTGGCTCTTATGGACACTGTTGAGCCAGGGGGCATTGTGACAACTTGTAAGATCTATGAATGTGTTAGTGTGTACGTTTTAAAAAGGTTTTCGAGGTCTAGAAAGTTGATTGAGGTTTTACTGTAATTTAAACTTATGCCTCTAAAAATTTGGTTAACACTACTTTTGACCCTATCCAAATAAAAAACAGATCATCGATGTAACCACGGTAGAGTACCAGGTTCGCTCCCCAGCCATGCCCACCCCACACAGTGGAATTTTCCCAATCCGCCATGAAGAGGTTGGCATAGCTGGGGGCAAACCTAGGCCCCATTGTGGTACCATTCTTCTGAAGATAAAAAGTGTCATAAAACCAGAAATAATTATTATTTAAAATCAACTGGATACCAATAAAATCAATTTGTGATTGGGAAATGTCTTTTTCTTTATCTAGTATACTTCTTATTGCACTATAACCTATGTCATGGGGAATGATAGTGTACCACGACTGTACGTCGCTACTTACTAAAATGTAATCTGCTTCCCATTCTATGTTTTTTAAAATTTGGAGGAGGCCCATACTGTCTCTTAAATAGGACTTAGTGTTTTGTACATAGGGTTGGAGGACGATGTCAATATATTCAGAGAGATTTGATTGAACTGAATTTATCCCTAAAACGATGGTTCTACCTGGAGGATTTTTTATGTCTTTGTGTATTTTGGAAGGAAGTATATAACAGGTATTGATGGAAATTGTACATTGATGTAAGAGTACTCCGAATTATTTAGGATTTCCTCATCTTTACCTTTATCAATCAGGAGTAGTCATTTCTTTATAGTTCCGGTAGGGTCATGAGTGAGTTTTTGGTATATAGAATCATTATTAAGATATTTATATGCTTCTTATTAAGGTGTTTATATGCTTCTAGAGGCAGAAGAGCTGGTAGAAGAATCCAAAAAAGGAAGGATCGAATAAATACCAACAGCTCTCCTAAAGAAGAATCAAGAATTTTTAACCTATCACATAAAGTTTTAACCTCCACAACACCACTATCTTAAACACTTTCATTGAAAATATAGGCGCTTTAGATAGAAACTCTCTTCTGGAATACAAAACAATACAAAAACAAGATATAATGCTCCCTCTAGTATTTGATTATAGCAACAAAAGCCACCAAATGAAAAAAATAATCAACAAGCAGTGGGACATACTTAAAGAAGACGACATACTAAATAGGATTTTACCATCCAAACCTAAAATCGTCTTTATGGGAGCCCCAAACCTTAGATCCTTTTTAACTACAAATTATGCAAGAAAATCTATTAAACAAAAAAACATATTTTTCAACAAAACAGGTTTTTTTAAATGCAAAATGTGTTCGGCGTGTAAACACACTGACCATTCTTACAACACTATAACCAAATTTAAATCAAATATTATGAACAAAGAATCTAAAATCTTGTTACTTGTAACACGTAAAATTTCTCATGAACTATTCATATATGAAACATTATTTATTATGAATAAAATAAAAACAACTGTGAGAAATTAAGATTTTTTAAAAAAAATGTGTAGTTCCGCCTGACATTTTAGCTGTAAATGTCATTATACTGTTAGCTTTTACTGCAATAAAATGCACATATTTGTATTCAGCAAAGTCTCACGAGTACAACAGTACTCCCTATTCACAGATTTTACGGTGTTTTGGAAAGCACATTCCATTTTTCATTTTTTCACATTAAAATTTGCCCGATCAGTAATGTTACCTTTGAGACCGTGTGGTAGCCCAGGAATGAGAATTAGCCCCATGGTGGCATACCTTTTGCAAAAGTACACAACTCAGCAGGCCCGGACTGGCCATCGGGCATACCGGGCAAATGCCCGGTGGGCCGCGATGGCCGTGGGCCCCTGCAGGGCCAGCGCTACCCTATCAAAGATCTCCCTCACCAGCCCACAGGCAGTGTCACAGACGGCCGCCGGCTGGGGAGTGAGTGAGGGAGGGAGGCAGGAGAGAGGACCGGCGGAGCTCTAACCAGCAGCTCCGCCCGGTCCTCTCGCGGGATTCTGAGCCGCCCAGCTCTCGCGAGAGTGAACTCTAGCCCTGAAGGCTAGAGTTCACTCTCACCACTGGACCACCAGGGAAGCATGACAGCATGGCAACACGGCTCCCCCCCTCCCAGGCTAAAGGTAAGAAGGGGGGGGGGTGGGCATAACTTTTTTTGTAAAATTATTAATAAAACAATATATATTTAAAATAATTTCCCTAACAGCCCCCAACAGACACCCCCAGCACAGACACACACAGCACCCCCAATTTTACTTCCCAATTTACAACCCCAGACACACACACAGCACCCCAGACACACACACACACAGCACCCCCCAGACACACACACAGCACCCTAGACACACAGCCCCCAGACACACACAGCCCCCGACACACACACAGCCCCCCCAGACACACCCCAGACACACACAGCACACCCAGATTTTAGCACCCCCAAGACACACAGCCCCCAGACACACACACAGCACCCCCCAGACACACACAGCCCCCAATTTTGGCCCCCAGACACACACACACAGCCCCCCAGACACACACAGCACCCCAGACACACCCAGCACCCAGACACACACCTTTGAACACACAGCACCCAGACACACACAGCTCCCCACAGACACACCCAGCGCACCCCCAGACACACACAGCGCACCCCCAGACACACACAGCACACCCCCAGACACACACAGCACCCCCAGACGCACACAACACCCTCAGACAGACAGCACCCTCACTCCCACACATATACAGCACATATATATTATATAAAATAACCCTCAGTGAGTTAACAGACAAAGAAAATTAGAAACCCAGAATGTGACGGCAGATAAAAACACCCTCACACACAGCACTCCTCTTACACAAACACGCTGCGCACCTCACACATACAATACGTCCAAATATATTATATATATATATATACATATATATGTACATACACACACACACACACACACACACACACACACACTACAGCACCCCTCACACTGCACCACTACACACATTACGCTCCAGATACACGCTAAATCCCTTACCCTATATGCACTCTTAATCCTCTACACACACACAATCTTCTATACACACTCTGGGTCCTTTACACACTAGATCTCTTACACACACACTGCACCACCTACACACACACTACATTCTTTGTAAGCAAACACATACAACATTCTCTAAACACACCCTCTCTACACACAGTAGTGTGTGTGTATAAGTGACACACACTACGTCACCTATACACACACACTACTGCCCGTATGCACACACTCGCTACATCCCCTATAACACTTTGCTCCTATACACGTACTCTCTACAGCCCCTAGCCACACATATTACACCACAAAATTGACCTATTTACACAATACCACACCACACTCTACACACAGGCAATCCCACAAGCATGCGCCAAACACATGCACCATACACTTTCCTGGCCCTTTTGTCCTCTGGTATCCCACTTGTGGAGACACCAGAGACAATTTAAAAGCAAACACAGCGCAAGCATGTTATTAAATTTGCTTGCGCTGCGCAGAACAATTACAGGGCCTTTTTCTAATGCTAGAGCTCTTCAGCGGGGCTCTGCGCATTGAACCAACATGCTCACTTTCAGAGGGGGTGTACTTCTCATTAGTGATGACAAAACACACCCGCTCTGGCCCCGCCCCCTTCTTGGGGGGCCGCTCTAATTGAAAAATGCCCGGGCCTAATTTTTTTCCCAGTCCGGCCCTGCAACCCAGGGTATTGCAAGTGGGGTATGTCCAGTCTTTTTTAGTAGCTACTTAGTCACACCCACCACCACCACCAGATTCAGAAAATCCCACCTTGCAAAATTAACTGTAATCTATTGTAAACATTGCAACTTACATGTGTGGGTGCCTTAAGTGCCCCTTTAAATAAGAAAAGGGTGTTTTTGGCAAGGTAAACATCATGGATTTTACATGGAGAACTGCATATTTGCTGCTCCTGAATAATGTCCTGAGTACAGTTACACCAAACATGTTTTCTGTAAAGCACTTTGCAGGTTGTTATAGCAGCCTGAAAGGAATCCCTGTAGCGTCCTTAGCATGCACAATATATTGTCCCTTCTGCCTCCTTAAAGGTTAGTATACAGCCATGAAATTTGACCTACAAATGTTGCTGTAGATTGTAGAAGGCAGATGAGCTGGAATGGTGCAGAGGGGGAAATTTAAGCCTTGGGAGATATTTGTTATTCCTCCATAGATGGTAATTTAGAAATTTTTTTACTAAAATTGTGTTATGCATTGCATAAAAATGATTGCGAGAGAATAAGTTAATGCACACAATTCTGTATATGCATTCTACAAATACAAATACTGTGTAGTACAATAAAGCGTTTGCATCTGTTGTTTTTATTATTTCCCAGCCCAATAATTACAGCAGCACGGTTAAGAGAACAGAGGACGGTTATCGACTCTGCGATGAGATTGTAGCTTGTTTCCAAGACAGAGCCAAAATCGAGAGGCAATATGCCCTACAGATGGAAGAGTGGACCCGCAAGTGGAAGCCTCTGGTAGACAGCAGTGAGTAAAGAACTGATCATCACAAGTATTTCAGTGTTAAGGAAGAATATCCCCAAATTCTTCTCCACGTTGCTTCATTGTCAGATTCATGTACTTTCAGCTACTAAATTTTTATTTAGTTTTGCTTTTGCATAAGGCTGCCATCAGAAATGTTGGGAACCCTTACGAAATAGCTGGCCAAAGGCCCTGGGACCTCAGACATACTCTTGTTGCATGCATACACATATACGCTCACAGATATACATTCCCAAAAACAGACAGACATTTATACACACAAAAACATGTACAGGTAAACCTGGACACACATAGATACAGACACACACACACAGAGATACAAACTACAAGACACACCTTGAAACAAATAATGCCAGATGTATGAAGTAGATAAGTTGGTGCAAAAATTTGAAATGAAATATAAATAGGTTTGCAGCACCCACAATATACCCAGGTAATCAGGTACAGAAGTAATCACAAAACAGAAAAGTGCTGGTGTGCAGAAATATGGACAGGAACCTCTCAAGTGTTGAGAAGTGTTATTAAACAAGACATACAGTGAAAACAGGTGTGATCCCTTATAGGGGGTCTACAAGACCAAGTATCTATATATGCATACTTATAGCCTGTTACACTGTGCAGTTGATATCTGCAGTTAAGGAGACAAAAACAGGGGGGAGGGAACAGAGAAAGCACTCCCAGTGCAATACAATTATTAAAATTTAAAAATAAGGTAAACTGTCTCTTTAAGAATGCAACTCACAAATGTAGAGTGGTATTAGCCTCACTCTAAGCTATCTCGCCGAGGGAGGATCACCCCCTCGGGTACGTGGGATCAGATTAATGCTCATGCGACTCCAGTGTCAGGCAAAAAACATTTATTCAGAATAAAAACGGCTGACAAAGCCCCAAGAGGTGGGGCGAAACGCGTCATGTGACCTGGTGATTGGGATACACAGAAACACGGAAGTGAACTGAATACACACGCCAGCCAGCAGGACCAGCCCCGGAAGGAGATAGATGCTTTGTAGTAGTTCAGCGTAATCTAACTCCCCATGGTGTGGTGAGCTGCAGCTGGACTGTGCTTTTTACTATTTGGCTATCAGCTGTTTTTATTCTGAATAAATGATCTTCCCCTGTTTTTGTCTCCTTAACTGCAGATATCAACTGCACAGTGTAACAGGCTATAAGTACGCATATATAGATACTTGGTCTTGTAGACCACCTGTAAGGGATCACACCTGTTTTCACTGTATGTCTTGTTTAATAACACTTCTCAACACTTGAGGGGTTCCTATCCATATTTCTGCGCACCAGCACTTTTCTGTTTTGTAATGCCAGATGTATGCCGATAAACAATGCTAGACATACTCTGTTACACACTGCAACATAAACACACACAATTGCACACTGGCAGTCACATGTATACACACAGTGCCACACACATGTTGAATAATATACTATACATGTTATTTTTAGGGATCCTCCTGATTCCCAACTTTTTGGGTAAAGGATAGCGGCTTTTCTTTGTGTTTAGAGAAGTGTGCTGGAAGAGGTTTGTGCTAAGGGTGCCATCAAAGTGACAGTAAGGGGCCTGCTCCACAGCTGATTTTTAAAGGACCACCATAGTGCCAGGAAAACATACTCGGGCTGGATGGCGAGGAAAGGGGTTTAAACTTACCTTTTTTCCAGCGCCGGGCGGGGAGCTCTCCTCCTCCTCTCCGATCCTCCTCTTCGGCTGAATGCGCAAGCGCGGCAGGAGCAGCGCCCGCATTCAGACAGTCTCATAGGAAAGCATTTATAATGCTTTCCTATGGACGCTTGCATGTTCTCACTGTGATTTTCACAGTGAGAAGCACGCAAATGCCTCTAGCGGCTGTCAATGAGACAGCCACTAGAGGATTTGGAGGCTGGATTAACCCATTTATAAACATAGCTGTTTCTCTGAAACTGCTATGTTTATAAAAAAAAAGGGGGTTAATCCTAGAGGGACCTGGCACCCAGACCACTTCATTAAGCTGAAGTGGTCTGGGTGCCTAGAGTGGTCCTTTAATGAAATTCTGTTAGAGAAGATTGAAAATTAGCCATATTTTGTTTCAGTGACTAAGGCAAGTGGGTACCCATGCTGGAGCTGCCCCCCTACCTGTTTCCCCTCTGGCAACCCAACTTTTACATTTACCTTTGACAGCAGTGATTTCCAGACTCACCATTAAAGGGACATCTTAGGCAATATGACTGCTTCATCTGATTGATGTAGTCAGGGCCAGATTAAGAGCCCAGTGGGCCTGGTGCTGACAATTATGACGGGCCTAATTACAGAATCATATCGACCAAAAACAGTAAAACACTCCCAAGCGTCATGTATCTGATGGAGATGGTGCTGGAGAGAAAGAAAACAGCAGCTATAATAAAACACATACCCTATGCTAATCTCTCTCTAATTTATGTTTTCATCTTTTAAGTAAATCCATTACCCCTAACAGCAATGTCCAGTCAAGCAGGAAGTCAATGTGCGGGGTAAAAGGGTGTGCCACTGACACAAATCACGTAACCTGCCAAAAGGGGCGAACATGCCCAAAAAGAGGATATGTCTGCCCAAAGAATTAGAAGGCCAGCCTGGTATGAATGCATGTCAGGCTGCCTGCCAATCATGCAGCTGGCCAACTAAGGGCATACTATGCAGACAGCACCCTGAGCTTGGCATAAATGCATCTAATGATGCGCTCACTCAACGCTTTCTAAGGACTGTCCACTAGCACTCGCTAGTCCACTTGTCTCCTTACCTTCTTACTAGCAGGCAGAAGCTCCTGGTATATGTAGTCTGGGACAGAGAAAAGATGGATGTAGTGAGTGTAAACGAATGGGAACATGCCACAGTGTTAGAGAGACCAAAGTCAGCATTACCTTAAAGGATCACTATAGGGTCAGGAACACAAACATGAATTCATGACCCTATAGTGTTAACACCACCATCTAGCCCTCCTGGGCCCCTCATGCCTCCATAAATATAGCATAATCTTACTGTATTCAAGCCTGAAGCTGTAACTCTGCATGCTGTTAGACTCAGAAAACAAGCAGTCTGCTGACATCATTAGAAGTGATGGCCTAATCCAATCACAGTGCTTCCCCATAGGATTGGCTGAGACTGACAAAGAGGCAGATCAGGGGAAGAGCCAGCATGATTCAAACACAGCCCTGGCCAATCAGCATCTCCTCATAGAGATGAATTGAATCAATGAATCTCTATGAGGAAAGTTCAGTGTCTGCATGCAGAGTGAGGAGATACTGAATGTTTGGATGCATTTTAGGCAGCCATGACCCAGGAAGGATCTCTAACAGCCATCTGAGGAGTGGCCAGTGAAGTTATCACTAGGCTGTAATGTAAACACTGCATTTTCTCTGAAAAGACAGTGTTTACAGCAAAAAGCCTGACGGTAATGATTCTACTCACCAGAACAAATTCAATAAGCTGTAGTTCTTCTGGTGACTCGAGTGTCCCTTTAACTATGTTCATTGTCAGCCAGTCCACACAAGTTTTGTTCCCATACATCCCTCTTAAGTTTCCATACATAAGTAAGAGTATGTGAAAAGTAGTTAGGGTTGCCACCTTTCTTGGAAAAACATACCGGCCTTGCTAATTTGCATAATTAAATGGGTGACATCACATGATGTAAATCACAAGGAGTGAAATAAGAGAAAATGCTGTAAAATCACCAAAAAACTACTTAGTTTGATTCTGCTGTATAGATGGATTCCTCCCAGTACCCCATGTGTCGATTACTCCAGGTCTCAGTGCCCCATGTCTCCCAGTGTCCCCTAGTGTCGTGTCCCCAGGTCTCCCAGTGATCCTATGTATCACAGTGTCTCAATGCCCCATGTCTCCCTGTGTCCCCATGTATCCCAGGGTCCCCATGTCACTAGGAAGACGGGAAGACCTGGGGACACAGGGAGACCTAGGGACACGGAGACACCAGTGACACTGGGAGACTAGGGGACTCTGGCTGGGACTCATGGGGACACTGGGAAAATAGTGGACACTTGAAGACATGGGGACATAGACACCAGGGACACAAACACTAGATACACTGGCTGGGGGACATGGGGACATTGAGACATGGGGCACTGGGAGACATGGGGACAAGGAGACACCAGGACCACAGACACTAGGGACACTAGCTTGGAGACATGGGGACATTGAGACACCTGAGGCACTGGGAGACATGGGAACAATGAGACACTGGGAGACTAGGGGACACTGAGACACCAGGGACACTGGCTGGGAGACATGGGGACACTGTGTCCCCATGTGTCTGTGTCATAATGTCTCCCAATGTCCCTTAGTGTCTCAGTGTCTGCCATAATGTCCCCCAATGTCCCTTAGTGTCTCAGTGTCTGCCATAATGTCTCCCAGTGCCCCTTAGTGTCTCAGTGTCTGCCATAATGTCTCCCAGTGTCCCTTAGTGTCTCAGTGTCTGCCATAATGTCTCCCAGTGTCCCTTAGTGTCTCAGTGTCTGCCATAATGTCTCCCAATGTCCCTTAGTGTCTCAATGTCTGCCATAATGTTTCCCAATGTCCCTTAGTGTCTCAGTGTCTGCCATAATTTCTCCCAGTGTCCCTTAGTGTCTCAGTGTCTGCCATAATGTCTCCCAATGTCCCTTAGTGTCTCAGTGTCTGCCATAATGTCTCACAATGTCCCTTAGTGTCTCAGTGCCTGTCATAATGTCTCCCAGTGCCCCTTAGTGTCCCCATGTCTCCTTGCAGCCTTTCCCCCATCCCTTACTTCCCTGAGCTGTAGGCTGTCTCTGCAGGGTGGGAGTTGCTGTCTGGACTCTCTGTAGCTGCACCCCTGCAGATCAGTAAGTATAGATAGGCAGGGAGGGATATGCTGGAACTTCCTATCCCTGCCTCTCTCCATACACAGTGACCCCTACTGGCCAGTGCTGGTATTGCAGAGTAATCTCTTGTTTATACTGAGAAAAATACCAACATTTGTATTGCCAGTATCACTGCAATATTGGCACCAGCCAGGCAGCCTCAAATACTGGCTGTGCCAATAAAATAAAAGTCAGGTGGAATCCCTAAGAGTAGTGTGTGGAAAAAAAAAAAAAATTAATTTATTTTTTTTTTTTTTTAATAAATCAATGGGCCTATTCCATGGGCCTGGGCCTGGAGCTGCAGCTCCATCAGCCCCTATGTTAATCCGGCCCTGGATGTAGTTATAGTGTCTGGGGTCCCCTGGCACTGTCATTTTATTCAGTGTTAAACCATTTTTAATGTTTTAATGTTAAACAGGCGTCCCCAGCAGCCCATCCCCTGTGCTACTTGGGCTAATTAGTAATATTAGCCTGAGCAGCAATAGACAGCTGTGATTGGCTGTTATGAATCAGTATGGCTACAAGGAAGTGTATAATCTCTGCCTTAGACATATCCCCAGTGGGGGTGGGGCCATGGGAAACAAGGGACCCACATTCAGTGTTTAATTGCTTGAAAATGGTTTAACAATGAATGGAGGGACAGAGCCAGGGGATTCCAGGCACTATAACCAACTCAATGAGAATTAATTGTTGTAGTGTTTACAGTGCTCCTTTAATGATTACCTTTCAGACTACAATGAATATATGACTGCTGATCCTTCTGGAAATCATTAAAGCTTGAACTATTTGGGGTCCTTGAAAGTTGAAATGTTGATATATTTTTAATTCAGGAGGTCATTTTGTTTTCCTTTTAATTTTATTTGTAAGAAACAAGTAATTCGGCGATAAAGATAAATAATTGGAAGGAGGCATGACTAAAAGGAAATCATTGAATAAATGGACTCAAGACCTCCCGTTTTAGTGTCAGATAGTAATTAGAAAGTTAGAATGTCTTTTTTCTTTCAGGTCCCATGTATGGCTCTCTCCTACGTGCTTGGCAATCATTTATGACTGCCACGGAGCGGCTCAGCGAACTTCACACACAGATCCAAAAGACTTTGGTAACCGATGATGCTGATAAAATACGCAATTGGCAAAGGGAGACATATCATCGCAAGATATTTGGAGGCTTCAAGGAGTCATGTGAGATTGACAATGGGTTCTACAAGGCACAGAAGCCATGGGCAAAAAAGTTAAAAAAGGTAATTTTTCCTCTGAGTATGTTTTAGAGTTTTTCACAATTTTTTTGCATTTCTACTAATAAACATCTCCACTTGCCGCTCTCATGTTTCACATCATCCAAGTTTCTTCTCTGGTTGGCTAAAGAGTTTATGGTGGCTTTTATATTTACATCTGTCATCGGTTACCCTGTATTCTGTCTTGCCACCTTTCTCTCCTCTTTTCTAGTTTTCTAGAGAAATCTTGACCCTGAAAGTCCTTTAATTTTCATTCTACTGCTCTTCCCTATCATTTGACTATTGTTATGCTTTTTAAGCGTCTGCCTACTGATTTCTTTCTTGTCCATCTTTGCAATGCATACATTTCTCAATATTTAGGACATTTTGGGTACCTGTAGATGTAATGGAGGTCACTGGTCCTCACTTTCTCTCTCAGAGAATTTAACCATGCATTATTGACGCAATTTTTTTATTCATCTGATTAGAAATATAATTTTCGTCCAGGTCTGTGGATGAATGCAATGCCCTGTGCTACTTTATTTTTACCCTTCTGAGATGGAAAAACACCAATTACCTCTTCATGGCTATTTAAGTGACTATTTCTCCTTGGACCATTAATATTGAGGTTCCTGGACCTGTTTGGTTTATGGGCCCAGGTTTGTGCTCCTATACGGGTGCATTGTAAATGATCAGTAATATACCAATGGCTGCCTCTCCCTCGATAACCGATCCAGTACCTCTTTTTTATGTCTCTAAATTTAAAGCATATTTACAGGCCCATATCTGGATGACTAATCCAAAGAAAATCCCTTCTCAACAAATAACGTGTGCATCCATGTATGTGGCTCCATTGACCATGGCTGTAGGACCTACAACTACCAAAAAGAAACAAACTACACCTTTTCCAATTACTCCTCATTTTTTTTTTCTAGAGTGTATTTCCACATTCAAAGTATCCCACCATGTTTAAACGTTCTTTCTCCTAATCAACAGTATCCATCCAAGAATTGTCTTCATGATACCAGTATGTCCCAGAACCCATGTACCGTAGCATGTTCAAAACCTTACACACTGTGTGTGCTTGTTCACAGGTAGAGAAATCCAAGGCAGCCTATCACAAAGCGTGCAAGAAGGAGCACTTTGCCACAATCCGAGAAAACAATGGAAAGATCAACCCGGAACTGTCTCCCGAGAAACTAAAGAAACTAACAGAAGACCATGAGAAATACACACATGATAAGGAAAAGGTGAATCATCACCGTGAAAATCTTTCTACTACTGCCAGCCAAAGTAGAAAACCAGACAATTATATTTTATTGTTAACGAACCTATTTTTACTTTGTTTTTACAAAATGTCTCTGGTTTATATTTTATGTTTTAATGGTTTTCCTTCAGGTATAGTATATGTAATCCATGTTATGACTTTAGCTAGGGGGGAATTAATGCTATTTACATAGAAAGAGCTCTTAAATGTAAAAGTAAGCTCTCGGAAATTAGTCCAGGCATACTACTTTAACGTAAGAAATGCAGCCTAAGTTTAAACCTTACAGGCATGCATTTGTCTCGTTTTGCCACTCTATCTCCATGAACCCTCCATCTATTTTCAACAGTATTTAGTTTCTCTCAACTGACTTCCCTTGTCTCCGGTTCTTTGATCGCACAATCAGATTCCACATTTGAAATGATAATATAACTTGTTACTTGGATAGCGTGAGAAGACTTTACTGCTGGATGGAAGGCACCCAGTCAATGTATCGTCCACTGGACAAACCGCTAGAGATGCTCACTCATGGTTCTGTGCTCCAGAATGATGGCATCATATTCACTACCCAGTGCTCTGCCAGAGAACAAACTGGGGTTTTGAAAAGAGCACCGCTGGACGTCTGTGCTGCAGATTTGTGGAAGGGAAATCCGGTCTTCCTAACCATCAAATGGTGCTGCACAGTATCTTGGTACCCAAGTGAGTTGGTATAATCCCAAATATCAATTGAAATGATTTTTTGGGGCTATTTTGATCTAAATGTTGCAGTTAGCTGTCATCTCTACTGAACGTGGGGCTCAGAGCAGGGGTGGCTAAAAGGCATATCCACAGGTGCAATACCCATAATGCTTTGTGAAGCTTAAGGCTGATAAAGCATTATGGGAGTGGTAGTATTTCAAAAGCTTGAGGTGTTGTTTTCACCAATCCTAGACTAGGGAGTAGATCCCCTGGTTGAAAAGGAGTTTGTCCACAAGTGACATATCATTTTATAATATATCTAATGATAAAATATTGTTGTGACATTGCAGGTGAAGCAGAGGTACGAGAAATCTCTACAGGAGCTTAATAAGTATAATGCCAAATACATGGAGGAAATGGAAACCGTGTTCGACCAAAGCCAACAGATGGAACAGAAAAAGATTCTCTTCCTCAAACAGGCTCTTCATTCTGTACACAAACATCTTGACATCACCAGCAATGAGAGGTGAGCAGTCTACACCTTACTACACTCTATATCACTCCAAGTACCCCAATAAAATCACTTTCTACACATCCCACATCCACAAAAGCTCTCATCTGGGAGAATGACCTGACTGCTCACTCCAAGAGCAATGAAATGAACATAGAGTCACATGGGCTGTATGTTGTGCTAAGCAGGAGCTCACATTTAAGATCGTGTATGCTTTAGTTTCCAGGACACAAATGAGCTAATATACATATTTACACTGATCAGCCACAACATTAAAATTACCTGCCTAATATCCTGCAAGTCCCCCTCGTGCTGCCAAAACAGCTCTGATGCGTGGAGGTATGGACTCCACAAACCCTCTGAACATGTCCAGTGGTATCTGGCACCAAGACATTAGCAGCAAGTTGCAGGGTTGGGCCTCAATGGGTCGGATTTGTTGTACCAGCACATCCCACAAAATGCTCAATCAGATTAAAATCTGAGGGATTTGGAGGCCAAGGCAACACCTTGAACTCTTTGTCACACAATTTTTGCATGTGGCAGGGTGCGTTATCTTGCTAAAAGAGGCCATTGCCATCAGGGAACACCATTGCCATGAAGGGGGTGTACATGGTCTGCAACAATCTCTAGGTAGGTGGTACATGTTAAAATAACATCCACATGGATGCCAGAACCCAAAGTTTAACCAGCAGAACATTGCCCGGAGCATAACAATGTGTCCACCAGCCTGCCTTCTTCCCATAGTGCAAACTGCTACAATCTCTTCCCCAGGTAAACGACGCACACGCAGCCGGCCATCCATCTGATCTCAAAGAAAGTGTGATTTATCAGAACAGGTAACCTTCTTCCATTGTTCTACGGTCCGGTTCAGACACTCACGTCTCCATTGAAAGCTCATTTAGCAGGAAATGGGGGTTATCATGGACACTCTGACTGGCCTGCATCTATGCAGCCACATAAACAGCAAACTGTTTGATGAAGGTTTTTCAGCACTTTGAGCTATAGAAGCTCTTCTGTGTGATCGAACCAGACAGGCTAGCTTTCACTCCCCACGTGCATCAGTGAGCCTTGGGCGTCCATGACCCTGACGCCAGTTCACTGGTTGTCCTTCCTTGCACCACTCTTGGTAGATATTAACCACCATATACCGTGAACACGCCACAAGACTTCCCGTTTTGGAAATTGTCAGATCCAGTCATTTAGCCATCAGTAGTTGGCCCTTTTCATAGTCACTCAGATCTTTTAGCTTGCCCATTTTTCCTGCTTCCAACACATAAAAATTCAAGAACTAACTGTTCACTTGCCGCCTAATATATCCCACCCCTTGACTGGTGCCATTGTAACAATATAACCAATATTATTCCCTTCACTTGTCATTGGTTTTAATGGTGTGGCCGATCAGTGTATGTAGTGACTGGTAGTACATGAAACGAGTTGCACTGTGCTATGTGGAATTCAATTTCTGGAGGGGAGGAAACCAAATAAATATTCAGTGTGGAATCCTGCAGGATATGAGTTCTATATACAGCAAGGCAGACTGCACGTTTTTTATGTTTTGTTTTTTAAGAATTAATGAGACACAGTGTTAGCAGGATATAAGCAGTAGGATTACAATACAATAACACAGGCATTGTGTGCTAAGGTAACAGTGGATCAACACAATGAAATTTTGATTAGTAAGATACAAGATGAATAACCAAGATATATTAAACATAGCTAAGTGAGCTAGGACTGAACACTGATATGTAAACAACCCTACAGGCCATAATAAAGGGAGATGGGCTCCAGAGACATTCTGCTTGGGTTGGAAATCCCAGGGGTAAGAGTCTCTGGGTGAGGTAAGGTAATCAGCCGCTGCCCCTTCGTGAGGCAGAGTCACCAGGTGCTGCAGATAGGTACCGCTTCCAGGTGTACCAGAGAAACAGCCTGTCAACTCAGCTCTGAGTTGATGTCGTTATATAGGACCAAGCATGCTCCAGTAGAGTGACCGCCAGCGTGGGATCAGCGGGGACAGGTAAGTCCCCTGGACGGCGGGGTTGTTCTATGCCACCCTCCGTCATTTAGAGCAACCCCAAAAAGGACAGTATAGAACGCCCGCCGTCCTTAAGGGGTAGAAGGAAAACGCCGGTCCCCAATACAACATTTATGCATTTGATAGATCTTGACCTCATTAATATGCTGCCTTTATTCTGCTTGTATATCTATGGTTTTTGCACATAAAAAGAATATAAATGTTTTGGAGAATTGTGCACCAGGCGCTATTCTCTGTATTCACGTCTCCTAATGCCAGAAAGTTGCCCTTATCAGTGTATGTATACAGTGTCAGCCCCAGCAGCACTGAGTGGACTTTAATTCCCAATCTGGCTGCAGACAGTCATAGAAACTGCAAACAGGTAGTGATATCCTTACTATATGTCTCCATGTGTATCCTCGCCTTCTAATGCTGGTTGATTATTTTTTTGTTCAGATCATTCAGTGCTGTAAGTGGGTACTGTGCGTATATTCGATAAGGAAGTCTTTTTCTGGAGTGAGGGGGCGTGCCTAAAGAGGCTGGTTTATGGTTCAGCATTCAGAAGGGAAAAAAAACATTGAGCATGCAAATCCTCGCAAACAAACAACAATACAAAACAGCAGCAAATTAATTATGCCAAAACCATCACAAGTATTAAATCTGTGTTGGGGCCGGAATGTCTTTTTAAGCTGGCAAGTATTACTGTTTTGGACCCACATACAAATGACTCAAAATGTACCAATGTACATGTGAATTATGCTTATCTACCTTTAATGAATTGACCAATGCATATTGTATTTTATTTACAGTGTGCAAATAGTGTATAATGACCTGAATCAGGCAATAATGAGCGTTAACGAACAGGACGACTTGAAGTGGTGGAGAAACAAGCATGGCCCAGGGATGTTAATGAATTGGCCCCAGCTGGAGGTACTATTTGGGATCATATGTCGTGTTTTATTTCTCGTATTCTGAATATCGGCATACTGCTCACATTGTAAGGTTTATTCCATAAAAAGTGTTGAGTTGAAAACTTCTGCCAAAATAACTGAATTTTAAATATTTTCCAGTGAGAGTCCATTTTTCCATCTATTCCTCTAAACCATGAATACATACCTCTCGTATTGAAAGATACACTATAGTCACCAAAACAACTTTAGCTTAATGAAGCAGTTTATGTGTATAGATCATACCCCTGTTGTCTCACTGCTCAGTTCTCTGCCATTTACGAGTAAAATCACTTTTGTTTCTGTTTATGCAGCCTTAGCCACACCTCCCCTGGCCATGACTGACAGAGCGTGCATGGAAAAAAAACATGGTTTAATTTTCAATCAGTTAACTTTAGAAGTTATTATCTCCTGCTCTCTAGATTTAACTTTAATAATACACAGGAGGCTCCTGCAAGATCTAGCAACCTATTAACAATTTAGGAGATAAGAATTTCTAAATTAAACGTGTAAACATTAGATGACGCTTTACAGGAAGTGCTTAGAAAGGCTGTGCAAGTCACATGCAGGGAAGTGTGGCTAGCGCTGTGATTTTACTACTAAATGACAGAGAACTGAGACTGCAGGTTTATGATATATACAGCAAATCTGCTTCATTAAATTAAAGTTGTTTTGGTGTCTATAGTGTCCCTTTAAGTTCTCTAAGAAGGTGGATTTATGATCCATCAGGCAGATCAGTGTACCATAGGCAGTTATGGTAAACTGAAACAGTTATCCATAGAATGCAGTCAGAGGAATTCAAGGGAATGGAGAGGCCTTTTCCAGAATTAGAATGCAAAGTTCATGAGACCTGCTGGAGGTCAGGGAGGTTTGCATCATGTGAGTCTCTACAGGCTTTTTAACCAAAGTGTGAGTTGCTGAGAAATCAAAGTGAATTAAAAATTTTAGGCCCAAATTTCAAGTCAAAAATTTGAATTTGCTTTGAATCTCTGGCAATCCACTCTTTAGGGAAATATCCTGTTACATTCTAAACTTTGGTTTAAGTAGGTAAACTCAGCAGTTGTTTGGACCATGTCGAGGTTAATGTAAGTCTAGGCAGAGCTAAACATACTCAAGTAAAATGCCAGTGAGTAACCAACTACCTTGTTGAAAAGTGTGTGACAAAAATAGGCACAAGCCTACTAAACAACTTGCTGCAGAGTAACGTGTAAAAATATAAAAGGTTCAATAAACGTAGCGGATTATTTTCTAAATTGTGATATAAAGAATATTGAAACCTCAGATTTAAAAAAAAAAAAAAAAGATTTAGAATGATTAAGTTTCATGTTAAAGTTACCATATTCCAGTAAAAGTCAGATCTGGTAGGATCCAGAATTCAGGTGTATATAGAATATATATATTTCAATAGACATCCATCATTAGAATTGGTTTTTTTTTTCATGGAAAAGTGCAGAGAAACATAGTCGAAACACCACTTAATGCAATGGAATGAAGGAGAACAGCTCGTGGTCTCAAAACTCTAAAGGAGAACCATCATATTCACAAAGACTTGATGTAGCCAAACCACTCATAGTCACAAAGCTCTGAAAGCTGGGCAATCTATGGGATTGAATTTGACGCACAGTTTTCAGCCCTTGAGACATTCACAGCTATTTTAATTGTTATTAGTCATATATCAAAATAAAATACCACCTCTCCTCAAATGTCAGGGTCAAAAAACAACAAAAGGAAAAAAATATATACATCTCGACCTGGTGAAAATGCACCCTAGGGTTGTGTGAGGACTGATAGCTCAAGATACAAACATTGTTCTTTGCCTAGATCTCACAATTTTGGGAAAAAGTATCTCAACTCTAAAGTAGACACTCGGAGGTATGCTACGGCCATCACATTCTTCTGAAGTGTGAACCGAGATATGTATAAAGCAGAAGTCCAACTTTGGCCATGCCAATAGATAATATTTAGAGGTTTTAACCCCTTAAGGACACAACTTCTGGAATAAAAAGGAATCATGACGGAATATTTCCATCACATTCTTCTGAAGTGTGAACCGAGATATGTATAAAGCAGAAGTCCAACTTTGGCCATGCCAATAGATAATATTTAGAGGTTTTAACCCCTTAAGGACACAACTTCTGGAATAAAAAGGAATCATGACGGAATATTTACGTCGTGTCCTTAAGGGGTTAACTATGGAAACCCATTCTTAGAAATGAATTATAGAGAGCAGGGAGCATTAAGGGAGATGCATTTTTAGTCGAAAATCATGGTTGCAAATGTTGGCCACTCCTGATGGAGAGTGTGGACATCAATAATGCAACATTTCTAACAAATGTCAGCTAAAAACAATGAATTTGCATTTCACATTATCACAGTTAATTTTTGCATCTTCCACAGGAGTGGAGTCCAGATGTAGAGCAGCAGATTGTGAAGAAGAAGAAAGTGAAAGAGACGGACAAAGTGAAGTTATACAGTGTCACACCCACGGAAAGCAGGTTAATGTCTACACTATTCAGAATTTTTTTCTTTTATTGAATGCAAGTTACAGATTGTGTTGTTTGCAAAGAACTGAAAAAAAAAATTTTCTAGTTCACTGGAAAGAACGGAAAATGTTATTTTAATTCAACTTTAAAAATATAGTAAATGTTCCCTTAAATCTCAGGGATTTGTTGTGTTGAGCTATTTTAATAGCGTTTGTTTCATTTGTTTATTGCAAACCGCTGAAAGTCTTTTAAACTTTGACAGTAAACCGGATTTCCAAAGGGGGTTGAATAATTTTGACTGCAACTGTACCATTCAAAATAAAGAGTGCGAAGATAACCCACAGAATAACGTGATCAGCTAACTAGCACTCAACGTAAATATATAGGGACACATTCACTATTTTATCTGACTGAGCAGCAATGTTATGTCAGACTTTAATGTTATCTGACCAACTGCTGCTCAACCCAACTTGCCTGCTGCTGCGATTGCTTTTTTTAAAACTAAAGAAAAAGGCAAGTTAGGTTGAACAGCAGTTGGTCAGATAACAGTAGAGTCTGACCCAATAGGGCAGCCATATTAAAAAAATAAAATAAAAAAAACACAAAAGTGAACATTTCTCAAAACCCATATACATCATTTTAAAATAAACTTTTAATAAATCAGAAGTGGAAATTTGATGAAAGTTGTCCTTTTTACTAGTGATGGTGCTTGTATGTGCAGTGTTCAGGTGGACCTCACTTTGCGATGGCTCACACTTCCGACCAGCTCTCTAGCGTAGGGATTCCCCACGTTATGGGGAATGTTTGGGGCAATTTCCTCGAACATAGATTAGACGGATTCCCTGCTCTGGTGCAGGGAATCCCTCTAATCTTTGTTCGAGGAAATTGCCCCAAACATAGAAAAACACACCAGCCAGGGAATTCCTCTAATCTATGTTCGGGGAACATAGATTTGAGGGATTCCCTGCTCTGCTTGTCTTTGTTTGTGGAAATTTCCCAGAACCTAGATTAAAGGGATTCGCTGCTCTGCTGTGCTTGTCTATGTTTGTGGAAATTTCCCCGAACATAGACCTGCATGGTCTGTAAGTGAGGAGCATCTGTACTTTGAAATGCTGCACGTACATTTTTTGTTGCTGCCAGAGGTGTAACTCCCCCTTTGATACCGGAAGAATGAGAGATCTGGGCTGACTAATGTCAATATTTCTGTGTATATTTCTGTGGACAAAGGGCCTTTTTTGGCTTAGAGTGTTCAGCGGATGCTCTCAGCTAATAATGACCAGTAGTATTAGAAACTGGCTTCTGTGGAGCTGTGCCACTGGGCATTAGAGGAGGATCTGTGCCCAGCAGGGACCCAGGTAAGAGATAAACCATTGCCAAATGGTTTTCCCCATTTCCAGCGAATAGCGCCAGAACACTTCTAGTATAATAACCACAACAGTTGGCTGCAAGAGTAGCCCTTTTAAGTCCAAAATTCACTTTGAATTCCTGTCAGTATTCTGAAACGCTGATCACTTTAGAATTGAACCTTCATCGCCTGGTTTGGACATATGGCCTATCTGGAGTGCTGCCATTTTCTCTCACCATTTTACCCAACTCCTATAACTCTCAAGCAAATTATGGGAGTTTGAATGTAAAACCAATTAGGGAACAAGCTCAGACATTGTACACGATGCTTCCTGTGCCACTGACGCTACCATAACCTGTCATTCTGTGACCATGTTAACATGACATTAAACTATATACATATAGTCAGCCAGTCACGTTTGCTTTTTTTACAGCATGAACAAACCTCCTGTAAATGTGACGGGAGTGCGTGTGCGAGCAGTGTACGATTACTCAGGACAGGAAGCGGATGAACTCAGTTTTAAAGCAGGTAACGCATCAACGTTTGACATCCATAACCCTACCTTCTCAGATAGTACCTGGAAATCTGATTCCGATACTAACATTCAGAATGACTCTCAGTAGTACGCAATACCACTAAACAGAGATATTTGGACACCTATAGGCTTTGGCCTAGAAACTTGAGCTAGATCAGGTGCTGAAAATCAGGCCTGATCTGCAACCTTCTCATCAGGAAAGTTAGGTAAACAAAACAATGTTTTTTAACTTTCTACCTCTTTATCCGTAACCTGCCCGTCTGCCTTTCCACATTTTGTCCCCTTTCCCTGCTTTCCCTTATTGACAATTATATTTTAGCTTGCTAAAATGCTTTGTGTGAAGAGTTTGTCATCTTGTTTTCATTTTACAAAACATTCAGATTTCAATAGCAATTGGCAGTTTTATAAATTAACCTTGTTACATCCCCAAGGCTGTCAATCAGACAGTAAGTCCTGTTACTTCCTGGTTTGGTTAGCTCAGTGGAGCTAAACTCACGAGGCAGCAATTGCCAAGAGCACCTCCCTTACAAAGACTTCTCATTGAGCTGCATTGGGAAGTCTGTGACTGGACAGCCACAGACAGTCTGGGCGAGCTAGAAGGGGAGGGCTTGCAAAGGCTGCAGCAAGAGATTGGCAGTTTTTGCAAACTGTTTTTACATATACCCTAATAAAAATAAAAAAAAGTATAATTAAATGCCTGCATGTTTCCACTCTGGGTATATCTACTAAGCAATGATCTATTTAGTCTTGTTTGGGCAGTGGAGGGTCCCTTTTAAATAGTAGTATGAATCATTGTTTGCTGAATAAACATGGCAGGATGTGGATTATTGTGTTCATTAGTGAATTCTGTCTACCTAATCAGGTGATGAATTGACGAAGATTGAAGACGAAGATGAACAAGGCTGGTGTAAGGGCGTGACAAATCGTGGACATGTGGGACTCTATCCTGCCAACTACGTGGAAGTGATTTCTGACTAAATGACAGGAAACAGGAAAAAAAATCTGAACCCAGTGTGTCCCAGTATACACAGATCTAGCCCCGCTGACAGAGATAACACCGTGTGGGCTTCAACAAACTTTCCACATGGATATTGTGTTAACCACTTGCAGGCTTGCCAAAACAGGAAATGCCACTATTATCGAGTAGTGTAACTAGTTAGAGGGACACTCAAGGAGCCATATAACAACTTCATCTCATTGAAGTGATTATGGTGCCTGGAGTCCTCCAGTGCCATCTTACTGTTGCATATTAAACTGTTCGAAATGAGTGTCCCTAGTCGCTCACATTAGCCCAGGCAGTGATAGGATGAGGGCCTTGTAGTGATCTCAGCCTATTTGCACTGCCCACCGCTAATATAACTTGGTATGGCTGATGTGTAAGAGCCTCCTCATTCACCATACCCTCAAGATTTTGCTTTGACCCCAAACAATGAGACCGCGCCAAAGGACTCCAGGCACTATAACTACTTTAATATGACGTGGTTATCCTGACTTAAGTGTCTTTCAACATTCTCCTTTTTAGCCCACTAAAATCTATTTAAAGGGGTGAGCTCATTAAACAGGGCCCTCCACCTCTCTGTTCCTGTATGTCCAGTTGTCTGGTTACAAATACATGTCTGTTAGTCCACCTATTGTACAGCGCTATGGAATCTGATGGCGCGTTATAAATAATAAAATAATATTTCACACAGATCCCATACAATGATTGGACAATGTACATGGTGTGGGATTTAGAGAACCCATGGGCACCGCAGACTTCATCCATGCACTCTATTCTTTATGCTTGTAGAACAAAGAATGTTGTGTCAGGACAACAAAGAACATAGGATTTTTTTATAATACATAATAATTGAATAATTAAGATGTTTACTATAAAACATTTTCCCCTGATGTACACTTTGTCCTCTATTAATTGTTCACGTTCTGATATTATATGCAACATCAACAGAATAATGCAGAATCTCATTATCCTTTCCAGCAGAGGGTCTGATTACTGAATGTAACATCAGGACTCTGCTCTCTTTAGAGAAATATAATGGGCCCTTAGGGATAGTGTAGGGAATAGTGGTGCACATATGGCAAGGACTAATATATGATAACTTGTAGTGTAAAGCTTAACAAATTTCCCTAGAATTTAACAAGCCAACACCCAGACTTAGCCACAATTATATGCCACAGGCTCACACAACTCGCCAGTCCTAAAATACACGCCCCTATACAAAGACTTCAAATTGAATTCTTATTCTCTTATGGTATCCCAGCAGGAGGGCACATTATCAGTACAAGCTCAATTTGTAATGAAGCTGGGCCAGTATAACATGAAAAGTGTGCACCTGCCCTTGCTGTCTGTGGTTAAATAGCGTTGGATGGATAATTTATATCAGAAAGGCAGCAGCGGAGCCAGACTTTGGTTGACGGGTTTAAAAAAAAAAAAAGTAGCTCTCGACATCCTGCAACTGTAAAATGAGCAAGACTTTGTTTATATCGTTAAGGGCTGGTTTGTTTTAATGGATTTCAGTTACTGGTGTTTAATGGAACACTAAAAGCACCATAACAACTGTAACAGGTTTTTTTTGCTTACTTGTCTGCTTATCACCTCTCCCTGACTACACTACTAACACTGGAGAACCAGAAGCTCCTAAGCCGAAAACTTCCTAATGTTAATTATTTTTTTAGGATCAATATTTCATTAGCAGAAAATAAAGAGGACCTACCGTCACACCCATAGTGCCCTGGAATGAAGTCAATCTGATGGTGAATACAGCTGCCAATATGGGGTGCCCTCTGCTGGCCAAACTAAGAATAAATTCTGAGATTTTTCAGGTAGTAAAGTCCTTTAAATTAAGCAAATATTATGGTTAACTTTCCAAACAGAGCTTTATATAAGGTCTCCTGTCTAATGGAATTAAGTGACTTTCAGCCTTGGAATTCCACCACCATAAAATAGGATTATGGGTATTTAATAGCAAGGATAGGCCTAATAAAGCTGTGCATGTTGATCACTCTGTAGTATGATTAAATATAGCAGCACAGAATTAATGGGTCAATTTACTTAAAGCAGGGGTTCTCAACCTTGCCCTCAAGGACCCCCTACCAGGCCAGGGTTTAGGGATTACCTGGGTGTGTCTAAGGTGTTTAGAAAAAGAAAAAAACACCTTAGAGTCTAAGGTTTTTTTCTCTCCCCTTTTTCTAAACACCTTAGACACACCCAGGTAATCCCCAAATCCTGGACTGGTAGGGGGTCCTGAGGACTGGGTTGGGCACCCCTGACTTAAAGCAACACTTAAATGCTAGGAATACAAACCTAATGCTTTAGTGCTCCGGTCCCCAAATTAAAGCTCAACAGCAAATATGGTCACTCCACATCAAAATTTAATTCCAATTTGGAACCTGAAATAATCCTGTGTGACCAATTGTCAAACCAAACAGGGCCGGCGCGTCCATAAGGCGGCACAGGCGGCCGCCTTAGGGCGCACCGGCCCGGGGCGCAAATGTCCGGGTGACCGGCAGGAGGGAAGCGCACAGCTCCCCTCTCCTGCCGGTCACTTCTTGTAGCGTGGCCGAGCGCCAACCTGCAGTGCCGCGGACTGTGTGGAGGGGGCGGGGATATGAACGTCATATCCCTGCTCCCACTGAAGCACACAGCGCGGCTGGTGCCCAGCAGGGGCGGAGCTACGGGCCCCCTACTAATCAGCAAGGGAGGAAGTCCTCCCAAGAGGACTACAGCAGCAGAAGGCAGAGAGGAGGGGGTCTGGGCAGGACCAGCTCCTCCAACTCACAAATACCTCAGGCAGCACTTTGGATCCCAGGTAAGCCACCCTCCTGAACCTGTTGGTCAGTGTGTCTGTGTGTGTGTATCCATGTCTGTCAGGTGTGTGTGTATCTATGTCTGTCAGTGTGTGTGTGTATCCATTTCAGTGTGTGTGTATCTATGTCAGTGTGTGTATCCATGTCTCTGTCCGTGTGTATCTAAATGTCTGTCAGTGTGTGTATGTCTGTCTGTGTGTATTTGTGTATGTATCATTGTGTATGTGTGTATCTGTATGTCTGTCAGTGTGTTTGTATCTATGTCTGTCAGTGTGTGTGTGTGTATGTAAATGTCTCTGTCCGTGTGTATCTAAATGTCTGTCAGTGTGTGTGTGTCTTTGTGTGTTTGTGTATATCTATCAGTGTATGTGTGTATCTGTATGTCTGTCAGCGTGTCTGTATGTCAGTGTGTGTTTATCTGTATGTCTGTCAGGGTTTGTGTGTATCTGTATATGTGTGTCTGTCTATCTGAATGTGTATCAGTTTGTGTATATGTATATCTGCATGTGTGTCAGTGTGTGTATCACAGTGTGTGCGTGTGTGGCAGTGTATGTGTATATGTGCATATATCTCAGCATTCAAACACCAACACTACACACAAATAAACACCTGCATGCAAACGTCAACACTACATACAAACACACCCCTGCATTCAAATGTCAACACTACATACAAACACACCTCTGTTTCAGACACCAAAATTATATATAAACACTACACATAAATGCATGCTTGCATTCAAATGCAAACACTACATACAAACACACCACTACAATCATACTCCATACAAACACATGCTTACAGTCAAACACACAAATACTGCTCCATGCTAAATACAATCCTGCAAGCATGGGGAAATCGGTAGAGCCCCAGCTTTCAAAGCATTGTTGAAGTTGCACGACAGATGGGGATCTATCTTTTAGCCATCCTGTGTACATACACAGACCGTCATACAGAGACATACAGTATGTATGTCTCTGTATGACTGTGTGTATGTATTCAAAAGGAATAAACGCAGGCAACACTCCAATAGTACGGATGGTATATTTATTGATAGGTGAACCACCCCAAAGAAAGTGCGTCGTTTCGGCTCAGCAGAGCCTTATTGCATGAGCTGAAACATCACACTTTCTATGGGGTGGTTCACCTACCAATAAATATACCATCCTTACTATTGGAGTGTTGCCTGCGTTTATTCCTTTTGAAGACTTTACTGGTGGATCCAGCGATGTCCGCCTGACACGGAGCATCCACCACTGTTGATGGCCGGAGCATTTACACGGTATCAGTGTGCAGGGTTCTTTGTTTGTCTGTGTATGTATGTCTCTGTATGCCTATCTCTATGTTTCTTTATGTCTGTCTGTATTTCTGTGAAGGCCTGTGTCTGTATGAATGTATGTCTGTGTTTGTATGACAATGTACCTGTATGTGTAGGTTGTATGACTGTGTTTGTTTGTGTGCCTTTTATGACTGTGTGTCTGTATATCTTTGTGACTGTGTGCCTGAAAAATTATGTCTGTGTGCTTGTATGGTTGTGTGTCTGTATGTTTGTGTATTTGTGCATGTATGTATTTTTGCCTGTATCTATGTTTATGTGGGAGAAAAAGGGAGGGAGATAGATAGGGGCTGGCGGGGAAGTAAGAAATACATAAGAGGTGTTGTAGGAGACACACTAAAGGGGGGTGTAAGGCACAAAGGGGCCAAAGGGATAAGACATTCAAGAGAGTGGATATGCAACACTAATGGGGGTAGGAAATTCAAAAGGGGGCTTCGAGACACAGAGGTGAAGCGGCATTGTTTATTTTTTTTGGGGGGGGGGGCGTCAAAATGCATCTTCGCCTGTGTAGTCAAAAATCCTAGCACCGGCCATGAAACCAAATCAAGAACGGATTTTACCCACCTTTTTTGCAAGACTCCTTTAAGGGACACTGTAGCAATTATAACCATTTAATCTCAATGAATTGGTCATAGTACATTGAGTCACATGGCACTGTCCCCCCATTCAGGGTTAAACCATTGTCAGCAGTTAACCTCTGCATGAGAAGCCCTGACTTACCAAAGCCCCATCCCCTACTGGAGATGTGACTAAGGCAGAGATTACACATTTCCTTGTAGCCATATCAATTCATATCAGCAATGGCTAGGCTGACTGTAGTCAGCTGACACTCTAAGCCAATCACAGCTGCCCATTGCTGCTCAGGCTAATACTTCATTGGCCCAAGCAGCACAGAAGGAATTTGGAAATGGTTTCTGGGTACTCTTGTTTAATGCTGAATGAAAGGACAGCTCTGTAGGAACTCCAGACACTATAACCACTTAAAGGGACAATATAGGCACCCAGACCACTTCAGCTCATTGAAGTAGTCTGGTTGCACCCTTAACCCTGCAAAGGTACTTATTGCAGATTTATTTATTTTTTACAAGCTGCAATAATTACCTTTATGGGTTAACTGATTGTTAGGAGACTTTTGGTCACCTGACGCTGGACTCCTAAATCTATGCATGAGGACTTCCAGCATCACCGGAATGCCCATAGGAAAGCATTGAATAATGCTTTCCTTTGGGGAACTACTAATGCGCATTAGGTCTCACCCGCTGGGGGAGGAGAGAAGGCGGACCTCAGCCAGCACAGAGGAATATCAGTACTGGACCCAGGTAAGTGACAGAAAAGGTTTTAAGCCATTCTGCACCATGAGGGGCATGGGGGCCTTGACAGAGGGGGGAAGCTCTAGTACCAGGAAAAAGAGTTTGTTTTCCTGGCACTAGTTTCTCTTTAAATGATATTAATAAGTAATGGTGCCTACAGTGTCCCTTTAAATGTAAGCAGTGGTATCATAAAGGCTTGATCCACCCTTATAAGATCAGTTTCCAATCCAGTCTGTAAATATTGACACTATACGTCAGGAAAAACAGGTTTTTACTTGGTGCCAATTTTTTTTTTTCTCCTAAGTACTACCAGAAGTATTGTTTTTAAAGCCTTAGATCCAAATGTACATTACCTATCCAGGCACGGAGGAAACTTAACTCAGGGAAATAATATCAATGCAAATAAGTTTGTTTTCTGTAGCAAACATTAAAGGTGCTAGTACTGTCCTAATACAATGGACACATACAGCCTTTATGCTCTAAGTTCATAAACATATTATTGGTGTCACAGTCCTTTTCATTAACTCAAAGGATAAGCAATAAACAATTATCATATCCGCACCCAGTTAAAACCCTCAGGTTTATAAGATGACTTTAATTCACTGTCATAAAAAAAACCAGAACTAATAAGCCATTGTTTTCCTAAGGAATAAACCGTAGCCATTGAAAAGCCCCATTATTCCACTGTCCATTCCTTACGATGTTTCGCTGGGGAGTTCTGCGCCATCAGCGAAGGTCGGTACTACTTGCTGCAGGAGCACGATGGGAGTGTAGTCTGAATATGAACCAAATCTGTGCATCGCCGCACTACAAAACCGATATCTCAGAGTGAGTATAGGGGACATGAAATACAAATCAAAATCTTTCAACTAATTAAGCCTTCCTAGAAAGCAGTGTGATCAAAGTCTAGAATTACTTTCCTATGCGGCCGCCTTGAAGCAGCAACTAGCTAAAAAAGCCAGCTTGCCAAATACCAGCTGTTGGTGAAGTTGGTGGATGCAGGTTAAAGGTGTAAAGTCCTAAAATATTAGGTGGCAAGTAAGGCAGAGCTGGCACAAAGGATGGCCAACAAAGGCTTCCCAGAAGCTGTACTACAATTCCCATGAGGTATGACTTCATGAGGCATGCAGGCCAACAGCTGGAAGATCGTGGTGGTCCATCTTTGGTGTACACAGTCTTCAAAACCGACCCAAGATAACATCCGGCTCAGCACAGCGGGAGATGCTGGTTGACAACCATTGGTAAGTGATTTGCCAGTCCTGCAGTATTGAGTCTTCAAATAAGATCCATTAGGATGTCGTCCTCCATGACACTCTGTGCTTGCTGAAGTCCAGACTGGGGGACGGGTCCTCGGGGTCCAGCATTCATCATCATCCCTGCTCCTGAAAAGGAAAATATGACATTCTGAAATGTGTCTGAAATATCCTTTCCTGCACAAATTGTGACCATATAAATACAGTAACATTGACACTGCAGTAGTACAAATGTCAGATTTGTTAGAACACGTTTCAATGCAGTGTGATTTGAGTAAAAATAAAGCAAAAATTCTGTATATAATACATACAAAGTGTAGGGATGACATGTTCAGGTACCTATACATTCAATCAATACACTATATAGGCACCGCAAACCACTGATATTCATTAGCATTAGGTGTGAATAGTGCATCTAAAAACAAATGGAAAAAGAAAGGAAGGTGGAATAAAATCCCACCTAATGGGGGCGCTAAGCGCTAGAGAAAAAAATAGTCTAATGGAGGACTATAAATGTATAAGAGTAAATACTCTACAGAGACTTCGAAAAATAGATAGTATAAAAATACAATTTATTTTGCATCACAGTGCAATAGATATATAAAAAAAGGGAATAAATAGTAAAGTGCATAAACATCCAATGCAAATATGGTAACAATATATAGTCCTATTATGAGACCTGGGAACAAAAACCCGGCATCAACCACTAAACAAAACAGCAAAAAGTGAAGAGATGAACTAAACAGCCCTTGGTCGCGACTTCCAGGGCTGAAAAATACTTGCAAACTCGATCGATAGTGGTGATATTGTGGTCTCTGGACTTGGATTGGATGATGGATGAGGCTCAACGCGTTTCGTCCCGCTTTGTTCAGGACTTCCTCAGGAGCTGTGTATATCTTCGGTTCTTCCGGAGTCTTCTTTTATCTTCAAATTTTCGCGCTCAATTAAGTCATTGCGCATGCGCAAAAGGACACCGACTTCCGTCGAGATTGTTGCCGGAACGCAACTTCAATGCGCCCGCCTCCAATCACTATCGGGAAATGACCAATGCGCATGCGTAGCCCAATTGATGCGTGTTGAAACTTTATTAGCATCCGAATGGAGAGACACATTGAAACATATAAGCTACATAAGTAGCAGTTGCATGTGTCAATCCATTCGTAACAGTGGATGCTTACAGGCAGAATAATATAACCTCGGTGTGCCACAAACTGAACATATGTATGAAAAAAATAATAATCAAATATATAAAGAAAATCTCATAATTAGCTCTAAAAAATAGAATTTAACAAAAAACTTAAAATATAAAAATAATTAAAAATGTTGTATGTGTCAAACAATTATGTGGCAAACCTTACAATCTAGAGTCCAAAAATGGACAGAAATGTTACCTCACTATTGGAATATATATAATAGGTGAGAAATAATTCATAATAATCTGAATATCATATCCATAAATTGATAATTCTATAACACTAGAAAAATATATATATTATAAACAATAGATATCACATAAAAACTAGAATATCTAGATCTGTATTTAGACCCAATGGAGTGGAAGATTTCATTTTGTAGATCCATTCGGTCTCTTTTTTGGCTAGTGCTTTGGTGGTGTCACCACCACGCCAATGTGGAACAACCAAATCGATACCTAAACACACGAAACTGTTAAAAACAAAAGTGGAACATTGGTTACAGTGTCGAGGTACATTGTGTTTGTCACTTTTTTTCTTTATACCATAAAAATGTTCTCTTAATCTCTCATGTAATTTGCGAATAGTGCGGCCTATGTACTGCATTCCACATGTACATTCCAACAGATACACTACATTTCTACTGCTACAGGTAATAAAATGTTTAATTTCAAAAGTTTCACCTGTAACTGAACTTCTAAAATTAGTCGTATTTCTTTTTTGGTATTTACAAGTGCTGCAATTTCCACATTTGAAAAAGCCATTAGGTTTCTTTATTAAAAAATCTTTGTTATTATTTTCACTCTTTAAAACCACTTTTGGAAGAACACTAGGAGCTAAAATCGTTTTTAGGTTGTCAGTCTTTTTATAGACGATCTTTGGTTTTTTAGGCAATATTTTTTGTAAATGTGTATCCTGCAATAAAATTGGCCAATATTTCCTAAACACTTTCTCAATTTTATTTGCTTTATTGTTGTATTTTGTTATAAAGGCCATATTGTATGCATTAGTATCTAATTTAGTTGTCTCTGATTTTATCTGTAAAATTTCTTCTCTTTTGTTGTCCTCAATATCTTGTAGACTTTTTGTCAGTAATTCTTTAGGGTAATTTCTATCTATAAATCTTTTATTAAGTATTTTAACCTGACTTGTAAAATCCACTTTGTTAGTACAGTTTTTAAAAAGTCTCATTTGTTGGCTCTTAGGGATATTCTTTAGCCAAATGGGATTATGACAACTAGAAAAATCTATATGGCTATTGCAATCTGTGAGTTTAAAAAAGGTTTTACTACATATCAAATTCTTATCAACAAAAAAAGTTAGGTCTAGAAAATTAATTTGACTATCTCCTACTTCCTGTGTGAAAACCAAGCCATAATTGTTTGAATTTACATAGCTTATAAAGTTATTAAAGATAGACTTGTCGCCCTTCCAAATAATTAGTACATCATCTATGTACCTCTTCCATAGCACCAGGTTTGCCCCAAATGGGTTATTATCCCAAATGCAACGTTCTTCCCAATTGGCTACAAAAATATTTGCATAGCTAGGGGCAAACCTGGTGCCCATGGCGGTACCACAGATTTGAAGATAATGCATTCCCTCAAACCAAAAAGAGTTTCTATGCAAAATAAAATCAATACACCTTAAAATAAAATCCATTTGTTTTTTTGACATGTTTATATCTTTATCTAAAGTTTCTTTAATGGCTCTTATTCCTTTTACATGGTCAATGACCGTATAGAGTGAGGTGACGTCTATGGTGGCCCATAGATAGTCATCTTTCCACTCTTTACCTTCTAGTTCTCTAATCATTTGGGTAGAATCCTTAACATAAGAAGTGGCTGATGTAACATATTTCTGTAAAAAAAGATCTACATATTCTGAAATATTGCTGGTAAGAGAGCCTATACCACTAATTATAGGCCTTCCCGGTGGATTTTTTTGATCTTTATGGATCTTTGGCAATTGATAGAAAACAGCCAATTTTGGAAACTCAACAAAAAGATATTCGAACTCCGTTTTTGTGATTACTTCTTGTTCTAAGGCCTCACATAGGATACTATGGAGTTCAGATTTAAACTCATTATTTGGATTTTCTTTTAGAATTTTATAGGTTTTTGTATCATTTAAAATCCTATGGGATTCTTTTAGATACATATCTCTATCCATAATAACGATTCCACCTCCCTTGTCCGCTTGTTTAATAACTATGTCAAATTTTTCTTTAAGACCTTTTATTGCTTTTCTCTCATTATGAGATAAATTAACTTTCCCTCTTTTTTTCTTAATTTTTTCAAAATCGTTTAATACCATATCACAGAAGACTGGAATGTATTCACCTTTTTCCCAAGTTGGAAAAAATTTTGACTTTGATTTTAACTTTGAATTTATTATTCCTGGTTCTGCCTCTAAGGTTACAGAAGGCTTACTTTGTGATATATTGGAATCGTTATTAGTATCGCCTTTCTTTTCAAAAAAACGTTTTATAGTTAATTTCCTAAAGAATCTTTGAATGTCCATAAAAAGTTCAAAATGGTTAGGATTTTTTTGGGGAGCAAATTTTAGACCCTTTCCCAAAAGACTAATTTCATTTTGTGTGAGATTGTGTTTGGAGAGGTTAAAAATCCCCACTTCTTTTTCGTTTTGGATTATTGTTTTTAGCGGAGGGTTTCGCCCTCCTCGTATTCCTCTAGTCCTATTCTTTTTTCCATAAGTCGCCTTCTTTTCAATGGGGTTGGTGTCTCTAGTTGTGCAAATCTGTTTCTGTGAGTCCATGGATTCATTTTCATTGGACTTTTTCTTACTAGATCGATCTTTTCTGGATATTGTTTGGATGGTCTCTTGCCTAAAAAAGCACTACTATTGGAGTAATTAGGCTTTCCATATCCTGTTTTTCTCCACGTTGTGGAGTTGGGACTATCTTTTTTATTAGTAGTTTGAATGCTGCTTGTATTTTTAAGAGAATCTCTCTTGTTCTCAAAATTTTTTCTTCGATTATGTATAAATTTCTCTTGACTATAGTTTTTATTATCGTAATAAGATTTATTATAGTTAGAACTCCTAGAGTTATATTACAATATTTTTGTAGCCAATTGGGAAGAACGTTGCATTTGGGATAATAACCCATTTGGGGCAAACCTGGTGCTATGGAAGAGGTACATAGATGATGTACTAATTATTTGGAAGGGCGACAAGTCTATCTTTAATAACTTTATAAGCTATGTAAATTCAAACAATTATGGCTTGGTTTTCACACAGGAAGTAGGAGATAGTCAAATTAATTTTCTAGACCTAACTTTTTTTGTTGATAAGAATTTGATATGTAGTAAAACCTTTTTTAAACTCACAGATTGCAATAGCCATATAGATTTTTCTAGTTGTCATAATCCCATTTGGCTAAAGAATATCCCTAAGAGCCAACAAATGAGACTTTTTAAAAACTGTACTAACAAAGTGGATTTTACAAGTCAGGTTAAAATTCTTAATAAAAGATTTATAGATAGAAATTACCCTAAAGAATTACTGACAAAAAGTCTACAAGATATTGAGGACAACAAAAGAGAAGAAATTTTACAGATAAAATCAGAGACAACTAAATTAGATACTAATGCATACAATATGGCCTTTATAACAAAATACAACAATAAAGCAAATAAAATTGAGAAAGTGTTTAGGAAATATTGGCCAATTTTATTGCAGGATACACATTTACAAAAAATATTGCCTAAAAAACCAAAGATCGTCTATAAAAAGACTGACAACCTAAAAACGATTTTAGCTCCTAGTGTTCTTCCAAAAGTGGTTTTAAAGAGTGAAAATAATAACAAAGATTTTTTAATAAAGAAACCTAATGGCTTTTTCAAATGTGGAAATTGCAGCACTTGTAAATACCAAAAAAGAAATACGACTAATTTTAGAAGTTCAGTTACAGGTGAAACTTTTGAAATTAAACATTTTATTACCTGTAGCAGTAGAAATGTAGTGTATCTGTTGGAATGTACATGTGGAATGCAGTACATAGGCCGCACTATTCGCAAATTACATGAGAGATTAAGAGAACATTTTTATGGTATAAAGAAAAAAAGTGACAAACACAATGTACCTCGACACTGTAACCAATGTTCCACTTTTGTTTTTAACAGTTTCGTGTGTTTAGGTATCGATTTGGTTGTTCCACATTGGCGTGGTGGTGACACCACCAAAGCACTAGCCAAAAAAGAGACCGAATGGATCTACAAAATGAAATCTTCCACTCCATTGGGTCTAAATACAGATCTAGATATTCTAGTTTTTATGTGATATCTATTGTTTATAATATATATATTTTTCTAGTGTTATAGAATTATCAATTTATGGATATGATATTCAGATTATTATGAATTATTTCTCACCTATTATATATATTCCAATAGTGAGGTAACATTTCTGTCCATTTTTGGACTCTAGATTGTAAGGTTTGCCACATAATTGTTTGACACATACAACATTTTTAATTATTTTTATATTTTAAGTTTTTTGTTAAATTCTATTTTTTAGAGCTAATTATGAGATTTTCTTTATATATTTGATTATTATTTTTTTCATACATATGTTCAGTTTGTGGCACACCGAGGTTATATTATTCTGCCTGTAAGCATCCACTGTTACGAATGGATTGACACATGCAACTGCTACTTATGTAGCTTATATGTTTCAATGTGTCTCTCCATTCGGATGCTAATAAAGTTTCAACACGCATCAATTGGGCTACGCATGCGCATTGGTCATTTCCCGATAGTGATTGGAGGCGGGCGCATTGAAGTTGCGTTCCGGCAACAATCTCGACGGAAGTCGGTGTCCTTTTGCGCATGCGCAATGACTTAATTGAGCGCGAAAATTTGAAGATAAAAGAAGACTCCGGAAGAACCGAAGATATACACAGCTCCTGAGGAAGTCCTGAACAAAGCGGGACGAAACGCGTTGAGCCTCATCCATCATCCAATCCAAGTCCAGAGACCACAATATCACCACTATCGATCGAGTTTGCAAGTATTTTTCAGCCCTGGAAGTCGCGACCAAGGGCTGTTTAGTTCATCTCTTCACTTTTTGCTGTTTTGTTTAGTGGTTGATGCCGGGTTTTTGTTCCCAGGTCTCATAATAGGACTATATATTGTTACCATATTTGCATTGGATGTTTATGCACTTTACTATTTATTCCCTTTTTTTATATATCTATTGCACTGTGATGCAAAATAAATTGTATTTTTATACTATCTATTTTTCGAAGTCTCTGTAGAGTATTTACTCTTATACATTTATAGTCCTCCATTAGACTATTTTTTTCTCTAGCGCTTAGCGCCCCCATTAGGTGGGATTTTATTCCACCTTCCTTTCTTTTTCCATTTATGTTTACTATAGGTTTTTTAGAGTGTACCTAGAGGGTGGCAGCTTTTTGCTTTAGAGTTTTATCTGTTCTTTGGTTCTATTTTTTATTTTCATCTAAAAACAAATGCCTACATTCTTCACAAACCTTTATGCAGGGAATTATTATTCGATGGTTAGCGAACTGCCCCTTAGGCTAATAGCTGTGAGAATCTCAGAATGACATAATTGCCATAGCTGTCTGTTAAGACATGTAATCAGACAGACTAAGAGTCAATTATGTCAATCGCTAGACTGCCCCTGGTGCATCCAGGAAAGAGCACTTGCATCACTGTGGCATTGTGTCATCCTCATTGGGGCTTCTGTCTGATACCTTGACTTGTGAGGAGTACGACAATAGAGGGATGTCTTGCTGAAGTTGGCCAGAAATGTGATGTGGGGGTTTAAGTACCTTGTATATCAGCTCGTACTTAACCCCTTAAAGACCAAACTTCTGGAATAAAAGGGAATCATGACATGTCACACGTCATGTGTCCTTAAGGGGTTAAAGGGGCACTTTAGTGTCAGGAACACAAACGTGTATTCCAAGGAGGCAGATTGGAGGTTGGCCCCCCCCCCTTACCTCCGATTAGAAAGGTGATTTACTCAACTTTTTCCAGCACTCGCCAGGCGAGAATAACTAAACAAACAAATAAATATTCACATTGAGACAGGGATTAACTATTCAAAAGCTGTTAAACTAACAATTTAAAGAGTGGTTCACATTGGCCCCATTGCATGAATTATTTCAAATAAGTATTGATGCAGCGCCTCGAGTAGACGAACTTTATTGGGAAAAGCACAGTGTGTAGATTGATATCTACTTTCTTGCTATAAACGTCCCCTGTTGGAATTTATTTTTGGTCTGTTTGTTCTTTAAATACTGACATTGCTGCCTGATATTACCCCCATCTCTGTGTGCCAAGCATGTGTCTTCATTTTATACATTTATCCACCAGACCCAAGTTATTAAACATCAACTTAGCGATTTTAAATAAAACGAGTATGGCTGAACCCCCGGTAGGCATCCTACAGTCATAAAGTGAGTCATGGATTAAAGGATAAACATTTAAGTAAAGAATATCTCTAGAAATCAGTATATGCTAAACATTTTATATAAAGTTTTTATACACCAACAAGAATCATAGAACTTTAGTGTTCAATAAGACTCTAATCTAACAGACAGGTTAATACTCTGGTCAAGAAAAGAAGGCAGGATATCGAGATTGAAAGAGTGAGATGCTGAACCAAAACCACAAAATCCTGTGGTTTGGGCATTGTTTACTTTTCTGTAATTTTCTGTAGTATCTGGCACAGCGTACGAATCCAGAGTGTACCTGGAGAAGCTGACTGAGATGAGCAAAATGTGTAACAGCTAGTTTGAATGACTGCAATTGTGCAGCCAGAGAGAAGGATAAGCCACGTCAGATGGTTTAAAGAAGTGCAAGTGAATAGATGAACCAGCATTTACTGCTTTAGATCCCTGTGAATAAAATGGTTTTGCAGGAATTCAGAGATGATTAATACTCACGTAATGCGAGGCCAAATAATGTTCCACACCTCAAACTATCACACAAAGAGCGCTGTAGGCTTTATTACTTAAATTAACTTCTGACTTTCTTGTAATAAAAAAAGGTTAAGGATTGTTTATATAAGAATAGCATTCACTTCTGCCTGAAAACAACAATGTAATACTGGTTAATCCACAAACAGAGGGTTATTTAATTAAGATAAATTCTCAGGGATTCATATTAAACTTCAAATTTAAGACCACAACAGGCAAACTGTAACAATCTCCAAGTCAGCTTTGTTTCCAGCTTGGATGTTTTAATCTAAAATGTCAATTTACACTTTAATAAATACATAGGACAAACTTTGAATTTTGATTGTCCCTATGTATGCTTAAAGAGACCATTTTGCTGCTAAGCAGTTTTTTGTGTGCCGGCACATTATACGGCTTACCTGGCATAGGTGCCCGCTGAGTCATCTGATTGCCCCATTGCTGCGCGGTGGCTTGATGCATGAGGGACTGTCCTGGGATCTGAAGCTGCTGCTGTCCCGTCGCCTGGTGCTGCATCTGCTGTCCCATTGCCTGGTGGGGTAGCAAGCCCTGCGCAGTCTGCTGTAAATGGTGCAAAGGCTGCTGGGCCTGAGGGACATTGGTCTGTGGCTGTAACCGATTGCAAACACAGAACAAAAAAAGTTAAAGGTTTATAACTCCATGATTTAATTTATTTATTTTTTTAAACTAAACAAGACAGTTCAATATCTTCCATGTACGGGGAGTGCAGCATGTGCCAGTACTCACCGGCTGCTGGCTGAGAAGGAGATTGCGCAGTTGAGGGTTGGCTCCAGGATTCTGCGGTCTCAGCATGGTTCCTTGCTGTGGGTTCTGAGGCTGGCCGGGTGCTTGGACAGCAGCTTGTGGTGCTTGCGGTGGAGGCTGTGTGCCTGCCTGCTGTGGCTGCTGCTGCACTCTCACATGGAGCTTGAAAGTATGGGGGGTGGGGGGGAGGGGAGATTACCATCACAGCCATGCAAAATTCATTGCCAGTGGTATATCATACAACACTTGGTGTTCACATTACTCACTATTGTGATGGATTGTAAATAAAAGAAATGAGAGTTTGCATTCTGGTCTTAAACCCCATTATTCTGTATTTGACCCTTGGTAAAGACTGAGAATAAAACCTCAGATATTTAATGTGCTATATATACACACACCATAACCACTACCACAGCTTGTATTAGGTATGACTCTTTGAGCACTGGATGGCTAACAGTTTCAAACAATCTTGTGTCTAAACTCACCAGATTCTGCGATCTCTGTTGCTCGTCTAACATGGTAACTGGGTTAACCGAGGGCATACCTGGCGCCATCTGTTGACCGGACATCTAGAATAAAAGGAGAGAGGTTAGGAGAAGGGTCAATACATATTTTAGCAGTTCCCCACCAGATAAGAGGTAACACTGCAAAACTTTTAAAAGAGATACAGGTTTACCTGTTACGTTATCGCCTGTGCTACTGGGAGTGTGCCAGGCTGTTTGGATAGGAAAGCTTGAGGGTTGGATGGTACAGACCCAGTACCCATGGACTGAGCTAATCCCAGCTACAAGCACAACAGAGGCAAAGTGTTGTGGAATCCCAATGAAAAGAAACGGCAAAAAGTGATTGTAAGATATTCTAGAAAGCTGTGACATGACACCAACACAGGTGTCACTGCGTAAATACTATGAAAAGATGTAACATTCCAATATTCAGCCATGCCATTACCACATACAGGCCAAGAATCACACAAATAGGCGCTCTACAAAACCACAGTGTGTATATATACACACACACACATATATATTCATGTGCACTCCCAGGATAGATAGATATATATATATATATATATATATATATATACATACATACACACACACACACACACACACACACACACACACACACACACACACACACACACACACACACACACACACACACCTATATCTATCTATAAAAGAAAAAATAATCCTGCACTCCATGAAATTCAAAATATACATGCCCGGTGCTTGTCAGGCGAAAATACAAAGATAAATTATCCAGATAGCACTCCCAGGACTTGGAATAAGTATAAAACTTAACTTTTAATTTACTTTACAACTAAATCGACGTTTCAGTCTGTTATACCCAGACTTTCATCAGAGTCCTGATGAAAGTCTGGGTATAACAGACTGAAACGTTGATATATTTGTAAAGTAAATTAAAAGTTACGTTTTATACTTATTCCAAGTCCTGGGAGTGCTATCTGGATAATATATCTATCTATCTATCTATATCTATATATATCTATATACATATCTATATCTATATATGAAACCAAGTGGCTGCACTCACCTGAACAAACAAAACTTTAAATTGATGTTTAGTGAATAAGCGAGTGCGCTGGATCTTGTATGTTGTATAAATTGGCCCCATCAGCAGCACCTTATAATGTATGCATGTTCAGGTGAGTGCAACCCTCTTGGTTTATTATATATTTATATTTGGGAGTCCAGGCCAACTCTCCGGTTTTGCACCCCTTGTACTGCAGAGAGTCACCAGAGGAAGTATTTCCTAAGTAAGTGGGTTAATCTCATAAGAGCAGACTAGGCTGTTAGAGTAGGACCTGCTAAGAATGGGGTACATTGACGTTGTCGCAGGCTTATGCAATATATGATCATATAATGTAACTAAACTATATGAAGAATAAGAATAACAGGATCCCACCACAGTGTTGCAAGTGATTGCAAGGCTGTGGGGTCTATCCTGATAGCCTACTTCAGAGCTACAAAATAGGGGGTAACCCAAAATGAAATAAATTATAGTAAAGGAGACCCCTGAAACAGGGGGATCCCAAGAGGAGTGGCTCTGGTACAGAAAAAAAGGAAAAATAGTATTTAGAGGTAAATGGAATAATTAAAGAGAGGGGGAAAGGAAAGGAAGGATGCCATATAATAATGGGCAAAAGGGATGAAGGGGGTAAAGAAACAAAATCAGAGACAAAGTTACCCCTACTCCACCCTAAACCACCCACAACTTGCAAAAGCAGGCAATACTTAAGACTAACCAATCCAAAGAGAGAGAAAAATCCCCCCCCTCTCACAAACAAGGTTCAAATCTTGTGGGCAATAGGGTCCTAATGAAAACACCCTTACATATGAAGCCCAAAAAAAGGAGCTGAAAATGGCCTGCCTGAAAAACCAAAATGACTAGAATACTAACTAACTCATAGAATCATACTGACTACCTATGTGCTACCCAAAAAGTGAAAATAAATAAATAAATAAAAAGAAAAGCGCTCTTTTTATTTCTTTTTCTTTTTATTTATTTATTTTCACTTTTTGGGTAGCACATAGGTAGTCAGTATGATTCTATGAGTTAGTTAGTATTCTAGTCATTTTGGTTTTTCAGGCAGGCCCTTTTCAGCTCCTTTTTTTGGGCTTCATATGTAAGGGTGTTTTCATTAGGACCCTATTGCCCACAAGATTTGAGCCTGCTTGTGAGAGGGGGGGGATTTTTCTCTCTCTTTGGATTGGTTAGTCCTAAGTATTGCCTGCTTTTGCAAGTTGTGGGTGGTTTAGGGTGGAGTAGGGGTAACTTTGTCTCTGATTTTGTTTCTTTACCCCCTTCATCCCTTTTGCCCATTATTATATGGCATCCTTCCTTTCCTTTCCCCCTCTCTTTAATTATTCCATTTACCTCTAAATACTATTTTTCCTTTTTTTCTGTACCAGAGCCACTCCTCTTGGGATCCCCCTGTTTCAGGGGTCTCCTTTACTATAATGTAACTAAACCCCCATTATTTTTTTTAAAATAAAACTATTACATTCTGTAAAAACTTCAAATTGCAGTTTAGTGAATAAGGGAGTGCGCTGGATTTTGTATGTTTAACATAAAAAATCCAGAGCACTCCCTATATATATGCCAAAACTATACATTAAAGTATGAATACAATCAAGGTTTGCCATACCTGACTGTAAAAGTTCAAGCAAGCATCATGCGTATAAGCATTGAGTAATGCGTTAAACGTGAAATGCGTTAAGCGTCAGGCGACCACAAGTCACCTAGCAAGCAGGAAGTGCCACCATTGGCTGTCTATTATTTATTTGATTTTATACCTCCCACATACATCTGGCTGGTGAAGTAACAGAGAGACGATTGTATCCAGCTTCCAGAATTTGTGATGTTATGATGGGCTTTTTAACTACGTACATCTTGTAAGTGTACCTTAATAAAGCAGTGTACTTTATGATTGAAGAGTGCTGCACTATGGTTTCTATTATTTAACTTTGCATGTATATCTGAATCTCCAGAGGATCAGCTCGAACAGGCATTATCACCTACATTTTGATGAGCTCAAAATACAACCCACATTTGTGAGTTTAACCTTGAAGCATTAGCACTTTTTGGTGTTTTAGCAATACTACACTATTTCTTTGCCTTTGCATTATCCTTTGTAGATATCTTACTGTATTATCTGTCAGATGCAGTTTGTTTTCACTGGGCCAAAAGAGTTTCTATTTGTAGCAAATTTCATAGCAGTCTCTTTTTTAATAAACCCAAGTTGAAATCGTTTTTTGGTTATTTGTATTAGAAACATAGAATGTGACGGCAGATAAGAACCATTCGGCCCATCTAGTCTGCCCAATTTTCTAAATACTTTCATTAGTCCCTGGCCTTATCTTATAGTTAAGATAGCCTTATGCCTTTCCCACGCATGCTTAAACTCCTTTATTGTGTTAACCTCTACCACTTCAGCTGGAAGGCTATTCCATGCATCCACTACCCTCTCAGTAAAGTAATACTTCCTGATATTATTTTTAAACCTTTGTCCCTCTAATTTAAGACTATGCCCTCTTGTTGTGGTAGTTTTTCTTCTTTTAAATATAGTCTCCTCCTTTACTGTGTTAGTGTATATTAATTCTATGTGTGTTTTACATTTCTCTTCATTGTAAAACTAGGATCTTGAATCCTCAACTTTGTACCAATGCCTCCCAAATCTCTTTTTGAGAGCCGCCACGTCTTCTCTTTTCAACCTTGTAGTTGAGAAAGCGTAGTGCAACAGTATATCAAAGTTCCACAGCAAAAAATACAATGTTTGCGGCAGAACGCCACATTAATCAACGAATCATGATTGAAGCAACCTAACCATTCTAGGGAACAGACCACCACTGATCACACCTTTAAAACACCCTTAAGCAAAAACGGTGAGAGCTTGCCACGTTGCTGAACATATCAGACAACATTAAACACAAACAAGTACCATTATTCAGGTAAGTGTTAAGCACAAGCAGAAACTAGTATCTTGAATGAAGGAACACATACATAATGATAGTAATTAGCTAATTTGATTCAAATGCTGACTTGCATGGAGAGAGGCCAAATTAAAATACATTTTTTCTTGAATGAATTTATACCACATTTTCTTTAAGGAATAGTCACATCTGTTATGAGCTTATTAGAGAATTCAGCAAATATAAAGTAACTATTTGCATTTGAGATAATTCTATACATGTCTGCCTCTATGACTATAGTGAGATATAAATCTCTATATATTATAACTTCCTCACTCTGTAACACTATACAGTACATACTTTGCACCAGGAGGTGGTATTTTAGTCAGTATGGTCTCACCCTTTCAATGGACGCCTGTTAATCAGGGGGAAAAAGTACCTTTGAGGAACATAAATGCTTTCTAGATAAAATATGCTATAAGGGCATTAAATGTTTTTTTTAAACATTGTTATTATGCATATGTCCTTCTCTATGATTTTTTTTTTTTTTGTATTATGAATCATTCCATCTATAGAACATGCACTCCTTGGATCCTACATGAATAAGGAAATTAACACAAAGACTGTATGGGCCCCAGGCTCCTTGAGAACACAATGCAAAGTGAGATAAAAGGTTGCTTACATTTCGATGCTGATCGATTTTCTGCATTTGCACTTGCTTGTGATTTGTTATCACCTGACGGATACCGTTGACAAACCCACTCTGATCATAAGGGATGAGCCCCATGAAGATCTTCTTCTTGGAAGAGTAAAGCAGCATAAGAACTCGCACCTCGCACGGAGTGGTGTGTGGGAAGTGTACGCATCCTGCCTGTAGAAAGTTGGGTGGGATAGACATAGAGGTGAGACATTTCAGAATCTTTGCCACGGTTCATATGATGCTTCTCATAAAATGAGTGCCAGACAGGCCACCAGTACTTACGAATCCATTGCCCATAATGCGGTACAATCCCTTCAACGACTCCAGATCCTTGTTTGTAAAGTGGAACTGCACCATCCGAGAATTCCTGAACAGGGGTCCTAAAGTCGTCTGAATGGAATAGCATAAACGTTAAGAAGGGTGAAGGAGAAGTAAATATCCCACATGCGCTCCCTCCACATAGAAAAACTTGCATCAAAACTAGGTGCCCTGTACAGAAACCAATCCTGCCTAAGCCCTACAGTAAAGGAAAAACTTGTACAGCAAATGCTGATGCCAATCATTTGTTATAGGGATGTAGTATATGCACCTGCACGGCAAACCCACCTTAATAAACGTAATACATTGTATAACTCGTTCTGCCGATTTGTGCTACAATGTAATTACAGGACCCACCATTGTGACATGCTAAAAGAACTAAACTGGCTGTCGCTGGAATCCAGACGCACCCTTCATCTTTCCAGCCTTGTGTTTAAGAGCTTTTCTGGGAAGCTCCCACCCTACCTAACAGAATTGCTCTCCCCGGCTGTTCCCACCTCCTATAACCTCCGATCCAGTACCAGCACTTTATTTAGTCTACCTCAATACAAAAAGAAAGCAGCTCGATCCTCATTTTCCTACAGAGCGCCGCAATTATGGAAAGACCTCCCTCACACTTTCAAATCTTCCCTAAGCCTAAAGTCCTTTAAGAGATCCCTCTCTACATACCTCAAAACAGAATGCACATGTCATGGTTGATTATATATTTCCTACCTGTTCTATGTTAAATTTTGCATATATTGTGTATTAATATTGTTTTTGTATTTTATTGTACCCTATTGTATCAACGCAATGTTTTGTGGACCCAGGACATACTTGAAAACGAGAGAAATCTCAATGTATCTTTCCTGGTAAAATATTTTATCAATAAATAAAATGTCTTTTAATTCATTGGTGTCTTACCAAGAGCTGCTGAGGGATCAACTGCATGATTAACTTCTGAGGCCACTGATCAGTTTTCCTGTTATTGTAAAGAAGAGAAAGATGGATAAGGAATTCTCACAAATCAGAGAGCGAGAGCGAGAGAGAAGAAAGTGGAGTAGCAGTTCCTTTTATAGCTCTAACTATTTTACAAAGTTTGGTTTACCTATAAAAAAAAATATGTTCCCCTGATCTCTCTTAACCCCTTAAGGACCAAACTTCTGGAATAAAATGGAATCATGACATGTCACACATGTCAATGGTCCTTAAGGGGTTAAAAGGGGAGATTATTAATCAGAGTTTAGAAAAAGAAAAAAAGAATTGGGCTACAAAGAAAAAGTAAGCCATACAAAATATTACATTATTTAATAACCTGATGGTGGCCACACAATGGCTTATGGACCTTGGAATAATCAGTATAACAGAGGCCCCTAACTGTAAGGCCATTGTATATTAACCACCTGTTCTGAAGTTTGCATAAAATAGGAGCCAAACATGCACTAGTTAAAAAGAAAAAGCGGAAAAGCTCAGGATGCACTCAAAAGTTAAATGTAGTCATTGATGTGTCTGCTTTCAAGGTGTACAGTAGTAAGTGCTATAACCACTACAGCGCACTGTAATCATTATGCTGTCAAGAGTCCTCTGGCACCATCCATTTTGACACTTGCCTGGCTCTGTCAGCCACCCGCAGTTCCTCCTGGCTGCATCGATACACTAAAGCAGATGTTCATTCTGCAGCATGAGCAAAATTAGTTTTGTGCATCTTTAGACATAATTGGTTGAGAGTGTCGTAAACAGTCTGACTGTGCTAGGGGACTCCTGCCACTGTTATTTGTAAAGCACGCTGTAGTGATTAAATTACTAAGAGCATCCCTTTAAATTCAGTCAGTCACTATACTTACAGGTTTTCCCCAGGGTTGACATAAACTTGACAAGGAAGAGACCGTGTTAGTTTAGCATTAGTGTCAACCGACGCTGGTTTAGGCTTCTGCAAGAAAAGAAGCAGATTGAAACAACAATACATAATTAAATGAGGACTTCAAGGCAAACAAATATTGCAGGAGAAACATGGTCCCTTTAATGATACAATACACAACCCATGAGAGAAAGCTTTAATCACACTCACCTCCTGCCATTCGAGTACCCCACTCCAGGCCAGCATTTTGTTGGTTACAGATTGCTGCGTAGTGGGTATCTGGGGTGCTCCAATTTGAGGTGTTGTATTTTGGGGGGCAGGTACCCCTGACGCCCCTGCAACAGGTTGCTGCAAGGTGAGAGACAAGGTTCATGACTTTTATTCTACCATTATGTTAAGCATCAACATCCCAAAACCATTCTGTTTAAGGCGTGCAGTTGAAGAGTGAACATTAGAGATGGCTAAGCCTTGCAAAATGCTTCATAGTCAACAGTCCTAGGGAGCTATGTCCCCAGTGCAGCAATCAAGACACATGCTATTATTCACTAAAGAAGGAGTTGACACCAAAGTAAAACCTTTGGCCAAAATGTCAGAGTTGGAAAAAGAACTCCGTTGGAGAACTTCTCAACTGCATTACTTTGGCCTGAACTTGGCAGAGAACTCTGAAATGAAAAGATTTAATATATTCATTTGTAGCACAGAAAAGCAATAATTAATATCCCACTAGCACACGTCATGTAAAATGACAACAATTGGTTTTAACCCAAAAAGAAAATTCTCAGAATCAAGGATTTCTCATACCATAGGCTGTGAGACTGGCTGCTGCTGCTGCGGAGGCGGTTGTTGAGGTAACAGTCCCGCTGTAGGTCCGGGGCCGGTGGTTACAGTGGAGACTTGACTGGGTTGGGGAGCTGACGTTATTAAGGGAGCGGTGGATTGAACCATTTTAGGTGGCTGCCCTTGCTGTAGTGTGGGACCTGGAGGCGGGTTAAAAGGAGGTCCAACTGGTGGAGTCTGTTGTATTGGGTTAAGCCCTGGAACTACAAATAAATAAATCAAACACACAAAAAAAAACTGACTTTAGGTACCTTTACAAGTAAATTTATTTCCTACTAAGTTACAAAGCAGCTATTTAAAAAGAAATATAAACAAAGCTATTCGTAAATACGCTGAGTCAAGCAAATAAGATGTAGGCACAAGAACAAGATACCTACAAGGATATCCTCCTTCTCAAACATTTAACAGCGATAAGTTGGAACTTTTAAAATGATATAAAGTAAATACTTACAGCGATTTGGGATGCCATTCTTCTGGTTATTTGCGGCCTCAACTACAGACTGAGCAGCAGCGTGGGCAGAGGTCATCTGCTTCGCCTAGAAAACACGTGGGACATTGCTCAGCTGAAAGCAACTGCAAGGATTGCACAGGCTCCAATATATAAATTCCCCTGAACACAGATTAAACAGGCTCTATCATAAATATTCTCAGAAGATCAGAGTTGTTTTTGTATTTATTTATTTTTAATAAAGTGAACTTGAATTTTTAGGCGGTGCATTGTTACCTATATACTTATAGTTTACATAGGGGATGGAAGGCATCACTAGAACTAACTGCATCATTATACCCTATGTGCCATGCAGCCAATACCCTCTGTATGTGCACTTATCCTAGATAAGTTTATTTTATTAGAAATTGAAAAATAGGTAGCGCATTATTTAATCTGGTTTGTGAAATGTTCTCTCATGGTAGGGGGATATTATTGTGGCATGCACAACAAGCCATATAACAGCAAGCAATATGGTGGCAAAATAAATGGATGGACTGAACCACAAGAGCTGACAGCCACTAGAGGGACTCCCGGAATCTAGACGGACCTATGGTCCGTTATCTGACGCTGGACGTCCTCACGCTATGTATGAGGACCACCAGCGTTAGTTTTTCCCTATAGGAAAGCATACTAATGCGAGCACACCCATTGCTGCGCATGCGCATTAGGTCTCCCCCACCAGCTGAGACAGCAGGGGAGAAGCGTGGGCAAAGCCTGACCCAGCGCCGAGGGACAATGGCGCTGGAATCAGGTAAGGGGTTAAACATTTTAAAAAATTAAAAAATAAATAAAAACACACCATTATTAATTTATATAAATATTTGACAACATGTTCTCTTCTATATGGCTGCATGACAACAAATAGTGGGGGGAATTTGATAAGAAAAAGTAATACTGGAGAAAATAGCAAGGAAATATAATCAACACACAAAAGGATAAAACACAAATTTGGTTTCTTACCATATAAGAAGGCTGGACCTGGGGTAGCTGGTGTGCGTTCGGATTATGGAGCGGAGGCTGAACAGGAAGGGGCGGCTGTGGAATGACTTGTTTGGGTGGAACCCCACCAGGAACAGCTGCAACTCCAACTGTGGAAAGAAAACCGGCAAGCACATAGTATACAAACCATCATCACATAATATACAAACCATCAGATAATATACAAACCATCACATAATATACACACCTATAGACTGTAAGCTTGTTTGAGCAGGGTTCCCTTCAATTTACTGTTCCTATAAGTTTTTGTAATTGTCTCATTTATTGTTAAATCTCCTCCTTTTTATAATATTGTAACGCGCTACAGATTGTGCTGGCGCTATATAAATACCAGTAATAATAATAATAATAATAATAATAATAATAATAAATCACATAATATACAAACCACACACTGATAGGGTTTAATCTAAAAATGTAGCACTTCTACAATGTGCTTCGCAAGTAGGCCCATGAGCTTACAACATAACGGCAGATTGCACAAACAAGAACCAACAAGTCTGTCCCTCTGTTTGCATTTCCTGCTTATATCTGTGTGCAGATCCGTGTTTAACAATGTATTGTATTGATATTAAAGTTTAGGTTATGTTGCTGAAGTCTTTTTCAGCAAATCAGGGTTATAAATCAGAACACTGGGCAATTAATAAAAAAAAAAAAAAAAAAAGATAGATCTTTCTGAATGTTTCCAGTTAGTAATCACTGGCTATTTCTATACAAATTATCCTCTTTTTGGAACCTTAATTTTTTTTTATATGGGTTGCCTATTGGACAGGGGATAATGGAGCATTTAACCTTTCCACTTGGGCACCATGATTAAAAACTCCTGTTCATGAGTTCATCCCATTGTACAGCGTTATGGAATTTCCTGGCGCTAATTAAATAATAACTATCTGCTATTAAGCAGATTTAAAATGTTAAAACACACAGTATCAAATGGATAGTGTCAGTCAATAAGATGGCCTGAGAGCCAGCAGCCTGTACTACCTACCATATCTCTGCCACCCACTGGATGTGCTTTCTGAGCTTCAAACTGTGTTTTTATTAGTGTGTAATGTTAAATTGGGTACAGATTGGTAACCAAGCCACATATGCTGCCAACAGGCACCCTGGTACCAGCAGAAATTCCAACAGTACTAGCTGACAGCAATTATAATAGGGACCTTCAAAAATGTCAATAGGAATATCCATCAGGTTATACCAGATTGTGATATGTACTACGAATACGGTAATCCTACAGCACCATGTGTAAAACAAACAAAAAAAACAATGGTTTGTACTAACCTGGAAGGATCATCCCTCGAATCAAGATCATATGGCGGGGATCCTGACTGTAATCTTTTGCTTGGGGCTCCATCATGCCCACTGGCATTGCTTTTTCAAATAGAGTCCGCAAGGCGGGTAGCTTGCGTGGGGAGATTATAGAGAAATGGATCCCCCTCTAGAAGGGAAAACAAAAACAAAAAATTGTTAAAAAAAAATAGTGCTAATCAGGCTTGAACTAAAATCTGCTAGATAAAGGAACGGTTGGGCTGTGCATATACAAGAGCAGGAGCATCTATTAGTATGTACTACTCTGTTATTGTATTAAAAAAAATGTTTTTCTATATCATAGAATGTCACATTATATTGTTAAACCATACTAATATAGTACCAGATTATAAAACAGCATCACCACCGCCATCTGGATTATTATATACTTAATGTGTACTGATATGGTTCTAAGTCATATCTGTAATAAGTGAGTAGAGTTAGAAGAGATAAGCACACAGGCAGAATTAAATCTTGGCATAGTTCAAATAATCTTGGCAACTGTTCTTTAAAGGGACACTGTAGGCACCCAGACCACTTCAGATCATTGAAGGCGTCTGGGTGCAGTGTGCCTACTGCACTTAGTGCTGCAATGTTTTTAAACCTTGATTCAGTGGGGAGGGGCGAGGCAGTGGGAGCGATAGTGCCAGGAATACAGGAAATTTGTATTCCTGGCACTATAGTATCCCTTTAAATTGCATTTTGATTTCTTGATATTATTCTAATATGCCAGAACTTATCATGCAGCATTTGTACAAACTGGTAAATCAAATAAATAAAAAAAAATTTAATTTGTGGGTAACGTTTTAGTAATGAGAAAACAATTAAATCCGTAGCACATACAACTCACCTCTCCGATCTTCTGGACCAAATTTTCGGTTGTGCAACCAGAGTATGTTGTGCTTTCCACGGCCGGGAGAAGATATGGTGGAGAATTGCAGATCAGAATGCACACCTTGTGTGTCTGCCCACTGAGAAACAAAAATGGAATCAATCAGGGAAGAATCGAATGGACACAGATTTAATGAAAAATCATCATTGATTGTAGAAAATGTATCTATTATTTATTTTGTAAAATAAGGAAACTAAAGTTGGAACACATTAAGGATGATGCAACTGTAATAGCAACTTTATGTTTAGCAGTATATAGGCTATAAAACTTTGTGGAAATATAAAAAAAAAATCTAGAATGAAACTGCCTTTATGTCAAATTAAAGCCGAATGATAACAAACATGGCTATTCTAGGAATTGTTGACAACTGCACATTTTAGAGGAACACTATAGGCACCAAAACAACTTTAGCTTAAGGAAGCAGGATTTTATAATATAGATCATGCCTCTGAAATCTCACTGCGCAATTCTCTGCCATTTAGGAGTTAACTTACTTTGTTTACACAGCCCTAGAAACACCTTCCTGCATGTGATTTACACAGTCTTCCTAAACATGTCCTGAAAAGTTACCTAAATATTTATCACGGTCTGTTTAATCTAGAATTTTGTATACCCTGCTCTGTTAATAGCTTTCTACTGCCTGCAGGAGCCTCCTGTGTGTGATTAAAGTTCAGTTCACAGAGCAGGAGATAAAAACATGAAAATTAAACCACTTGTTTCATGCAGGCTGTGTGAGTCACAGTCAGGGGATGTGTGGCTAGGGCTGCATGGACAGAAACAAAACTGATTTAACTCCTAATTGGAAAGAATTGAGCAGTAAGACTGCAAGCACATGATCTACAACAGAACAGCCTCATTAAAGGGACACTATAGGCACCATGACCACTTCCTCTCATTGAATTGGTCTAGACAGCCACAAGAGGCGCATCCGGATCCTTAGCGGACTTTTGGTAAAGACATCCAGCATCTTTTCTACAGGGAAGTCCTAATGCGCTTGCAGAACATGGGCATTAGGCATCCATTGCTGGCTGACATCGGCAGAGCCTTCCCCACCACGGACGGAAAGTGGAGCTGGAATCAGGTAAGTGACAAAATGGTTTTAAAGTGTGGAGTGGAGGTTACTATAGTGCTAGGAATACCACTTTGTATTCCTAGCCCTATAGTTTCCCTTTAAGTTGTTTTGATGCCTATCGTGTCCCTTTAAGTCACAACAGACAAACTGGAAAAAGCCTATAATGCCATTCTGGCCTAAATATTCAGATTCCCTGGTCAGTTCTCAACAATGCTCCATTTAAAGTGTAATCCTGTAAATGTTCTGAATGGACTTACATTTGTTCTCTCATCTTCTTGAAGTCATCAAACAGTTGCAGGGCTGTGCTAAGACCCTCTGCGATTAGACTGCAGCTTTCACCCCCGCCTCCCATAAACCTGAAAGGAAAAAAAAGGTGGTGGGAAGGGGGTAAATGATTAAGGACTGTACAGTACTTTTATATTTATATCACAGCTGTATTTTTCACGGGCATTACACAATCAATATTTCAGAAATTGGGAAAAATATTTGTGAAGATTTCATTCAGGAAATTTGTTTTTACACAATATAAGCAGGAGAATTATACTTTTAATATAAAAATGTTTGCTCAGATTACACCTGTAGACTAAAGGTTTTCTGTGCTTTTTTTCTTAAATAGAATAGAAAAGGGTCTTACATAATGCTGTCTAGCCACTGCACGAACTCATACGCACTGCTTGTAGGGGCATGACACTGAACATAGGACTCAGGGGCACAATCCACAGTGTTAAACACCACGAGACTGTACTGCGTGCCGCCATACTGCAATACAAAATATATAAACACATATATAAACACATACTCGTAGATCAGCAGAAGGTAGAGAGTAGCATTAAAGCAAGCAAAAATAACTCACATCTCCTCCAAAATCTGTCTCTGCTGGCGGGCCTCCATTGAAATATCTGTGAAACAGTCAGAAATTTAATATGAGATGAGAGTAACGTGTCAAAGTGTTACAATAAGACATGTATCCAGTGTAAAGATCCCCCCCTCCAAGCATTTTTTTTCATATAATACTTCAAGTTATCCCACCCACAGGTGCATATAATATTCTCAAATATTAAATGGACACTATAGTCACCAAAACAACTTTAGCTTAATGAAGCAGTTTTGGTGTATACAACATGCCCCTCCAACCTCACTGCTCAATTCTCTGCCATTTAGGAGTTAAATCCCTTTGTTTATGAACCCTAGTCACACCTCCCTGCATGTGACTGGCACAGCTTCCATAAACACTTCCTGTAAAGAGTCATCTGTTTATCCTTCCTTTATTGCAAGTTCTGTTTAATTTATATTTTCTTATCCCCTGCTATGTTAATAGCTTGTAAGACACTGCAAGAGCCTCTTGTATGTGATTAAAGCTCAATTTACAGAGCAAGAGATACAAATTGTAAGGTATATTACATCTGATTGAAAGTGAAACTAGTTTTTTTTCATGCAAGCTGTGTCAATCAGAGCCAGGGGAGGTGTGGCAAAAAACAGAAATAAAGTAATTTAACTCCTAAATGGCAGTGAATTGAGCAGTGAAACCTAAAAGGCATGATCTATACACTAAAACTGCTTCATTAAGCTAAAGTTGTTTAGGTGACTATAGTGTCCCTTTTAAATTATCCCCTCCAAAACACACACCTATTAATATTACTGGTCGTGGTGGAGAATACCGTAACCAAAAGGAAAGAAACGAATAAACATTGTGAACCATGTATTAATCATGAAAAGGATTGAGAAAAAAACAAAACTCACTCTATTGCAGGTAAGAGATAATGTTTTCTGAGTGACTCAAAGTAAGGTCCTAAATTAGCTGTTCCTTCTATCACGAAGACAACATCTGAAACCATTCCCAAACTTGCTGGGGTTGATGAATCCATTGTCGCAACCTTCCACTAACAGGTGCCTGAAATAAACAAACGTGGTAATAAATGACCAAGTGTTACATATCTGGGCAGTGAATATGCATTTGTTAAATTTAAGGACAACTCATATTTTCACTTGTTTTTTTTAATGTTTATTACATTTTACAAAACAATGATTATGGTGAGGATCTCTCAATTTTGGGAGTCTGCATATTTAGCAAAGACCCCTGAAAGTGTCCGATCAGGTGTGGCTCTGGTGGCATCTGTGAACAAGGGAAGGTAGAATTTAGTTATCTGTCCCTCATTGCCGTTGCCATCGCTTTCCTGGTGTTCTTATTCAGCTCTTGGTGCTAAATTTGGCCCGAGTGAGTACAACACTGAGGTGTATGGAGGATCCCGCAAGATTCACGATAAATTAATACCTCAAGTGATAGCTGCTAGGAATGAATAAAGATTGACAGTAGCGCTCGGCCTTTTGTCAACCTCAGGCTTGTCCTTAAAACAAAGTAATCCCTACTATATCTTTGGGCTGAATTTCAATGAAATTCGAACATTAGGATATCTATTTCATAAAGATTATATCTTTTCAAAAAAGGGGATTTATGGGCACACCGGGAGCATGAATTTCTCAGCAATGGTGCTGCTATACAGACCAACATTTATACAAAACAGAGATTAAGGAACATCGCGCACACAAAAATACAGTTAGTGTAGGACCCCACCGATATTGGGGTACTGTGACGTAATGGCGGGCCTAACAAGATATGGCCATATGGTGGAACTCAATCCCCATATTTGTTTGCTGAGATAGGTCATTTTTAAAAAGCATTATAAAATGTCAAACTGTATTTTTTTTTTGTGTGCTGTTCCCTAATCTGTAATTTGTATAAAAAGATTGTGGCTTTATGAAATACTGAAAAGTGACAGAGCCGCGTTAAGAACTATGAGATTTATTTACTAAACTCCGAATTGTAGCGAGTTGAAATTTCGAATAGCAAAATTTAGGCAAAAAAAAAAAAAAGTGATTTTCAACCAACAGAATCCACCCACCCCCTTATCTGTAAACTGCACAGATCTGTAAGACCAGCCGCATTGGAACCTTCAAGTCCTGAAGCTAAGCATGCCAAGCATGCGCTATAATCAGGCATAGGCAACCTTTGGCACTCCAGATGTTTTGGACTACACCTCCCATGATGCTTTGCCAGCATTATGGGTGTAAGAGCACTATGGGGGATGTAGTCCACAACATCTCGAGTGCCAAAGGTTTTTATATAGCGCACACATAGTCCGCAGCGCAGTACAAACCCCATTTAAGGAGAGAGAGTACCTGGGGTGCAGCCTGGAGCCTGACCCTCCCCCCAGTCTCACCTGGTAGGTCACCTCGGGGGGGCCACCCACAGTCACCCCCGGGGAGGAGGAGGGTCCTGCACCCCTACACCCGAAATCAAGGTACAGGAGGAGCAGCACCCGCACCTCCACCCGGAAGCATCCAGCCTAACCTCCGCCTCCAGAACGCAGTGCGCGCAGCCGAACACCGAGGCCGAAAGGTGTGGAACGTTCCTATCTGGGCTCGATTGATGCTGCCTGATCCCAGAGCGCCAGATGCCAGCCAGCCAGCGTGGCGCTGTACTCATGTTGTGGTTGGCGGAAGCTGCAGAGTCACCTGGTGTGTCTCCATGGTTACTAGCATTAGGGCTAGCCTGCCAAGTGTGTGTCACTGGAATCAGGGCTAGAATCACCCAGGGACATCTCACTGATACTTCAGATACTTTAATGGGTCACATTACCAGCATTATAGTATTAGTGTCTGGCTTTGTAATATAGAGTTTACATGTAGTTGGTTCTCCTGGAGTGCAGTGATTGCTAACACTGACATACTATGTGTATCTGAACTACATCCCCCTGGGAATCATTGTAAAAGAAACGTCCAAACACCAAATAAATAAATAAATCCAGAATAAAGGGAGAGAACAGAAAAAATATATTGATAATCTCTCTCCCCCTACCCAACACACACACACACACACACATACACAGCTACCAAACATGAACAAGGATACAACATTTTACTATGACAGAACACGACTATTTACACGTACTATTAAAGGAACACTATAGTCACCTAAATTACTTTAGCTAAATAAAGCAGTTTTAGTGTATAGATCATTCCGCTGCAATTTCACTGCTCAATTCACTGTCATTTAGGAGTTAAATCACTGTTACTGTTTGTGCAGCCCTAGCCACACCTCCCGTGGCTATGATTGACAGAGCCTGCATGAAAAAAAAAAAACGGTTTCACTTTCAAACAGATGTAATTTACCTTAAATAATTGTATCTCAATCTCTAAATTGATCTTTAATCACATACAGGAGGCTCTTGCAGGGTCTAGCAAGCTATTAACATAGCAGGGGATAAGAAAATCTTAATTAAACAGAACTTGCAATAAAGAAAGCCTAAATAGGGCTCTCTTTACAGGAAGTGTTTATGGAAGGCTGTGCAAGTCACATGCAGGGAGGTGTGACTAGGGTTCATAAACAAATGGATTTAACTCCTAAATGGCAGAGGATTGAGCAGTGAGGCTGCAGGGGCATGTTCTATACACCAAAACTGCTTCATTAAGCTAAAGTTGTTCAGGTGACTGTAGTGTCCCTTTAACATACCGACACACACACACTCTCTCTCTCTCCTCTCTCTCCCTCTCTCTCTCTCCAATTTTTACTTCCCGGATATATCCATGGCAGTACTCCAGATGGGTTTAGCTCTGCCCCCTTCCAAATTGGAGAGGAACACTTCCTAATTAAAACGATAAAAGAGAGACGCCTCCTCCTACCCCTCAGTCTTTTTTCCTGTCCACTTCACTTTGGACACAGGATGCTTTGCACCTCCTTTTTCTTTTGCGACTTACTTGGGTCATCCGTACACCTATCCTATGGGAAGTTCAGCCTCTCTCCCCACGGAAGTCTCATGATACGGCGCCTCACCAAGGGCGACCCCCTGTGGGAGTCTCCCCTTAACAACCAGGGAGCATATGCTGCAGTGACCAGACAGTTAGCAGCTGGATATGCCAGACCCACTAAGGTGGTAATGTCCCTAATATGGGCACACCAGATGGATGTTGGATAGTTGGCTTCTTGGCTTTCCCTTTATAGGTGGTAATTCCCTACATGGGTACACCTACCTGGACATGCAGCAATGTATTTATCGCAAGGTGGCACTTTCCAGGGGGCAGAAAAAAAATCCCGCTTCTCGAATGCCCCAGCAAATGCCTTGTAAGCCTTAAAGGACCACTATAGTGCCAGGAAAACATACTTGTTTTCCAGGCAATATAGTGCCCTGAGGGTGCCCCCACCCTCAGGGCCCCCCTCCCGCCCGGCTCTGGAAGAGGGAAAGGGGTTAAATCTTACCTTTTTCCTGCACTGGGCGGAGAGCTCTCCTCCTCCGATCCTCCTCTTCTCCTCCCCGTCGGCTGAATGCGCACGCGCGGCAAGAGCTGCGCGCGCATTCAGCCGGTCACATAGGAAAGCATTCATAATGCTTTCCTATGGACGCTGGCGTGCTCTCACTGTGAAAATCACAGTGAGAAGCACGCAAGCGCCTCTAGCGGCTGTCAATGAGACAGCCGCTAGAGGAAATAGGGGAAGGCTTAACCCATTCATAAACATAGCAGTTTCTCTGAAACTGCTATGTTTATGAAAAAATGGGTTAACCCTAGCTGGACCTGGCACCCAGACCACTTCATTAAGCTGAAGCGATCTGGGTGCCTAGAGTGGTCCTTTAAGTCTGGGCTTCTTGTGCTAATGACTGTGTGTCAGTCAGTGAGTGCATGTATCCATGAGGATGTGTGTTGGTCTTAAATAGGAAGAGGGGGCAATATTAGGGGGTGCCCCAGTTTAGTCCTGCCTAGGGCAGCACAAATCCAAAATACACCACTGTGGACATGTCATGGCTCATGTTAAATTGCCAGGTATTTGGTCCCTTAGGGGCTGAAGCAAGGGAGCCTGGTCTGGGGATCCTCTTCAGGCTTATTAAAGTTCTTACTCTTAGCACCATAAAAGTGCAAATTTCATCTCTCTCCATCCTCTTGGATCAAAAGTTGGCACTTGAGCCAGGCAGTCTTAAAAGTGCGTCCTATAAAGTCTTGCTCTCCTCCCTGGGACTTGCCTCTGGTATTGCAAGCTTTATATGGTGCTCCATTTGAGCCCCTAGAGCATACTTATTGACTTTAAAAGTGAAAACAGTTCTTCTGGTGGCTCTTACATCAGGTAGAAGTATTTCAGAGCTTCAGGCTCTCTCATGTGAATCTCCTTTCCTTATACTACAAGAGGATAGAGTTATTCTTGGGACTATTCCAACCTTTCGTCCTAAGGTCATGTCTTCTTTCCATTTTAAACAGGATATTATCTTACCAGCCTTTTCCCCTCGTCCTTCATCTGAAGAGGAAAAGTCTGGACTTGGTCCGTTGTATTTCCATTTACCTGCACCGTACATCTGGCATTAGAAAATCATCTAGCCTCTTTATTATCCCTTCTGATCATCATACGGGTCAATCGGCTTCTACAGGGTTCAGGTCCCGTCGGGTCTCAGGGCCCATTCCACCAGGTCATTGTACCGTCATTGTATCTTCATGGGCAGCTGCAGCAAATATGTCTCCTGACCACATTTGTTCAGCAGCAACTTAGTCTTCATTCAACACCTTCATTTAGCATTATCGATTGGATGTTGTCAGATCTTCTACGTCTGAGTTCGGTAGAATTGTCCTATCAGCGACATTTTAATTATGCAAATAATAAATTAGTGTTTCTTGGCATCAAATTTCAGTGTTTGTTGTTTTCTGTCGCTGCCTGTATAACCCATCTGTAGTGCTGCCATGGATATATACGGGAAAATAGAACATTTACTCCATACTTACCAATATTTTAATTTCCCGGATATAGTCCATGGCAGTACTACAGTCCCACCCTTTTTGGTTTTTTGTTTGTGGCTTTGGACTCAGGACTGAGGGGTAGGAGGAGACATCTCTCTTTTATTGTTTTAATTAGGAGGTGTTCCTGTCCAATTTGGAAGGGGGGCATGGATATATCTGGGAAATGAAAATATCGGTAAGTATGAAGTAAATTTTCTATTATTTGCAACAACCCTCCTGCTAGCTCACTTTTTGCTTGGGGTCCTGGTGATGCTGGCTGAGGCTGATGGGAGTGAGCGTGAGCATCCGCAGCAGCTCACTCCTGCCACTCCTCTCGATGCTACCTTTAGTACCGCCTCCTCCTCCCTCCCTCTCCTCCCTCCCAGGTGGCCAATATTGCAGGGTCCGGTTGTCCGATTAAAGGGCAACGGCACATGAACGGGCCCGGTTCAGCGATACCCATCGGGTGGCTGCAAATCATATACAATATCTTGGAAATCACACACAGAGTTTCCCTGGTAGAATTCACCTTAAATCTCCTTAAATGCAGCACTTTCACTAGTGATGTTTTCAATAAGATATAATCTTTAAGAAACAAATCATATAGAAAATATTTGGATTGGAAGATCTGCATGAGACAAAAGACTACAATGTCTATAAGTGTGATTTTGATAAAATTTGGCAAAGGTCGATCTCATGGCATTCATCACATCTATTCCCTAGCTGTCACTAGCAGCTGCTTGTGGGTATAAGGGGGGGATGCTTGTATGGTTGGATGTGAGAGAGGGAGGCTGTTGTGGCGATACGGCTGTTTGCAATGTAGTATGTGTGGGCATTTAAATAGGGTCTTTATGTGAATAGGGCCCGTAGTGTGTGCGTGTTTAGGAGATATGAGCTCTAGTATCTGCGTGTGTTGGATAGGACAGGGGCTGTAGAGTGTATTTGGGTGATAGATTCTATAGTGTATGTTTGGGAGTAATCTATGTGTGCAGGGGTTAAGGGCTATAGTGTATGTGTGCAGGGGATAAGGGCTATAGTGTATGTGTGCAGGGGTTAAGGGCTATAGTGTATGTGTGCAGGGGATAAGGGCTATAGTGTATGTGTGCAGGGGATAAGGGCTATAGTGTACGTGTGCAGGGGACAGGGGCTGCAGTGTTTGTTGTGTGGGTGATAAGGACTGTTGTGTGTGTTGGGGGGGAGACAAACTCTATTGTATGCATGTTCAGGGGGAAAAGGCTTGTAATGAGTGGGGAACAGCAGCTGTGGTGGAAGCATGGGGGCTATAGTGTGGGGGATAGGGGTTGCTGTGAGAAGTGGAGGGATATGGGCCGAGGGACATATATTAAAAAAAATCTCTATATATATTTAAACGCAAAAAATCTAAAGTAGTCCCCCCCCCCCTCACCTGAGGCTTACCTTGGGCCAGGGAGGGGGAAATCCTGATCCCTAGTGGGAGAGGCTGCTTGTCTGCACCACCGATGGATGCAGTCACCTCTGGCCAACGCCAGAGTACATACCAGAGAACTTGTGGAGAACTTGCCCTGCAACCACAGGAGTTGGAGATCAAGTTCTCTGGATCCCTCTGGGAGTGGCCACCGGGAATGTAGCCCCCTCTCTGGGACAGATTTAGAGATCCCTTAATCTCTCCTGTTGGCCTTGGCACCATGGTATAAGAATGGGCTGGCAGGTGAGGGAGATGATTGATCTCCTCACAGGCCGTGCCTCCCTCTCCTGCCTGCGGCCCCAAGGTGGCCTTTTTGGAAGTCTGGTCCTGGTCACGCACTAGCAGACATAGCTATACACTAAGCCATACACTAGCACACTCCCAAAGACACTATTAGGAATACATAGACACTTACTAAAATGCATACACAGACACACACAAACATTGATGCACACTAGCACGCATACATTGACACACATAATTCTATTATTACTCCATATTATCTCACCTGCTGCTCTCCTTTCACAGAGAACACACGGGGCTCTGTTTTGTGTAACATCAGGAAAGAATGAGAACTATGTATGGACCAACACAAGAAAGAAAAAAAGATCAAAAAACATTTTTTGTTTGTTTTTGCAATTTTAGAGGCATCCTAATATGCACCCCTTAGAGATTGTATTGGTGACTTTATGAATGTTTAACCCCTTAAGGACACATGACATGTCTGACATGTCATGATTCCCTTTTATTCCAGAAGTTTGGTCCTTAAGGGGTTAAAGTCGTTACAGCTAGCAAAGGAAAGCACTGGACCATCTCATTTTATTACAGAGTATTGACCAGCACAGCCTTCCCTCCTGCGCCTGCTATCCCCCAGAAATTTCAAATGTAAGGCCCGAGTAACCAAACTGCAACCTTAGCTGACATGGTGAGCTTTTTCAGTTCAGCATGAGATTTATTATTATGTATTACCAATAAATTAATATTGACCCAAAATGTATTTAACATCATTGTCCATTTAATGGAATAGTAAGACAGAGAGGGTAATAACATATTCAATATAAAAATGCTGTTCTAACACATTTAGTCTAATTCAACATTTAATCTGAATGAATTAAAGCTGAAAAGTAAGGTTTATTCTTACTTATAGTTGATTCCGTTCATTGCTTTAATTGACCAGCATAAGACATTAAAGGTCAATAGGAATATAGTTTATTGTTTTAATTCATTAATCTACCTTAGTTCCATAATCATAGTCAAATTAACAAGCTGTTGCTGAGTTGTCCATTTATGTAACTGTGATTTTAAGTGTGTTTAAAGTAAAGTAGTGGTACTTAGCCCCGGAATAATTAAAAAAATTGCCTCCCCACGCTATTTCAGTGGGTCCACTGCGGTGGAACATAAACATTATATACAACGGCAAGTAAAAGTATGTGGTCTAGTGGTTTTCTGCACGAATTGATCATAAATTGTAATATCGTCTTCAGCAAAGTCACAAGTATAGACAAACACAATATGCTTAAAGGGATACTATAGTGCCAGGAATACAAAGCTGTGTTCTTGGCACTATCGCTCTCTTTGCCTCCCCCCCATCAGTAAATAAAGGATTAATAAATCTTACCCGATCCGTCGACACTCCGCCTCCCCCACTCCCCAACGTCCTGCAATGAGTGGTCGCCAATGCGCATGCAAATGCCGTGCACGCATTAGACCTCCACATAAAAAAGCATTGTATCAATGCTTTCTGACAGGAAAAATCTGAAGCTGGAGGTCCTCAAGCAGAGCGTGAGGACGTCCAGCGTCAGATACCAGACCTAAGGTCCGTTTCGTTCCAGGAAGCCATCTAGTGGATGTCTGGTAGACACCCATTGGAGACAGACTTAGTGCTGCAATGTAACTAGGTGCAAAAGGGATACTGCTCCCAAACCACTTCAACGAGCCAAAGTGGTCTGTGTGCCTATAGTGTCACTTTAAGCTAGCAAAACACAAACAATTATAATCTTTCATGTATTAATTGAATACATCTCATTAAACATTAACAGTACTATGGAACAAGTAAGTGAACACTTGTATTTACTGGCTAATCCTCTTTCCTCTTTTGGTAGCAATAACCTCAACCAGGTGTAGCTGTGGATTAGACCTTCACATTTTTCAGGGGGAATTGTGGACCACTCTTCCTTACAAAACTGCTTCAACTCAACCATATTCTTATTCTACAGCACCTCTATTGGGTTATGGTCTGGCTCTGACTGGGCACCACTCCAAAAGGCAGGTTTTCTTTTTTAAAGCCATTCTGTATTGAATTTACCTCGATGTTTAGGATCCCTGTCCTGCGGCATTACGCAATTTCTACTGAGCTTCAACTGGTGCACAGCCACCCTGATATCTTGAACTTCTTGCTAAACCTGCCCCATGCTCCAAAGCAGCCCTACATTATGAGGCTCCCTCCACCGTACTTAACGATTGGGATGATGTTTTCATGTTAGTATGTGGTGCCCTTTTTACGCCATACATAGTTTTGCGTACTCTTCCCAAACTACTCAACCTTAGTTTAATCAGTCCACAAAATTGTTTCCCAGTGGAGTTAAGGAGTGTCAAAGTAAAGGATTCCAAATGGAACTTAGATCAGACGAACGCCAAACCACAGACAGTTAGGATTTAGAACACACACTCTGGACGACAGAAGACAAAAGACAAATTACTACCCTAACACCCTCCTCCCCACCCTAATCCCGACTTCCCCCCCCTCTTCTAAAGACACACACAAGACAATAACCCCAACCCAAGCAGATATACTTATCAAGGTTGGATAAGAAGCCTGCGAGCCTCAACACATACACAACATGAATCACAGCTGTTGTACAAGAAACATATAAACCACATAAATACGGTTTAATTAGTAAAACAAGTGGCAGATGGTAAATGTAAATGAAGTTACTCGAGAAACTTGACAATAGGGACTTGCAAGTCCGTCAACATTGCGGGCCTGCGAGCCCAAACATATATTAATGTTTTATAATGTTATGATAACTCACCTTAGAGACCTGCGAGTCTCAAACCTTTAAATAAGCAATATAAATAAAAATTATATTCACAAAAAAGTGACCTTTGGCAAACTTCAGGTGTCCATCCATGTTTATTTTTTCCAAGTAGTGGCTTTCTCTGTGCTGTTCTGCAATGGATGCCATGCCTGTTCAATGTTTTCCATGTAGTAGATTCATGAACAGAGATGTTAACCAGGTCTAATGATTTCTTCAAATCTTTAGCGGTCATCCTAGGGTTCTTCTTTTACCTTAATTGAAGCATTGTTATAAAGGGCAAAAGTAATTTTATAATCATAACATTAACCGGGGTGCAGCTACATTGGGTGCCAGCAGTGCCTCTCTTTGGGAATGATCAGCAGTGTTTGCACCTCTTTAGAAGACCCCATCACTTAAATTGAATATAAATGCAATAAACTTGATATTGGTAATGCAATACATTGTATATATATCTTCCATACCTCTTTCTATTGCAAGCTTGCGAGCCAAAAAAATATTTGTTACTGTTTGACAAATTGTTGTCTCTTTATACACTTTACCCAGTGTATTTAGAATTGTGGCATATTTTTCGTGACATATAAATAAAACAGTTTTGTCATCTACAAGCAGGGCTTCGGTTCTGTGTAAATGTATTGTAATTGCAATTTCAACTCTGACCACTTGTTAGCAGCAGAGTATTGCTCAAGAACATCTCAAGGGCTATTTACTAAACCACGATTCCTGTTGAACAATGGAATTAAGCTAATTTAGACCACACTAATCAAGATGGAACTATCTCGGACTCGTCTATTTTCACAGTTTGCCAATTTTGACCTAAAATTCTAAATATAATTATAAATTCTCCACTCGCTGAATATCTGGACTGATTGAGTTATTTCACCGCTGTGACTGTCCTCAACGTTTCCAAAAAATGCTTTTCAGTGAGAAAAGTAACATAACTTGTTGAAGATTCTAAGCATAAAAATGATCGCAAATGATTGTCACGAGTCCAAAAATAGAAAACACGCACTAATTATTGTTTGATTGTTTAGGAATTTTGGTGCAATACCAAATAGAAATAGACACAAAGGCTGTTTTGTTGTGTATTTTTTTTTTTTCAAATCACCTGTCCTGATCTAGTTTTCTGGCATTATCGGCACTGTACAAAAGGTTGTTAGAATCAGGCTCTGCTTTGCTATCATGTATAACGCCCAGTTGCACATCTTTGTGCACACCGCACTGCAGTGATGAATTTGCCTTCAGGAGAGTAGATCTGCCTGATCCCTGGAGGCTGATTATAGGGGGATGACAAATTGCACAGTATACTTCATTACAAACTTTTTTTAACCTGCCAAGTAGCTGTTTTTAACCCCTTAAGGACACATGACATGTGTGACATGTCATGATTACCTTTTATTCCAGAACTTTGGTCTTTAAGGGGTTAAAGCACTTTTTGCAAGAATTCATCTTCACCCCAGACAGTGCCCTCTGCTTGCTGATCTGCACTATGGTGCCGGATAGCATGTGGTTAGTATGCTGTTGGCACTGGGTCACGGCAGGGTAAGGTAACGTAACCCTTGCAGTGCTGGCTTTTCATAACAATAATGGTTTCAGACAGGGGATGTTGGGATGTGAACGGCTATTCAAGTAATCTCCTGTCTGTTAGCTGAGAATCACAACAAAGGGCATTGCAGTCACAGCTCTCCGACTCTCATGTAGCCCATGTACCCACATAGCTAAGGGTAGTGGGCCTTGACATTGCTAGGAGACAGGCATATAGTGACGTGGGTGTGTGGGACTGGTTAAAAAATAGCATTGTGGGTGGAGTTACCAGGCCATATATAAAGGGGCCATTTTAGGTTAAAGGGACATTTTAATTAAGCCGCACTTACCTAAGGCTAGCCCGCTTATCAGCAATTTAGCTTTTGTAGAGCTATTTCCCCTAGTGTTAGCATTAGCTTTGTGGGGTCGCCAGTTGCGGGATAATGTGGTGCCAAAGAAGGAGCCTGGTAAGTACCGGTTGATACAACATCTTTCTTATCCAAAGGGATCGTCCGTAATGATGATATTGTTAAGGCTCTTTGTTCAGTGTTGTATGCGTCGTTTGATCACGCGGTTGATTTGGTTCGGTGGGCGGGCGGGCGGGCCGCGGAGCATTGTTGGCCAAGGCAGATGTAGAATCGGCGTTTCATCTTCTTCCGATTCACCCCAAATGTCATAATTTGCTGGGCTGTTATTTTGAGGGCAAGTATTTTGTAGATCTCTGTTTGCCCATGGGGTTGTTCTGTCTCCTGCACCTTCTTTGAAAAATTTTGCACCGAGGATGTTAAAAAGCGTTTTATTGTTCGTCAAGCTCTCAAAGGCTTTCAGAAGGGGTGGGTGTCAGTCCACTCTAGGGTTACCTGTTCCCATGGGTTTTTTTTTCTGTCTCTTTCTTTTCTCGGTTGGACTGCCTGGTTGGTCGGACATTCCTACATTTACTGGGCGCATCGGAGAGCTGCAGTTCGCCAACCTTTGGGCTGTCATCTGAAGCCCGAAGTGAAGAAAAACCAAACAAAAAAATAGTCCCCCTCACTCCCCTGTACATACCTCTCTCCCCCTGCCTCCCTGGCACCCTGACAGTCACCCTCCCCTGTACAGATGCCCTCTCTTGCCTGCCTCCCCTGCACAGATCCCCTCTCCCCCTGCCTCCCTGGCACACTGACAGTCACCCTCCCTCCCCTGCACATATCCCCTCTCTCCCTGCCTCCCCTGCACAGATCCCCTCTCCCCCCACCTCTCCCCCTGCCTCCCCGGCACCCTGACAGTCACCCTCCCCTGTACAGATCCCCTCTCTTCCCTGCCTCCCCTGCACCGTCCCCCTACCTACATGCACAGATCCCACTCCGTCCCTGCACCTTCCACATCCCCCTCCACACATATTTTTTTTTAAAATGTGTATATAAAATGAAATTCAATGAGCAGATTTTCTTTCCACACAATAAAAAGTTAAATATACTGAAGCGCTTCAGTAACAATTATTTAAAGGAACACTCTGCCCAAATGGGCACCCCCACCCCCCCCAATAAAATTATTGTTTAGTAGATATGCCCCCAATGAATTACATGCATGAATTTTTCATGCATGTATTCATTGGGTGCATATCTTAAAGTACTTAAAAGAGGTATGTCTGCTGCAGCCATGGATGTCTTCAACTGCACCAGACATGACGTGGGTCGCGAGAGGGGCGGCAAACGCAGGGGCAGCCCCGGGCTGCAAAAGCTCTAGCTACACCACTGATGTGTTCCCTATTAAGGGTTAATACATATGTACGGGTTTAAATTTTTTTTAAAACACCCTCTCTGTCTTATTAGAGATTTTCTTTTGACTGAAGCAAAAAGGGTAAATTGTTAGTGAATGACCCACATAAGAGATCTGCCTTGATGTGGCAGGTGGGATTAAATCTAATGGCCATTGGAGTGGAACTAAAAACCTCCATTTATAAAATATGCACAGGGATTTGGAATAATGCACAAGTATTTTTATTTTCTAGAGGGGAGGGGGAGGGGGGGGAGTGAAAAGAAAATAAGAGCTGCAGTAGCCAACATCAGATGACAATCTTGTGTTTCACATCATAACCTATTCAACAAAGTGTCCTTTTCTGAATTTAGTAATAGCTGAGAGCGACGTTCACTTGTATATTTTTTCTACAATATTGCAATACACATCATGCTGTTTTTATACATAAACATTTGTGATTGTGTCATGGTTACATAAACTGGCAAAGGCCTCTGGGAGTTTGATTGCTGCACACAGAGCACATTACAGCCAGGTTATGACCTGATTATCTTGTTTATATGTAACACTCCGTCCCTCAGAGATAGTCACAGGTACACTGAGTTCTCTGGGAGCCCTGATCAAACGACCAAATTAACCTGACCTCAAGTTCAATAAATCAATTATTATTATTATGGTATTTATATAGCGCCATCAAATTCCGCAGCGCTTTACAGTGGGTGGACGAACAGACATGTACTTGTAACCAGACAAGTTGGACACACAGGAACAGAGGGGTTGAGGGCCCTGCTCAATGAGCTTACAGGCTACAGGGAGTGGGGTAAAATTACACAAAAAGGTCAGGATAGTATTAGACTAGTGACAGTTGCAGAAGAGGAATCAGTTGGGAGCTATTAACAGTTTAATTGATCCGCTTTTATGAAGAAGTGTGTTTTTAACGATTTTTTGAAGGAGTGGAGACTGGGTGAGCATCTAACGGAGGAGGGAAGCGAGTTCCACAGGAATGGTGCAGCCCTCGAGAAGTCTTGAAGGCGAGCATCAGAGGTGGGAGTACGGACAGAAGATAGACGTAAGTCTTCAGCAGATCGTAAGGGCCTAGACGGGACATACTTGTGTATAAGGGAGGATAGATAGGTGGGAGCAGCATTATGTAGAGATTTGAAAGCAAGAACCAGAATTTTAAATTGAGCTCTATATCTTATAGGAAGCCAATGTAGGGACTGACAACTAGTGATGTCGCAAACCGTTCGCGAACTTCCCGCGAACGGCTCGCCGCGGTTCGCCACGAACCGTTCGCGGCGAGCTCCAGTCAGCTGACACATCCTGGCCAATCTCCAGCAGACCCTCCCTCCCAGACCCTCCCACCTCCTGGACAGCATCGATGTTGAGCCTTCAACATGGATGCTGTCCAGGAGGTGGGAGGGTCTGGGAGGGAGGGTCTGCTGGAAATTGGCCGGGATGTGTCAGCTGAACGGAGCTCGCGGCGAACCGCGGCGAGCCGTTCGCAGGAAGTTCGCGGACGGTTCGCGACATCACTACTGACAACCAATGACCTTTAGCATAAACAGTTTAGATATAAAACGCTCAATTATTTAAAGATAACATTTTACACTAAAGCAAGGTTGTTCAATTATGATTTCAATGGCTACAATTAGAGTAGCACACACAGTTACTATTTTTTTATATTAATGGTACACCCCATTTTTGAGACATGTCACCAGGCATGCTAATAAAGAGGGGCATTTATGAAATATGTACATTTCTTAATACAGGTTTTAACATGTCATAGGTTTATAAGAGGCCTTCTCATCAGTTTTTCTTTGTGTGGATCCCCAGTTTAGTATATGTTGCAGAATGGATTTAGCAGTTACACCAGAGAAAAAAAATTACTACTAAGAAATTCTCATGTGAATGCTTTTATGCAAATTGGATGCAGGAGGAAATACAAAGAGTCAAATAAGGAAAGGTATGGCAATAATTTCACGACTATCCATGCCTGCAAAGATATTAACTGTAAAAGCATTTTAGAATGCAGGCCTTTACTAACGTTGCAAACAGCTGCATTATAAAATGCGGATTTACCTGCTCCATTGACTAGAGGTGATATATTGTGGATTCACTTTAAAATTCACAACTTGAAAAAGTCAGCTTCAAACGTCTAGTGAGAATTGCTGGGGATTCAAAGACCATGCAAAGGGAATTTCAAATTTACGGGGATCCTATAGTGCCAGAAAAACAAACCCGTTTTCCTGCCACTATAGGCTCCTGGAGTGTTACCCTCCCGCGGGGCTAAATGTGTTAAAACCCCTTCAGCCACTTGCCTGAATCCATGTCCCTCGGCGCGGAGTCAGATTCCTCCCAAGCTTCTCCACCTCCGACATTAGCCTGCGGGGGAGACCTTAATGCTTTCCTATGGGGAAAATCTGATGCTGGAGGTTCATGAGGACATCCAGCGTCAGATAACGGAGCAAAAGTCTGTTAGACAGCCACAGAGGGCAGCACTAAGTGCAAAAGGGTCACACCACCCTGAACACTTCAATTAGCTGAAGTGGTCTGCGTGCCTACAGTGTGCCTTTAAAGCCAAAATAGACAAACTGGAAACGTTTTCCAAGTCATCTTGTAACGGTACATCTATCCAGCAGAGTATGAACCCACACTGTCCTAGTACAAGAACAGGATAGAAGCGTATTACTATGCCTGAGGATGGCTGGTCTAAATGTTGTCTTTGGAAAGTAAATATTGAGATAATAAACAGAAACAAGCCAAAGTCGAATGGTAACAGAGAAGAGACAGAAAGAGTAAACCGAACTGGGTCATAGATACCAGAAACCAGAGAAGTCAAGGAATAGCCCCATCAAAACCAGACAAAGCCTAAACGCAAAGACTGTGGAATGGACACCACAAAATGTTGATGTGCATCATAGCGAGAGGGTATTCATAGAAATTGATGCCAATAGGATATCTTGTGTCACTTACATAAATTAAATTGGCCTCTTGAGCCTGACAAATCTCACCTTAGTGAATAACCTTGATTGGAAATTCATGTACCCTCAGGGCCGGCCTTAGGGGGGTGTGCGAGCTGTGTGGCCGCAGAGGGCGCCATAGACCAGGGGGCGCCCTGCGGCCGACACAGCTCACACATGGCCGACCAGAATTTTAAAATAAAAAATAACATTTGCGGCAGGGGGCGGAGCTTCCCTTGCGGCAGGGCTTCCAATGCGGCAGGGGCTTCTGTTGCTGGGGTGGAGCTAAAGGTGCCGGATAACTGCTGCAGGGGAAGAAGGAAGGAGTCCCTGCTTCCCCAACAACCAGAATCCAGGAGCTGCACTGCCTCCACAATGAACAGAGGTAACTATGTGTGATTGTCAGTGTGAGTGTGACTGTCTGCCTGTGTGTCTGTATGATTGCCTGTGTGTGTCTGTGTGTATGACTGTCTGCCTGTGTGTGTGTGTATGTGTATGACTGCCTGTGTGTGTGTCTGTGTGTATGGCTGTCTGCCTGTGTGTGTGACTGTCTGTGTGTGTGTGTGTGTGTGCATGTGTGTGTGTGTATGTCTGTGTGTGTGTGTGACTGCCTGTGTGTGTGTCTATGTGTGTATGACTGTCTGTCTGTGTGTGTGTCTGTGTGTATGACTGTCTGCCTGTGTGTGTGTGACTGCCTGTGTATGTGTCTGTGTGTGTATGACTGTCTGCCTGTGTGTGTGTCTGTGTGTGTATGACTGTCTGCCTGTGTGTATGTGTGTCTGCCTGTGTGTGTGTCTGTGTGTATGACTGTCTGCCTGTGTGTGTGTCTATGTGTGTATGACTGTCTGCCTATGTGTGTGTGACTGACTGTGTGTGTGTGTGTCTGCTTGTGTGTGTGTGTATGACTGCTTGTGTGTGTGTGTGTATGACTGTATGACTGTCTGCCTGTGTGTGTGTGTGTGTGTGTGTGTGTGACTGTGTGTGTGTATATGTCTGCCTGTGTGTGTGTGTATGTCTGTGTGTATGACTGTCTGCCTGTGTGTGTGTGTGTGTGTGTCTGTGTGTATGACTGTCTGCCAGTGTGTGTGTGTGTCTGTGTGTATGACTGTCTGCCTGTGTGTGTGTGACTTTCTGCCTGTGTTTGTGTGTGTGTGTGCATGACTGTCTGCCTGTGTGTGTTTGACTGTCTGCCTGTGTGTGTGAGTGACTGTCTGCCTGTGTGTGTTTGTGTGTCTGTCTGCCTGTGTGTGTTTGTGTGTGTGAGTGACTGTCTGCCTGTGTGTGTGTGTGACTGCCTACCTCTGTGTGTATGTCTTCCTGTGTGTGTATGGCCATCTGCCTCTGTGTGTGTGTCTGTGGCTGTCTGTGTGTGACTGTCTGCCTGTGTGTGTGTGGCGAAACCGACCTCGCCACTGGGCATTGGAGAAGACTGCTTGCCAGCCTCCTGCCATGTGACTATGGCCCCTGGGATGTATTGTCCTTTAAAGGCATAATGGATTTGTGTTGTGCTGCTGCTGGCCCTTTAAGAACCATCTGGGGACATACTGTGGAGTTACTGGGTGACCACCATTTCATGTATCAGAGGCACATGGTGAGAACAATGGATGGCGGCCATTTTAACTCACAGACACTGTTTGGACTTTTCTACACGGTGCCATCTCGCCGGTATTTGGTGCACAAAGACATCGTGCAGTAGTTTTAAACTATACAACAGGGGACACATTATACAGTAATTATTTTTCATATAGCCTGTATATGTTTTGCGGAATCTGCATTAAACTGTATCTTCCAAACTACTGAACGGATCTGGGTGAATTTTGGATATGTGGTTCACCCAGATCCCCCGCTTCCGAGGATATACTTTATGGGGTTATTGCATGTTTTGGGGTCCCTGTGATATGTTTTATAATACTGTATTTCTCTGCCTGTGATAATTAACCATTGTGTTCAGTAATCATATCACAGGCAGAGAGGAGGATTTTGTGTGGGAGTGTCTGTGTGTATTGTACGGATTGATTGGTTGTATTTCAAAACCCTGTGGGCAGTACTATGTTTGTGGATTGTGAATAAAAGAGGCTGTATGTGCCAGTACAGTCAGTTATACTTCATCCTCAATTTGGAGTCCTGTCTCTTATTGGGGGAATCTGCTACAAGGGATTGCTATGCTCTGCATATTCCCTTGCTTTAATCACTCCGAAGCTCTTGTAAGAGCTTGTTCCTGCTTCGCTTTGAAGGAAGAGAGGTTCAGCCTGCGGTGGTTGTGGTGTCGGCTAGAGTGCTTGGAGTCCTCAGGAAGCGCTAGGAGCATCCTTCAACGGATGTACCCAGTCGGGGTGCCAGGTGATCCGTTACAGTGTGTATGTGTGTGGCTGTCTGTGTGTGTGTGTGTGTGTGACTGTCTGCATAAAAGTATGTGTGTGTAAGACTGTATGTGTGGCTGTGTGTGTGTGTGTGTGTGTGTGTAAAGCTGTGTGTGTGTGGCTGTCCTCCTGTAATTGTGTGTGTGTTATCTACCTGATCCTGTGTATGTGACTATCTGCCTGCGACTATGTGCATGTGGTGGATTTTACAGTGTATACGTATGACTGCGTGCATCTGACTGTGGAACTGTGTGCCTCTGTGTGTGTGGATGTCTTCCTGCGTGTGTATGGCCGCCTGCCTGTGTGTGTGTGTGTGTGTGTGTGTGTGTGTGTGTGTGTGGCTGTCCGCCTGTAATTGTGTGTGTTTATCTACCTGATCCTTTGTATGTGACTATCTGCCTGCGACTATGTGCATTTGGAGGATTTTACAGTGTATATGTATGACTGTGTGCATCTGGCTGTGGGACTGTGTGCACATAACGCTACAAAAATATACACCTGCATTCACACACAGGCCTAAATGCATGTTTTTATCTCAATTAAATAACCATCACACACAGGCAATAAACCCAGCACAAATATCACATACAACTAATATACGCATATCACACACTGTTAATAGACCCATTACAAGTATCACACACATCCAACACATAGCATACCTATCACATACACAGACAACACAAACATTACATCATACATGGATGACGGGGGGTGGGGGCGCTGTGTACCCTTTATACGTTCTCTAGCGGAGGAATGGCAGAGAGATCCTCCTGGGCGTACACAATGTGTTTCAACATCATCCACATCTTCTCCCTTTACTTTACATGTTTATATTTTCTATGTTTCTTTGGGATACGAGAGACACACAGAAATGTCTTTGTTCCAGCACATACTGGAGAATGTGTTAAATGGAGCCTGGTCACAACTCTGTAGAATGTTTAAGAAGTTTACATTACATGCACCCCTGTCACTTTTTGTTTATTTCTAGTCATGAAAGTGTTTAGTTAAACTGCAACTCCCAGAAAGCTTTGCTGTGCATCCTGGTGACATGTACAAATGTGTTATTGTAAACTGCAGCTTAGGAGGGACGAACAAAATCAACTCTTCTGCTGTGGGTAAAGCTGTGCTGTTAGTTCTATTAAAGGAACACTGTAGGGTCAGGAACAAAAAGATGTGTGAAACCCACTATTTAGGCGGCTTGCCCCCCCTTAGGCCCCTTAAAAGCAATTAAAACTCCCCTTATTTTCAGTGCCGTGCAGGTCCACCAGCGCTGCCTGCTGTGCAGCACTGCCCCAGGAAGCACCTCCAGTGACCATCTGAGGAGTGGCCACTTGGAGGTGTCCATAGGGGGGACATAAACACTGCTGTAGTTGTTCTGGTGAGTATAGTGTTCTTTAAACTGAAACAATTCAATGAATAATGCGAGTGGTGGCGTCTTCCAACTCTCTATATTAGTATTCATGGGCTTATTCTGATAAGGGGATTTGGAGCAGAGGATTATGGGATTGAAACAGATGACCTAATTTCCTTCACTTTCCCTTGCTTTACTTAGGACATGATATGAAGGCAGTTAGAACAAGGGTTAAAACAAATTGTTTGGGTTTTTTGGTCACAGCTTGGTTAACTTTTAAGCTCAAATAAATTAAATTTCTCTAAAGTTTTAACATAGCTCAACATTACCCAGGTGTCATAATTTTCTCTTTAAAATATCTACCTGTACCTACCGGCAGTGGATCAGTAATATCTAGGTGGCAATGGGTAGAATTGTGTCATAGAACTTTATTCTGGAAAAAAATTTAAAAACAATATAGCCAGATCTCTGTTTCATAGAGGTTTCAAGTCCTATTACGTACAAAGTTTATTTCGGGGGAATTTGTATTTCCATTTGCATTGCGATTAGGTCTTGGCTAAATAGATAACTGCCTTCATTCCCAATACAGGGCTGGTTTAAATATTTTTTAATGGAAATGAATAGTTTTTATTATAATGGAATAATGCATTCAGAAGCTTAAAATACTATGCAAGCTGACTCCTATGTTACAGTAATAAATATAGGTAGTACAAAAGCAGGCATGTAATATGTAAAAACCAAACATGGGTTTATCAAGATAAGTAAGGTGCTAAATGTTCAGACATTCTATTGGTTTCCATTGTAAATGATCCTTATTTAGCACTAGACTTCGGTGTTCAGTTTAACACAAATCGTGATTTGTCCAAATTTTGGACAATCAACAAATCATCTGAATTCCGTAAGACTGAATCTTCACATAACCAGATCACGTAACAAGTAAGATGAGGTATTTAGTTTATTTCGGAGCTCTGCAAATATGGCCCATTTTCGTTCAGTTTCGGATTCTCTGAATCTTTATTCCTGAAACGATGGAATAGTCTAAATCCGTCCAAACTAAAACACCACATGGACAAACACTCCAAACAACTTTTTTTTTTTCCCTCAGACAAATTGATTTGGACAAACCAAATGTTTTCTTTGTTTTGATAAAGCCATTAAAGGAACACTATAGGCACCCAGACCACTTCAGCTTAATTAAGTGGTATGGGTGCCAGGTCCAGCTAGGTTTAACCCTTTTTTCTGTAAACACAGCAGTTTCAGAGAAACTGCTATGTTTACCTATGGTTTATTCCAGCGTCTAGTCTAGTGGCTGTCTCATTGACAGCCGCTAAAGACGCTTCCGCACTTCTCACTGTGATTTTCACACTGTGATTTCACAGAAGACGCCAGCGTCCATAGGAAAGCATTGAGAATGCTTTCCTATGGACTGGCTGAATGCGTGTGCGGCTCTTGCCGTGCATGCGCATTCAGCCAGGGACGTCAAAAGAGGGAGGAGAGTCCCAGCGCCGAGGGAGCCCGTCTCTGAAAAAAGGGAAGGGATTAACCCCCTTCCAGCTCCTTCAGCGCCACTGGAGTGAGACCCTGAGGGTGGGGGCACTATACGAGTATGTTTTCCTGGCACTACAGGGGTCCTTTAACAAGTATGTAAATAGCCAAATTTGAGTTCGTAAAACCAACAAATATTTTTTTATGAAATAACTGTAATTATGTAATCCTATCAATTACTCTGTGCTGCAACACCTATATTTAAATCATGGTTATATTATTTTCTATGAAGCAAAATATGGCTATTTATTTGATTAATTTTATTCCAACTTGGTTCCCTGCTCATCTCAATATGCTTTTTTTCCTTAAAGGAATACTACCAAAATAAAAAATGAGTAAATAAAAATCACTGTTTAGTACATATCGTCCCAATAAAAACATATATGCATTACTATGCATTTTTTTAAATTGTGGTTATATCTAAAAACAGCCTGCAATAGTTCCAGATCTCCTGTTTAAAGCTTTTGCAAGCCCTCCTCTTGTAACCCCACCCAGACTTTCTGTGACTGTCCAATCAGAGACGTCCTGATGCGGCTCAATGAGAAGTCTTTGCAAGCCAGGTGCCCCGGGAAATTAGCTGCCTCAGCGCTAAACAACCAGGAAGTAACAGGACAGGTTGAATAAATTGACGGTTTGTAACAAGGTTAGTTTTAAAAAGTGTGAAAAAGGACAAACTCTTCACACAAAGAACATTAGCAAGCTGAAGTGCCTTAGGGATCTGGAGTGTCCCTTTAACCTCTTAAGGTCCACATTCATAACCTCTTCATTATCACAGTTTGTTTCCTGGGGACCCTGTACAGCTCGGAATGTCCTGCTTGTGTTGCATTTGCAGGTCTATAAAGCTCTGCGATCATAGAATGAGAGGGATGTTCCATTTAATATGGGGTCTTAGAGACTGGTTTATTATGATGTTTACTTACATCATTGGTCCTTAATGGGTTAAACAGTTAATTGCCAAAAATCGACCAGGGAATTTGAAAACCTGCAAAATAATCTGTTTTGATCTACACTTGGGATTTTCTGATTAAATCCGAACAATTCACAATTTAGTCAATAATATTACACTACAGGGACAGAAAATTAACAATCTGTTATTGCTACACAGAAGAGACACAAACCTAGAAAAGGACATTTTTGGGGGAAAAACAATTAAAACACAAAACCAGATAAAAGAAAAGTTAATTATACCTGTATAACTAAAATACCCTGATGCGCCATTATAAAAGTGTCTAACTGAGATGGCTAGTGGCATTAAAAAAATAAAATAAAAAAAGTTAATAGTCTAATGGTTTTGTATTTATATTTTTAGAATTCCGTCTGCATTTTTTCCTGTAAGCACATAAATACTACTAGAGCCAAAGGTGTGATCAACATATTTTAAATACTTTAACTATTTCCTTAATAGTAGGAACTAACAAATAAAAACCATTTACAAACACAATTTCACTTTTTTTTTTATATGAATAAGTTACAAAAGTTAAGTGCTTTGTTTTGTAAAAAAAAAAAAAAGTAACAAGATCCCCAAATAAAATATATAGGCTTATGCATATGACTGGTAGCTGTAATCAAATATTATTCGTTTTTTTTTTTTACAGATGAAGAGATATATAATTGAATTAAAAAATGCAATGAGAAAAAAATATTTAAAAAAAATCCTTGCTGATATTTTAATTAAGCAACTGTGTTAGTTTCCCAGTGTAAAGTCCATAATATGCTACAAGCTACAAAAAAATATATATTAATAATAATAAAAAAAACAAAAAGTTTTAGTTAAGTAACATAAAAAAACAAAACTTTGAGTTTGTAAAATATAAACAAATCTGATCAGGGCCGGCACTTTGGGTGTGCAATCTGTGCATTTGAACAGAATGTTAGTCCCGAGGTTTGGGTGCCACCGCTATGCTGCCAATTTGTGCCTTTGAGAAGATGTGCCTTTAACTAGTGGCAAGGTCTTCTGGCCGTACACCACTTATTTTTCACTATAAGTGGTTGCTCTGATTTTAAATAATTATACACTCATTCCAGATGAGTTATGCATATGATTACTTAGATAATCCATAATAGACCATGCTTGGCCAATAACTGCATAGAATTCAGAAATCCACCCAGATCCATGTATCTTCACGTAGCTCTTTGTAACAAGGGTATTCTGTGCGTAAGACTCCGCGCAAAAGGAGACGGAATATAAAAATGCATGAATATGATTTTTTTGCTGTATACATAAAGTAAAGCATTCTTTTCTCTGTGGCAGTAAAGTCATTTCAAAGTTTGTTGTCCGCATTGACTCAGGTATTTCTAGACTGAGCGCCTGAAGTCTTAGGTGAAGGGCTGGATTGGATAAGCGCGGTGGTCAGATCTTCGCTTAAAGCCATTTCCTTGGAATCAAGGAGGTGAAATTCAGCGCAGAAAAGCAAAAGGTGCAGATACAAGGTGTTCAAGTGCGGGTGCAGTTCGAGGTTTACCACGGTTTTAAAGTGACACGTGTATATGTGACCGAGGAGGTGAAAAAGTAGGCGAAACGTCTTCTGTATGGCTGGCTTAAATGTTTTTGGAAATTCTTTACCTGTCAAAAAGAAAGCAAAGTATTCTCTTTTTTAAAAAAATGGACAATTGTCAATGTGGGAACAGTCAGGTGCAACGTAAACACGAGATCAAATGCATGACACCTAATTATTGAAGATAAATTAAAGTGGCACTTAAGTTGAAAAATAACTTTGGTGTCTTTTCTAAAACCATGCTGCTTTATTGCTATTTTTAATGTGCAGCTGTCTTGGTAGCACTTCATAGAGCATGACATTGCCTCAATACATTTGAATAGCAATGCTGCTAGCTTATGCATAGATCAAATGTTATAAATCTATCAATTTTAGCAGTTTTAAAAAAACAACCTTGTTAGCTGTTGGAATGGAAATACATAAAATTTGTTTTTTACTTTATTTTCAGCAATCATGCAAATGTCTAACACAAGACTAGCTTCAGCTGTGATTGAAATACATCTCACATGGTGCCCTGCAAACTCCATGTTGGAGGTTGATTAAAGGGACACTATAGTCACCAAAACAACTTTAGCTTGATGGAGCAGTTTTGGTGTATAGAACATGCCCCTGCAGCCTCACTGCTCAATTCTCTGCCATTTAGGAGCTAAACCACTTTGCTTATGCAGCACTAGTCATGCCTCCCTGCATGTGACTTCCACAGTCTTCCTAAACATTTCCTGAAAAGGAACCTACAGATATAGGTTCATTTATTTCACAGTCCAATTAACCTAGAATGTATCTCCTGCTCTGTTAATAGCCTTCTAGACCCTACAGTAACCTCCAGCATGTGATTAAAGGAACACTATAGGATTGCCACCCTAAATATAGTAAAATTTTACGTTTATTCCAGTCTGCTGGTTCTGTCCCTGATCTGCGTCCTTGGCTGACATCATCATAAGTCATCATCCCATAGAAAGCATTGAATTGGCTGAGATTGTCAATTCTGATGATCTCAGCCAAGTAGGTCAGCCAGTGGAGTCAGACGCTGCCCTGGCCAATAAGCATCTCCTCATAGAGATGCATTGAATCAACGTATCTCTATGAGGAAAGTTCAGGGTCTCCATGCAGCGAGTGGAGAGTCAGCACTGCCCCTGGAAGCACCTCTAGTAGCCATCTGAGGAGTGGCCACTGGAGGTATCCCTAGGCTGTAATGTAAAAACTGCCTTTTCTCTGAATGCAGGGACAGGCATTAAGCTGTAGATTTTTCTGGTGACTGAAGTGTCCCTTTAAAGTTCAATTTACAGAGCAGGATATAAAAAAAACATCTAAAGCAAGTTAACATCTGATTAAAAATGACACCATTGTTTTCATGCAGGCTGTGTAAGTCACAGCCAGGGAAATAGAAACAAAAGTTATTTAACTCTTAAATGGCAGATAATTGACTGCACACTATATCTATACACTCATACTGCATCATTAACTTAAAATAATTTTTGATGCCTATAGTGTCCCTTTAACATCAAGTTCTCTTTTCATAGACTAGGGATAAGAAGGTTTCTTCACTCACTATGCTTGGTGGGGACCAGATTTTCATCTGTCAGGAGTTTCTGGATGATGCTGGCAGCATAGTCTGCGTATTGCGGTGCCGTACACTTCCTCTTCCGGCCCTTCTCATCTGTCCACTGGATTTGTCTAAAAAAAAAAAAAAAGTTTAAGAACCAGGTTATAATCATTTTTTATTGGTTATCACTCACTTATTTCAAATCTGACCAATACTAAAATAATAAAAAATAAGTCAACCCAGATGAGGGAAGTATCCAACATTATTTTTACTTGACTCAAATTTGGTTGTTTCCATCTTATTTTCACTGCGTACACACATTTGTATCCAGAACTATATTTATTAAAAGAAAGCCCTTTTCCATCCATTTATCCATGTATGTACGTACATCTGCATGCCGGACTTCCATCTGTCTTTTTATAATGTAGGTTGCGCCACAATATATTCTAGATTTCAGAGTTTGTTGCCTAAGTGCATTTTTTGTTTTATTTTACAACATTCATTTGTTTATCACTGGGCATTGCACAACCTAGAGACACTTATTAAAACATTGCCTGTGGTGATATCTGCGTTCGCACACTAGCCTCAAATAGTAGGTCCAGCGCCCCTGTTAGGTCCAAGATGCGCTAGCTATTTTAGCACAAACGTTTAGGGCGTTCCCCTCTCTGGTAGGCACATGAAATAAATGAGACTGCCACATGCAAAATATGCGTAGAAATGCACTTACAGTGAGTATGTGGAATTAGCAGCAAAATTCCATTGGTTTCCATATTGACTGCTGCACATTAAAAACAATGCTTCAGAACTGCCCTTTATCGCTAACCCATATAGTGTCCAACATTCTCTAATCTAATTAACAAGTGCGCAACAATCTGAATTTTCTGTTTATGTAACATACATTGTCAAAGCTTAGACATCACAGGTAGACATTAGCTAAAACTGGGATTGTACTGAGAGATGGTCTCAAAAAAGATGTCCTCAAACAATACGGAAATTAAGAAGAAAACAAATATGGCTATTAGGAGGGCGTAGAACTATTGTGAAGGCAAACTGAATATTCTACATTTTTGTTACGGGTGTCACTGTTTACTCAGCAACAAGCCCTTCAATGTCATGTCTGGCTGATATCAGAGATTTTTATAGTCAAGTTCATTCTTGCTTGTGCCTGTATACATTCCTGAAAAATAGCCTTTCAGCAAGGTCAATGAATATCTCTACACGTTCTTCAAAATAAAGGATAAGAATCACCCGCATTACAAGAGAAGTCGGATATGGCTAAATCATATCTATCATATCATAGCTAGAAATCTGGGGGCTCACTTTTTATCCACTAGTTTCAACACTCATACAAGTATCCCTTCTGTCCTGCTGCCAAGTCCCCCATAGCAAACATACAGAGTATGCAGGTATTTCAGATTCTAATGGGTTATCAGCTGTGTAATCTGGCAATTTTTTTTAACATTTATTAAGTTTACTCCGTAAACAGCAATTTGTAGTGAACTGCAAACCAAGTGCAAAATTCAAGCTAAAATCGGCCAAACTGTGACTATTGTCGAGTTGGATATATTTTCCAATTCTGCAACTTGATTTTCAGTCAGTGTTTGATGAACACATCCTTTAAATGGACACTGTAGGCACTATAATTATTGTATCTCATTGAATTGGTTATAGTGCCTGGAGTTCACTGTCCCTTTATTCAGTGTTAAACCATTTTGGAGCTTTCCATAGCCCGGCCCCCACTGGAGGCGTGGCTAAGGCAAGGATTATACACTTCCTTCCAACCATACCAGCAAACTGTGCTTTGATAGGCTGACAGTGGTCAGCAAATGCACTCAGCCAATCACAGCTGCCCATTTCTGTTCAGACAGCACAAACCAGTATGAAATCTCTCTCTCTGGATCTTCCAAACTATTGCAAGCTTAGCTGTACACAGTATAGGAAAACTGAAATCACCTGGATCCCACAGCTATTGTATTATCTATGTCTGTCAGGACAAACCCCATGCTTCACTGCGAAGTATGGTGGCTGCTACACAGAGAACAAAATGGCAGTGTGTTTGTAAATGAGCATATCACTTCATTCCTAAAATAAATGCATCTTTTTTTGACCCGCTCCCAGAGCTCTCAGCTTATCGCTGCATGCATCTGTAAATTTTAGTAAGTGAGTCTGGTATACCTAGTGTAATACACAGCAGAGAGGGAGTACGACTAATACTAGGTAGCTGCAAACTGGAACAATAGGGATTCACGAAAACCTATATGACGAAAATGGGAGAAAACACTAGGAGACGAAGTGCAAATAATCCAGGAGCTAGCTAGTGTGTGGCTCAAAGTGTAGGTAGAGAATAAAATAAATACTGTTAGGGTGCTATTCAAAAATAGGTACTGGGCCTTTAAAGAGTGCAAATATCTAAACGTGTTTTCTTCCATGTGTAAATTTTAGCTTAAATTACATCTGTCCCCTTAGAATGACGTTGGAACAAATTAGTACCGTGGCACACAAGGGAACAGCGACCTGAATCAATACTGACGGTGGAATCAATACTGGCATAAGGAGGACGTTCGACATCAATATGGAGAGGGTCATGGGCAACTAGTAACCTGACACCTAGCTGAGACCATAGCTGTTTTTTAGGCCAAATGAGCTGTTTTGGAGAAATTTTCCATTTATATTCCCCTTGTCAATTTTCCACAGTTCGCAGTTCACAAAATAACACCAACTGATTGTAAAAAAATAAAAAACAAAACAAAAACCTTTGTATTATATATAATAAGATCTTCTGGATTTTTGACTCAAATGAACCAAAGTTTGGTCAGATCTCAGAGAAACTGGATTGGTAATCCACTCACAATGATCACTTGTCATCATCGACAGTCCTGTTAGTGGCAGCCCACCCTGCGCTCAAATATGAAAGCAGAAATTAATACAACGCATTGAAATAGACTCATTGGATCAGCTCATGATTAAATGCTAAATTCAGCGAAGGGTGCGTGTAGATAGCTCTTTGCTATCCCTCGCAATGCAGGCAGCAGGTGCACGCAGAGCTAATTATAATCCCCAGAACAGTCAGCTGTTTCTGTATATAGACGTTACATGGCAACTTGCTATCAACAAGAAGCTTTTGCATGGTTTACGAACAAGTGTAACTTTGGAGTTCCCAAACTCTTGCCTCTTGGGTGAAATGATGGATGTTCTGCAAAATCTCTGAAGCACAGCTAAGAACACAACTATTCAAAACTTTTTTTTTTTTTTTTAAGCCAAGTGATCACAGTTTATTAAAGCACTTCCTGACAAATGGATCTGAGCACTTAAATTCCACTTCCCAAATATTTCAGACATGTAATAGCTAAAATATTGGGCAGCTGATGAAATCACTTGTTTGCCTTGGTTTTGTCCCCACTGACCACTGTGCAAAGTGAAGTCATTTTGTTGTTTTAAAAGTCTTGGATATTGAATCAAACATGGATGGAACAAAGACAGATTAAAAAAAACAAACAAACAAAAAAAAACACAGCAACAACAACAACATATTATTGTGTAAAAATAAAATAATAAAATTGCTGTATTGATATTTTTTATGTTCATTTTTACTTTTGTAGTGCAACAACAGATACAGGCAAATTCAGATAGATTCAATGCGAGAGAAGGTATACATGTTGAAAATATTTGCACAGTTTTAAAATAAAGTAAACAAGATATGTAAATGCAAGTAACACAAATAGGAAGTTACACATATTAAACTGGTGGTGGTATGTGCGCTGCTTGCATGATGGTGTATGAAAATTGCTACACTTATAGTTATAGTTATAACATACTAAAACATATTTTTATCTTTAACCCCTTATGGACCAAACTTCTGGAATAAAAGGGAATCATGACATGTCACACATGTCATGTGTCCTTAAAGGGTTAAAGTGTTACTCCAGGAACCATGACCACTTTAGTGTTTTGAAGTGGTTATGGTGCCTGGAGCCTGTATCTCAGCATTTTGCTGTGAAATGCTGCACAGCTCTTTCGGCAGCGTCAATGGCACATCATCAGGCATCCCAGGAACTTTTGTTCTACACAGGCTAATTTCAATTCTGTGCTAATTTCGATACACTGACACTCATTATTGGCTGGGAATAATCCCCCCACCCCCCTTCTGCCAATATGTAAGCAGGAAGGGGCAAAAGAAAAAATAGGGCTGTACCCAACGTCTCCTTTCAAAACAACCAATACAATGTGACCTGTTGGGTGCTTAGACAGTCCCTTTATACTTATACTTTTTTATTTTTTATTTTATAAACGGCTGACAATTTGCAGTGAACAGAAATATCTTCTGTCTGTTTTTTCCTGTATAAAGCCAGTGTGTTTTCAAAAACACAAACAAAATTCCATTGCAGGGCTTGTCCTTTGACATCAATAGCCACGTTGAAGGTTAGATGGCTTGGTGATGTCTTAAACTGACAGATCATTTGTGACAATAGTTCAGTAGATAAAGATGCCTTTTTTTTGCATAAATACCTGGCATTTTGTTACAAACAATGCTTCTTAGCAGTGACCTGTCACCTACACAAAGCTACCTTATAATACTTAAAAAGACACTATAGGCACCCAGACCACTTCATAGAATTCCCCCCCTACCCCCTTAAAAAAAACCTGCAATGTAAAATGTTTTAGAGAAACTGCAAAGTTAAGACTGTTCACCAGACAGCCACTGGAGGTGCTTCCTGCAGTTTCACGGAGTTTGAGTCTGTGAAACTGCAACTCACTACTTCAGTTATATTTAGGTGCCCTTATCCAATTTTATCGGCTGAGCAATTTGACCAAAAAAAAAGAAACGGGTCTCTCCTTGACCCAAAAGACTGATCTCGCTGCATCCACCTGAATAATGTTGAAATCACACTTCAAAACAGTGGGGTGCAGTAGGGCAAATGCACCCCCAAAATTAAAGAATTAAAAATCTGACACAAAAGCCAGCAGTGCCCCCAGACAAACCTGGTGTGATGACAGCATCACCAACATCATTAAATATATAATTTATGTTTATAATAAAAACATATTTTTTTATTTATTGTTAAAGATATGTAAGAACTTAAAGGGGACTTTTTAATAAAGGTTAATTTTAAAAGCCGATAAACCATTTAAACTTTTAAAACATTAAAACATTGTGAAACACACATGGGCAGTTTAAATGGTTTACCAATTAAGGTAAGTTACTCAAATTAACTAAGTAACTATTTAAGCATTAATAATATATTTTTTTGTTTTCTTTTTTAGGGAGAGAGAGTTTTCATTCAGGAAGATTAGTGTCTGTTTTGTATCTGTTAGACATACTTTGTAGTCAGACAAAACTGCTTCTTTATTTGTATTTTATATTCCTGTGTCACTAATTCGTTCACCAGCACGGCGCACACAGGGTTAAATAAGCGAAAGGTTAATGGTCAGTAACAAGTCTGTATAATGTTTATGTTGGCCCAATAAAAGGCTGCAATAATCTGCCGAGAATCCAGTTAAATTTAGCACAAGCATTTTATGATCTCAATTTCTTTTTAGCAGACTGCATGCTGAGCGGAGAAAGAATTCATCGTTAAAAGGGGCCATCTTGACTGAAGATACAAAACAGCAGCCCTATGTTGCAATAAGTCCACTCACACATACATGCCATCTGTCTTGCTTTTACCAGAACTGTCCTGACTTTTTGGCTCCTGTCCTGGTAAGATTGGGTCACTAGATCTGTCACGTACTGGAATCTGCTGGAAGTTTTGTTTGTGACCTGTGCTATTAAAAGTACCAATAATAAGTGGTACCATGGACAGATATCCAAAATTTCTTACATGTATGGCTACCCAAAATGAGAAGAGGGAGACGCACAGGAGAATAATATATCCCCAAGCCCACTGTGGCACCTTGATTGCTTACAACACCCCTGTACTTCTCAATTACGATTAAGCACCCAGTGCTCACAGCTGGTTTAGGAGTGTTTTATGCTCCACTTTGTCTCCCTTTTTCTATAAAAGTCATGGCTAGCTGTTTAGCAGTCTGTGACCAGAGTGAATGGGAGCGTGATCAAATTGGTTTTCAATTGCCATGATTCACACTGCTGGACCAACCATTCCTGTCCCATCTGCATATTTGCCAAAATTGTCAAGGTTACAGCCTATACCTCACCTGTCATTCCTGTCCCATCTGCATATTTGCCAAAATTGTCAAGGTTACAGCCTATACCTCACCTGTCATCACCTTTCTACCTGTGCATGACTACTAGGGGTGGCCAAGAGGTAGATTCTCATCTTTTGTAGAACCTGGGCTCCCATAATACTGATACAGCCATGTTGCTACCCAGTCTTTAGAGATACATGGCAGCAGAGTAAGGTGTGTTGGATAGTGAACCAAACTTCATAAGAAATATGACAGCCAGAGGCGTTCATGATCCTGGGATTGAGCCCAGAGGGTGTCCAGTGTGCCGACAGGTGCAGAGCCCCTCTATGCAGTCTGACCCAGTCTAATGTCAGTGGGAGGGGTCTCACCAATGGCTGCCGGAGACATGAGTAGTAGTCTCCTGAGATTTGGCCATTGAGTGCTGCCGTGGGTCTGCACCAGGGATCAACATATCCCCTCTCCCTGCATGGCAACAACAGGGAGGACAGAATTTTTTTTTTACAAATTACACAATAATAATAATTTAATAATAAGGCTTCAATCCCACCCCTATATACACACACATCACACCATAGCAGAAAAATTCAAATCCTATGCTACTAGCCAGGCCATAAAAGTTACTAGGCAACACAAACCTAGTCCTAGAGGGTCTATGGCACACTGACCAGTGGTGAATTTGTAAGCGCAGAGCTAAATTTTCACTTGCCAGTGACTAGAAACCATACACACACACACACACACACACACACTATACTCCCTCCCACATACACACACACACACTATAACTCCTAATACACACACAATGCAACTTCTAGATACCAACACAACACTCTACAGCCCCTATAAACACACTTTAGTCCCTACTGACATACACAAACACACTCTACAGCCCCTACACACACAATGTATACAGCAGCTCTTAGACATTAGCACACACACGTCACTGCTCAGTCAACAGCACTATTCTCACAGGCACAATAAATGTCACTTATAAAAGTTACATAAGAACTCATCGTAATGTTATTCTGCAGAACCTGTTTACTGTAAAAGTTACATTAGAAGTCATTGTAATGTTGTTCTGCAAAACTTGTTTACCATATCATACTTCACTATGTTGAAATGATGAGTAACCCCGAGGCACAGGAGGCAGTGTGATGTCAGCCCAGTATGGGTGACAGTTCTCACAATTATTTTACCCATCAGCTTCCTCCTAGTGCGGTGTACTGCATGTGCACATGTCCAGAGAGAACGAAAACCGCACAAGACATTCTGATATGAGCAAACTTTGGATAAGGTACAACTGGGTTTTCATCGCTGAAAAATGGGACATCGGAGAGATCAATAGTGATATCAGAACTTGGGCCTAAATTGTCACCACTAGATCTGGAAAGGCTGCTAAATATTAAAAGGTACACTCCTTGCATCTCAAGATCTCCTTGGAATAAACCCAAGAGGCCTCTTTTCCAGGACTGGGAGCTATATTGGCAGTTTTCGACCAGGGACTCCACCACCGTTACAATGCTGTATTTAGTCACGAGTACTTACGTTGCCCAAGCTTTCATGGAGGGACAAGAGGTGATGGTGCAGAATTCAGAGATAGATCCGTACAACAAGCTGACATGGTTATAGAAGGCAGAGGCTGTAAAATAATAAATTAAAAAACACCATTATGAAACAAAAAACAAACAAAAAACAATTGTACTGAATAGAAATCAAAATGGCAAAACATAGGCTAAAATAGCTAATTTGGAAAAGAAATACCCCAATTCAGGTACAGTCACAACTTTGCTATTTTTTGCCAAAACTGTTGCAATTCTCAACAATTCAGAGTTTAGTGAATAAACACCCTACTTAACCACTGCCCTGTATTAAAAATAACCTATTTCACAAATTAACTGTAGTGCAAAAAGTAAAAATATTGTTTTTGCACACATCACATATAGTTGCAACTTGGCTATTTTTGCCAAAAATTTTTGCAATTCAGATTTTATTTTACTATAATTTTATTAGCTGCTAAACTCGGCTGGATTAAATAATTTTTCGGCACAGAATTTTTTAAAAAACACGTGATGGCTGCTACAGTTAATCTATGAATTATAGAATATTTATCTATGTACTATTTTGGTACTTACTAATAAAGTAATGATGTGGTCTGTGTATTTGAAAAACTCAGCGGCCATGTTTTTTTAGCGCAGTTATTGATGTTTTACAGCATTTTCCCATATGAACTGCGAACAGAAAGACTTACAGACACTGGTAGAATGACCGAGGGGTGGATATCTGGGCCCTAGGGCAAGACGGAGCCCTGGGAACCACAATATGAAAGTTGTTTACCTTGCACAATATGCGTGGCTTATCTGGGCACTTGGTCAATAATACATTTATGTTGACCTTTGCATGACATGACCACTGTGATGGATTGCCCTTAGTACATGACTGATTGTTTATGTATCTAGCCATGAAATTAGTGCGGTCATTTATCAATTCCAATGAGGGTAACACATAAAAATTACATACTTCAAGGCTTGTAAACAATACAGTCCAGGCTTTATTTTTTATATTTGTTAATGTCCCCTTTAAACGTCATGATCAGGTGATCCTACCAAACAATGGCAAGACTCCCCATTTAGCAGAGTATAAAACACACAATGCACACTAACAGGATGTTTCACTAAAATTGCATAGTGAAATTCTAATTTAAGGCCAGAGTAGCCGTACTGGACGCTACTGAGAATTTTTCTAGTTCAATTATTTTGGCCTTAGATTTGACATTCACTTTGAATTTGAGACAGTTCTCTCTTGAGCGAAGAGCACTGTGAGAATGTATAGTTTATTGCATTTAAATCATTGCTACAGTGCAGTGTATGTTAAGATATATACACACACACACACGATCCCATCCTCCCTCTACTATACCCAAGTAGGGGGTCACACTGTAAACAAGTACATTTATTGTGACCTGTAAAATAAAAATAAAATCTTTGCAGTATCCAGTCTAGCACGCTGAGCATTGCAAATCAGACAAAATGCTTATCCCAGCTTTTACAACCCAGCTTTATTATGAAATATGAAATCATCTGCAACCCGATTCCTTCATTGCAGGGTTAAACGGGATATTTAATACTGGCGCCATCCATTTATAACAGAGCCACGCCAACACGGAGGTCTCAAATGAGCCATAATTCTATATTATGTCCAACTCCTATGACACACAAGTGGTAACGAAAACAGAGTCTCTTCCAGTCTGAAGGAAGAGAATAAAAAAGATATATAAATAAAAGGGAATGTGTTCTGAAAAGACTGAGTGGGGAAGGGTAAATTTGCGGTCGATGATTTGAACGAGATGTGGAAAGTTCAGTCTGCAAACCTCAGCCTTAAATAAGCATTCTCCAGTTCTGCTGCGAAATGAGAGCACTTTGCCATGAAGCAAGTTTACATTTAAACTAACACAATAGCAGGGCCCCGCAGTGCATTATAGTATAAAAAAAATTTAAATAGATGAAATATAGAGCTTTACTGATCTGATTCGTGGTGACAGTAAGGGCTACTCCATGACAATATAGCATTATGTAAGACTATTAAAATTATTGCTGGAGGTCAAATGCCATATAAGATCCCTCCTCCTTCCCCCCTCACCCCCCAATGCCCCCAAACCAGTACAGCCCCCCCTTCTACACACACACTTTGGCTGTGCTTCTAGCAGAGGATTTGTCTTAGAGGGGCAGGCAAGCTATGGGGAAATAATGCACAGTTTGACAGGTCAATCCCCCCCCCAGCACTAAAAAGGCTGGCAAGCAGCAATTCCACCTCAAGTCAAAGCTGAGTGATCGTATTAGTCGTCACTTCTTTGAAGTCACATAATTCTTTGAAATAACAATGTCTGTTTGATTTGGCTTCTGACATAAAGAGGTCAGGGAGTGTATCGAGTGTTATCAAACACTTATTACCATTTTTGCATTTTACATTAGTATTTATTTATTGATTACATATAGCGGTTGTGTTTTGTTTGACTAAAGAGATAATTGTCAGAAATTCTAAGTGATATTCAAACTCAAGGCCAGAGTAGTCGAACTGGAAGCATAGCTGACTTGGAGAATTTTCACATTTCAGCTATTTTGGCCTTAAGTTTGAAATTCACTTTGAAGTCCCAACAATTCTCAGGGAATAACCCTGATTGTGAATGGTTAGTAAATTTCACTACGCAAATATATACACAGATTAGGAGTTAAAATTAGCAGGACATTTCTGCACCAGTGACACTTTAAATATGAAGGTGCTATATCCCTGTGTGCCAAATAAACCAGCGGTGGAACTACAAACGGCGTGGCCGCCCGATAGGCATGTGTCTTTAGGGGCCCAGTTGTATGCTGCAGACCCTTTAATAATGGCTGCCCTGGGAGGAAGTGGGGGCATGTCACTTTCTTCCAGCTATCACACACTAAAAACGCATGGGAGGACAAGGCAGAGAGGAATGGGCACAGACTAGGATAGCCAGCTCCTAACTCCATGAAACTTCAGCCAGCAGAAGCCACCCTCCCGCACCCAAAAGGTAGGAAACAGGAGAGTGGGTTCAGATTTTCACCGGTATGTATGCCATTGTCGGTCTCTGTGTCTGCATGTGTGTTAGTGTATGTGTCTGTTTATCTGCATTTGTATCAGTATGTGTCACTGTATGTGTACATGTGCATACATCTCAGCATTCAAACATCAATACTACATATAAACACGCCTTGTATGAAAACACCAACATTGTGTATGAATACACCTCTATATGCAAAAACCAACACTACACACAAACACACCCCTACATTCACTCCATACAAAAACATGCTTACATTCAAGTACCTTTTGGCCACCCTTGCGATAGGAGGGCCCAAATATTTTGCACCAGGGCCCTCTCCTCGTTTGGCCTCCCACTGAAATAAATTGACGTCTGTGCCTCTAGACTAAGATGCACAGGGTCAAAAATCACTACAGTGAGACTAACCAGAGCGATCACTGTGAAAGCATCACTGTCAACGGATGGCAGTTTACTGCACAAATGAATCACATCTAAAATTAATTCAATTAATTCAATAAAAACAGATACTAAATGCTGTCATTAATACCAATCAAATACTGTGCCATTAATTTGTAAACTTCATATCATTTGCCATATATGATCACAATGAAAAAAATTCAATTTTTATATGCAGTGCACATCGAGTGTATAAAACATCGCCCTGGGAAATGATACATTGTTTTTAATTATTGCATCCGGTTTGTCATCATTGACCCATTGTACAGCGCTATGGGATTTGCTGGCGCTATATATATATATATATATATATATATAATAAAATAATAATAATAATAATAGTAATAATAATTGATCAACGCAACGATCAATTTTTAGTCTGAGATAATAAAAACAACAAAAAGTGTTTGTCATTTATTTAGAGAAGCCGGATTTTCTAAAACCATACATGAAAACACAAATACTCCTAAAAAAATCCTCTATAAAACTGCTACATTAGACTTATTAGCTTTATGACACCTTCATTTATAGCCCAGTAAATAGAATTTTGATTTAAGCAACATTCAAAATAATTTACAAATGTATCTTTAACGTAATCCTTTTTAATCTCTCACAAAGGATCAGTAACCAAATGCAGTAACATTTGTCTTTGAATTGTTTGTGTTTGTCATGTGTGTCGTGTTTGGCTGTCCAAACAGTATGTTTTTACATGTAAATAATCTCTCTCATTTGTGTTTAAAGCGTTACAAATTACCCCAGCATTGCACCTGGGATGCATGCTGTTACGGCGAGTTGCCATGGTGACATCACCTGATGCTGAAAGGTGCAAATCATGCGATTTTGGTCAAGTGTCACTGACACAGAACTACAGGTTAAGAAGGGTAAATTTAGCGAACCTGTTGCTATTAATCAATAACAGCAGTGGAACTTTACAACGGTTAAAAAACAGGACTGAGCAATGAATGTTGGGAAATGGAACTGTGTTAATCTGTCCTTGTATTGTCCTACAAACATCCGCTTTAAACCCTAAACGGGAACGGTTACTTATCTGGAAAATGCACCATTGAATAAAACATTGTTGATCACCTTTAACTTGTGTTAACGTTATTCTCGCGAGATGCTTTGTCTTCTTCTAAAATGTATATTAAGGCTTTAGTAAATCATATCACAATTAAATTCAGTCTAGCCATAAGCAGGGCACATATTGCAAAGAACAAAAACAATGTTTCATTCTCTCCTCTATCACTAACCGTATCCAGTGGTAGGAAGGGGTGATTGACAGAATGGTGCCTTTCTCAATTTAATTTTATTTTTTTTAGACCTGTTGTTACATATATGGGATAAGTAAACAGAATATTACATATCCTGGGAAGTGATGGATCCCCTTTAAGTAATACAAGTGAAGGGTCCTGGCACATTAACTTAAAGGGTTAAAGGTTTACTCCAAGAACCATAAACACTTTAGTGATTTGCAGTGGTCATGGTGCCTGGAGTCAAGCAAAGGGGAGTGATGTCAGTCTATGAGGATTGGGCTTCAGGGAGAACTTGGACTCACGTGTTGAATGAATGTGCGTTTTAGGTTTTTTGGGGGAGCTGATAGGGGGGAGCAAACCACCTTAGAAAGGGTTACTCTAACCAAAACAAGTTTTTTTTAAAAACCGTTTTTTGCTTGGAGTAACCCTTTAATGTGAACCTATTGTGATTTGAGCTTCATCCACAGCAGAGATCATGTATCCATTTAAGCCTTTGTTTGGCAAAACTCAGACAATGTGAGGTTGCCTTTAAGATGTTCATGGGCGGTAAATCTAGATCTTAATAATTAACATCCTCTAGAAAGGTTTATAAATATGTAACAAAACAGACCAACAATTTTATTCAGTAATGATTAATCTAGGTTTTTCATTCCTTTCTGGAACATGTCCAATTTAAATTTGGCATCGAAGGATCGGCTGGGAAAAAGCAAGAGGATAAACATTTCACAACAACATGATGTAACTGGTGACTAAATTGTAATGATAATCAGTACTTTGGAATGTGCATAGTAAATAATGTTTAGAATGACAAAGTGTTCATTATACCACAAATAACCATAGCACAGTAATAAGGAGATCTGATTAAATCATCTAAGAAGACAAGGAATACACAGTCAGTGGATGGACATGTAAACGCTCATACATGCACATGATTTGGTTCAGAAACTGACCTTTGACCTGGCATAAGATGGACCAGTGATTCATAACTTTTTTTGGACCAAGGCACAAGTTAATGACAGTTGCTTTTTCAAGGCATACCTGCTTTGTTTTTAGACATGTGCATTCGTCCATAAATCAATCTTTTAGTCTGAAACAGATACCTCTCAATTCATTTTTAATGGAGGAAATGTTTTTTTATTAGCTACATGATTCAGATGTAGAATTTTCAAGTATCTGTCTGAACAAATGTATTGGCTTCAAAATAATCAAAAGGCTTTGTTTCAAACGAATACATTTGATGTCAAACAAATCGATTTATTTATGGCTGGACGCAACAAATGCATATATCTATTAGCTTTTCTTTTTAACCTCACCAGAATAAATTGTACACATATTTCAATCCTTACTATAAATGCTAATAATAACAATAATAAGATACACACACTTCTTGCCAAACTGACTTTAGAGTTTTAATTAAATTGCCAAATAAGAATCCCATTTAATGATGATACATATTAAGACACGCATTTTAAAGGGCAATGTGCAACCCTATCACAGCCCTGAAGTCCATGCCATCACAGCGCACCTTATTGTTGTTTTAATTTGATTTGAGATGCATCAGTGTGCCTGTGTTGGTCGAAAGATATTAAGGATAAAAAACATCTGCACAAACAATAATATAATGATGAATGTGCTCTTAATGGGCCCACAAGATTTTAAGGGCAAGACCACAGTGTCAGTATAGCACTAGACCCTTGTACCAGTGCCAATCTAAGCTATGGTCTACAACAGAGTTTGTCCTACTGTGTGAATGAAAGTTTGCACTGTCGATTAATTATTCCCAACCTGTTGATCACTAGCTAACCCTGCAGAAATGATTGTGATGGCCACTCCACTCTATATGTCAGTATATTAAAAATTATTCCAGTGGAAGACTGATCACGTGACCATAACAGGATAACACAGAACAATGAGACTCGCAATCAATCTCCTGGTCACAATGTTTTATTATCAAACACCAACATGTCTCCACGGAGAACACAACACGATCTCCGGGACCGATATGCTTACATTATGTGTAAATACATCATCTGTCCAAGGCACGTCTCAGGACAAGCTCATGAAATGTCAATATTATGATATGATCCAATTACGTGTTCCTGGAAACTACAAATTGTCAACCATCAGACAATACACACAGGCACGCATGCACGATTTATCTTTCAAAGGCTGTCACCTTTTCTGACAAAACTAACCCTATTATAGCGCTCTGTCATGCTTTTTTCATGTCTCGTTTGCAAGCCTTACGTATGTACGCAGGGGATATGATCACCAAACACGAAGGAGCAGGAGGGTTTGAGAACCTGGTGATACTGTTCTCCTTTGAGTGAATATAAATCAACATTCAACATTTATTCACTAAAGTGAGAAATGTCAGGAATTCAATGTGAATTTAAAATTTAAGGCAGAAATAGCTGCACTGAAAAACAATTTCTCCAAGTCAGCCATACTTCGAGTTTGACTACTTTGGCCTTAAATGTGAAATTCATTTTCAATTCCTGGCGATCAATTTAGAGAATAACCTTGTCCTGCGTGCTTTCTGCCTTCCTATTCTGCACGTCTTATCCCAGAAAATGCTTCAATATAACTTACAGGTGGTATAAGAGGAACTGGCACTAACACAAAGGTGACAACTCCCCTAGAACAAAAGGCATTTTATTTATTAAGAGATAGATGCACAGCATCCATGGAAGTGGAAAGAAAAACACCTATTCAGATGGCTCTGCTTAACCGAGCGAGAGATATAAAGTTACAAGACACCAGGTACCATTACTGCCTGGCTTCTACACTTCTTAAAATCTAGATCATAAGCCTAGGGAGTCTAGCAGTAACTGAGCTAACCCTCGTAAAGTAGCAGAAACACTGACCAGCGTTCCAGGACCCCATGCAGAGGATTATGTAAGAAACTCCTAGATGCACAGGACATCCTCATGAAAGGTCACTCGGTGCAGTCCATACATTCGGTCACAATGCAAAGGAGGACCAACCAAAAAACATAAAGTCATACAAAAGTACATCCATTTTTTGGCTTGTTTTTATTTCCTATATCAGTATATCAGGGAAGCCGTCAGGGGGTGACAATCTGTACTCCGTTAAGAGGCTCACCTGTGGTTTATATGGTGTGGCGATGTTGGTTTCTGCGTATGTGTGCACTGTGTATCTGTGTGTGTACACATCTTTGACAAGTCATGACTGGGAATGCAGAGGTTTGTGTCTAAGTATGTATCTGTGTAAATGGGTGCATGTGCACATATTACTGTCTGCTAGAAGGTATTGCCAATGACTTTGCAAGAGGCCCCAAGAGATTTGATGGCAGCCCCGGCCCTAACAAATCCTTTCATGTTAGCCAATGCTACTCAGAAGCTCTTAAAATGACTACAGCTCCCAGAAATCACTGCACTAGACCGTGAGAACACATTGTGGGATATATAGGAGTCAAACTGTTTAGACTAAAATACAGTGTAGCTTGATGACGGAGCACCGTCACTGTAGGCAAGGGTAACAATGTTCAATCGGGCTAACCGCCAAAAAGCGCTCTCTCTGGTACTATCCACGTGGAGATATCCACCGGAGAGAGACGCGAGCCCCATGGAACTATGACTCAAAGCCGCAGGGTCACGCTGGCCACCTGGAAGTCCGTGCCGGCCAATCAGGAGAAAGGGTGAAAAAACAGTTTGAATGGTAGCCCTGTTCCTATTGGCTGGCACGGACTTCCAGAACAGTGAAGAATTTGTTAGTGGAAAATTATGCCATTTTTGGTTTCTGTAGATATTTATAAAACACTCAATATTTGATCTGTTTACTATGATGTCTCCAGAACACACTCATTTCCTTTTACGGGATCATTCATGTGATTTTAGAGGCCTTATAAAATAAAATAAGAAAAAAATGAAAAAATAGACTCTTTAAAACCCATAAGTGATTCTGCTCCTTGTCTTGAGAATGTGTTTTTTTTTCTCATTTGCAAATGTTTCCCACCCAGGAGACTTTACAAACCCAAATGTAAATGTACAATGGCAGACAAACCTGCTGGTTCTGTTTACGGAGGACAGGACTATGGTATTTACCCAGCAAACATTGTGGCTTTTACAAAATCTAATGAAATATGCATTAGCTCTTTCACACGTTCCACTCAGGCCTACACTCCTGTAATCACTGTACCATTAACACTCCGGAAAAATAAAGGCTGCCATTCTGTTTAAGAACAGCAATATAGATTGCTCTATTTCTGGAAAGAAAACTGACACGTAACCTTTACCATCACGAGAACAAATATATACTGGGGCTTATTCACTAAGCAACAAATTGCATTGAACTGTAATTGCCACTTTAATTTTCTGTGCATGCAGTTTATTATTGCCATTTAATGTTTTTGACCAATATTTCATGTACAGAGTTATTAATATTTTGGGTGTTAGAATATGGTTGCTAAAGTTTTCAATTGTATACAGCACATGGTTACTCTATTTACTTAATAAAATAGCTTAAATGGCTAGATATCAGCTTACTGGCTGATAATTATGCTTTCCTATGGGGAGGTCTAATGCGCGCGCATGCTGCCATTGCCGTGCATGCGCATTAGGTCTCCACCGCCGGCTGACGTCGGCAGGGGAGGAGTGTGGGCGGAACCTGACCCAGCGCAGAGGGACATCGGTGCTTGATTTAGGTAAGTAGCTAAAGGGGTTTTAACCCCTTTAGCGACATGGGATGTGGGGCGGGGGATCCTGCAGTGCCAGGAAAACTGAGAGTCCCTTTAATGGTCAAGTGACTAAAATGTGAGTATTAGCTAATGTCGTTTTTACAAAGCTGTACATTAAGGGGAGTAAAGCAAGTGGTTTTGGGAGTTGTAGTTTAATGGTCAGTATATGACTACAGAAAGCAGTAATGACATTAAGCAGAATAAAATCACCAATTTAAATTATGTTCTAGATTAGAACATACCATTGCTTGCCAACCATTCGTCTACGTTAAGTCCTTTAGGCAACGCCACCAGCATTAGGATATCCGCGTCCACTATACGAGCAGCCGTGTAACGAGGTTCCAAATACAGCTTCTCACTTTCTCCTGATGTCTTTTTAGCAGGACTGTCTTTCTTAATGGACTTACTGCTGAAATTAAAAGTGGGAGAGTCAGTCATTATGACAATTGCAAAATAAAAATAATATAAAGGATAATCAGCTTTTAGAGGTTGACTTGTATTCTCATGATTGGTGAATACCGATGGGTCAAGATCAAGATCCATCCATTATATCGATAGATGTAGCCATTATCTCTCGTCAACTTGGCCATTATTCTTGTAGTCGTGTAGAGACTTGAAAAAACCTATAGTAATCTCACAATTATCATCTATTACTAGAATTTTTAATTTTTTTTTAAATTCTTTATTTTTTGTGCTTATAGTAAACATGGTAGCAAACAATGCCACAACAGCTTGTGTCTGCTTAAATATCAACAATTAAAACATAGGTAGCATCTGTGGACAATACACATTTTTTATATTTATAATAGGTTAAGCAGTTGTGGTGGACAGCTCTTTTTGTGTGGGTGTGCAGTCTATGTTATGGTCCTTGTGAGTGTTAACCACTTAGGGTATCTCCCCCTGCCTGACAGTCGTGTATGTGAGCATTGGTGTAAGGTCTCCTGTGAACTGGCATGGGGGGGGGGGGGGGATATCAGTATAAGTGACAGCCTAGTTTTGGTCTCGTAGTGTGAAGGCTTCTAGCTGTGTGTGAGTGACTCACGTTGTTTGCGTGAATGGTCAAGGTGTCAAGGTGTGTGTGGTAGTACCTTCTAGCTGTCAGCAGAGCCCTGTCAGATGGAGGTTGGCGTCAGTTAGGAGAGTGGGTTAAGATATATACAATCTAATTTGTAACGAGAATTTTTTTTTTTTTTACAGATGAAGTGGAATCGGCTTTCAGCTACATTCTCTTTGAAAGTGGGGAAGCTGCTATCACCGAACAAAAGGCTTGTTTTGTGGTCTGTATTGATTTTCTGGATGCATTATCTCAGGCTTCCCCAAACTCCGGCTCTCCAGATGTTGCTGAATTACAACTCCCATGATTCTATGAATGAAATAGATAGGCTGAGAATCATGGGAGTTGTAGTTCAGCAACATCTGGAAGGCCAGAGTTCACATTCACAATCCACTATCAATTATCATGAACTCTGAATAATGAATTATTGTATCTGATTTAATGTTTTATTCAGGGTCAAGTCCTGGGGGAAAAATGTGGGAACTCACCCAAGATCCCGCCCCCTCCCCCCCCTTAAAAAAAAAAATTAATTACACTCCTATGCATATAGTGCAGTGCAGGGTGTGTATAATGAATGTAGTGTGTTTGTAGTGAATGCAGAGTATGAATAATAATTGTAGTGAATTTGTAGTGAGTGCAGAGTGTGTATAATGAATGCAGTGTATTTGTAGTGAGTGCACTGTGTATAATAAATGTAGTGTTTTTGTAGTGAGTGCAGAGTGTGTATAGTGAATGTAGTGAGTGCAGAGTGTGTATAGTGAATTTAGTGTGTTTGTAGTGAGTGCAGAGTGTGTATAGTGAATTTAGTGTGTTTGTAGTGAGTGCAGAGTGTGTATAATGAATTTAGTGTGTTTGTAGTGAGTGCACTGTGTATAATGAATTTAGTGTGTTTGTAGTGAGTGCAGTGTGTACAATGAATGCAGTGTATGTAGTGTGTTTGTAGTGAATGCAGAGTGTGTATAGTGAATGTAGTGCGTGCAGAATGTTTATAGTGAATGCAGAGGGTGTATAGTGAATGCAGAGGGTGTATAGTGAATGCAGTGTGTTTGTAGTGAGTGAAGAGTGTGCGAGTGCTGGACGACGTGCGTGCGAGTGCTGGACGACGTGCGTGCGAGTGCTGGACGACGTGCGTGCGTGAGTGCTGGACGACGTGCGTGCGTGAGTGCTGGACGACGTGCGTGCGTGAGTGCTGGACGACGTGCGTGCGGCGCGGAGTGCTGACTCCATCGGGCGGCGTGAGTGCTGGACGACGTGGCGTATGCGGAGTGCTGACGACGCGGCGCAGGTGAGTGCTGGACGACGGCGCAGCAAGTGAGTGCTGACGACGTAAGGCGTGAGTGCTGGACGACGTGGGCGGCGTAGGAGTGCTGGACGACGTGGCGCAAGGCAGGTGAGTGCTGGACGACGTGCATGTAAGGCAGGGAGTGCTGGACGACGTGGCGTAAGGGTGTGAGTGCTGGATGATGTGTGTGTGTGTGTGTGTTGATGATGTGTGTGTGTTGGATTATGTGTGTGTGTGTGTTGGATGATGTGTGTGTGTGTTGGATTATGTGTGTGTGTGTTGGATGATGTGTGTGTGTGTTGGATGATGTGTGTGTGAGTGCTGGATGATGTGTGTGTGAGTGAGTGCTGGATGATTGTGTGTGTGAGTGAGTGCTGGATGATTGTGTGTGTGTGTGTGTGAGTGCTGGATGATTGGTGTGTGTGTGAGTGCTGGATGATTGGTGTGTGAGTGAGTGCTGGATGATTGGTGTGTGAGTGCTGGATGATGGGTGTGTGAGTGAGTGCTGGATGATGGGTGTGTGAGTGAGTGCTGGATGATGGGTGTGTGTGTGCTGCATGATGGGTGTGTGTGTGCTGGATGATGAGTGTGTGAGTGCTGGATGATGGGTGTGTGTGTGCTGGATGATGGGTGTGTGTGTGCTGGATGATGTGTGTGTGTGCTGGATGATGGGTGTGTGTGTGCGTGCTGGATGATGGGTGTGTGAGTGAGTGCTGGATGATGTGTGTGTGTGTGCTGGATGATGTGTGAGTGAGTGCTGGATGATGGGTGTGTGAGTGCTGGATGATGGGTGTGTGTGTGTGCTGGATGATGGGTGTGTGTGCTGGATGATGGGTGTGTGAGTGCTGGATGATGGTGTGTGAGTGCTGGATGATGTGTGTGGTGCTGGATGATGGGGAGCATTTTTTTCTTACTTTATGTGTATGTATTTATTTTATTTTATCCCCCCTCCCTGCTTCTTACCTTGTCAGGGAGGGGGGAGATCGCCTGGTGGTCCGGTGGTATGCTGGAGGGAGCCAGCCGCTGCACAGAGGGGCCATCACACGCAGTGTTCCCTCTCCAGCTCTAACTCTCGCGAGACTCGCCTGTGCGGAGCGTTGCCATGGTAACAGCCGCGGGTCTCGCGAGAGTTATAGCTGGAGAGGGAACACAGCGTGTGCTGGACCCTCAGTGCAGGGACCAGGGCCGGTCCTGCAGGACAGGTAACGGGAACGGCGTTCCTGCTTTGGAAAAAGTGCAGGAACGCCGTTCCCATGCGTTCCTGCAGGACTCGAGCCCTGGTTTTATTGCATATGATATATACATTTAGACAGTGCCTTTTTTTCACCTCACAATTAACTCCAGGTGATCGCCGTATCATTTTTAAATTATTAGTGTTTCACCTTGTGTATTTTATTCCCACCTAACATCCCAAGCTCTGGAAGAGCACAAAGCAGGGTAGAAAAGAATTATAGGACTTGGGTAATGAGTTGAGATTGTCACTCCTAAAGATCTATAGATAGATGGTTAAATAACAGCCCATGTCTGAAAATACAAAATAAATGTAAAATCAAAGTCTACTGAAATTAAAGGGACACTATAGGCATCCAAACAACTTTAGCTTAATGAAGCGGTTCTGGTGTATAGATCATGGCCCTGCAGTCTCGCTGCTCAATTCTCTGCCATTTAGGAGTTACATCACTTTTGTTTCTGTTTATGCAGCTGTAGCCACACCTCCCCTTGCCGTGACTGATACAGCCTGGATGGAAACAATGGTTTCACTATGAATGAGATGTAACTTACTTTAAAAGTTTTTATCTCCTTCGTTGTAACCTCCTGCAGAATCTAGGAGGCTTTTAACAGAGCAGGAGATTCTAGATTAAACATATTGTGCAATAAAGGAAATTTAAACATTAGATCTCTCTTTACAGGAAGTGCTTAGGAAGGCTGTGTGAGTCACATGCAGGGAGGTGTGAATTGAGCAGTGAGACTGCAGGGGCGTGATCTATACACCAAAACTGCTTCAGTAAGCAAAACCTGCTTTGGTCACAAACACTTTCTCTACTTTCTGTTGGATCAACACCTAGAACATATAAGATTCAAACCTAGAATAACCTTGTGATCCAGATATTGTCTTATGAATTAAATATTTGCAGAGCTGTTTAGGGTTATCAATTTAAAGAATATGCTGAGTTTGACCTACATACACCAGTTCACACCCAGGTACTTGGTGCTGTAATTATGCTATGCTCTTATCTCATCTTAGCTGCTTTAATAATGCTCAGATTGCCGTTTCAACAGTTTATGTGCCAAAGGTTTGCCCAACACTTTACAGAAAGTAATAGTGATAGGAGTTGCAAAAAAAAAATAGACAGAGTAATGGAGAAGCTGGTCTGTTCTGTACAACTAACCATCCCAAAAAAACCCTCTGGGGTAGGGATTGAGATGACCAGTCACAACTATTAGCAGTTCAGTCCCCCTGCATTCAATTTGTAGAACCACCTGTGTTTAACACCATGTACAAGGCAGACCTAGTCTCAAATACCTCCATCTCAGGCTCCTGCTAGTGCCACTCTTTTCTGTGCCAACTGCCCATGCATTGATGGTGTTGACCATACGGACCTGACGTCTCAGAGCATGGCTGACTCATCATCAAGCAGCAATGCTCCAACAAGAATTAGAGGGGCCTTCTGAGAGTTAGTGCAAATCCTTCTGCCTCTCCATCCTCAGATCCCACCGATAGCATCCAGAGCCAGTGTGGGCCAACTTTAACCTCTACTTGGGCTCGCTGAGGCTGAGAGGTACGCATGCTTCAACACTCCATATGTTATGGACTACATATCCAACAATGCACTTACAGCTATAATGATGGCGGAGCATCATAGGAGATGTAGTCCACAACATGCCGGAGGTTGTCTACCCCTGTCCTGCAGCTAATGTGGGGCCTTGTTATCCTTCATCCAGTTGACTAATTCCCAAAATCAGACATTCCATCATATCATTCTCCTTTATTCAGGGAAAGATGACTGGTCTGCACACGTTGATCACTTGATAAACAAAATCTTCTCAAGCTACTATCACTATCACTCATTTAAATATTACCCACCATGCATGTTACTCTGCTACAAACAGTTCACCTTGGAACGTTGAGCATTCTTTGCTTTGTTGTAGTTCTGATTGCACTAGGTTTATTAGCTTCTAATGATATGGAAGCATTGACTGCTAACTCAGGCCTTGTGTCTGTTAAAACCCAGATAATCCCAAATCCAACCCTTGAGAGATAACATAAATCCTGGGTGGGGGAAAAAAACTAACGGCTCCGAGGATTGTCACCTACCAAATTATTTTCCAGCACTGTGCAATCTTTAAAATAACAATGTAACATATTACCCCCTTGCCCCCACCCATCTCTCTGAAAACTGCTGTACAGAGAGGAACTTCATAGTCAATCTGTATCCTGCAGATCTGGAGATGCAACATATTAACAAGGAATGTACAGGAATGTACAGGCACGCTGCCCAGTTTCCTCTGGTAAAAAACTTCAATCTCGTTATTGGCTCCAGATAACCGTATGTCATACCTGCCAAGGGTCCATGATTAGCAGGGACAGTCCCTATTCTATCCTAATGTCCTTTTCTAGGAGATCCATAATATTGGTTTGTGAGAGTGGATAACAGAGCTCCACAGTAATAATACTCACAGTAATGTGTCTTTAAACTACAATAAATGGGTTTAGAAATCAGTCTGTGTAAATTAGATGCACTGTTCTTGTTCTAAATTACTTTTTAGTTGCATAAATTATCAGCAAATAACATAGAATTACTCAGTACAGCTGAACCCCACTTACACCACTAAAATGAAAGTGTCTGTGTTTGTACATTTGAATTGTTGAGCAATGTTCAGCAGGAAGTTTTGATTCCCTTTGAGTGTACAAGATCATGTATTGTGTACAAGATCTCGAATCTATGAAAAACTTTAATTCCATTGTCAGCTCTCCATAATTCAGAGTTAAAGAACTGAATCATGTGCCTCATGCTTGGCTTCTAAAAAGAAAATCATTTGGGCTCCTAAAGACACAAATACTTGCCAAGTCCCCTCCATAATTGAAGGTGATCACTTACTGTTTCCTGTAGCCCAACAGCTTGCCCACGGCTTGGAAAACCATTGCTCTTAGTGGCTTTAGCAAGGGAGTTTGGAAAACCTGCAGATAAACAAGGTTAGAATGGTTAGAAGACAAAACATCTGTTCAAAAAAAATATTTAAAAAAAACTTAAAGAGAAAAACTTTGTATTGCGAATTCTGAGACTTAAATGATGCACAAAAGGAGCCTTGTCCCTTTACTAGAAATCGTCTGTTTACCTGGAAAAAGAAACGTAGAACGCCCCATTAGTTCCGCACAGTAAGCAGCACCAGAAATATTTGTTTAACATGGAAATGAAGCGAGCGGTGGGGGAGAATAATCTCTCAAAGGGCTTCTTGCTAGAGCAATTTAAATAGTTTAGTAAAAAGTATTTAGCTTTACTCAATGGGACAGTCTAAGCACCATAATCACGGCCTCATATGGTGACGCTATAGGGTAAGAAGTCTTTGGGTGCCAATCCCTTGATTTTTATCAGTTTTTGAGCAGTTTACCAAAAATGGTAATCTCCTTGCTCTTGGTATGCCAACCATAGAATCTCTGATATTACCCTGAGAGGGGGGTCTCACAGTCCCGGTTTGCCATCCATGGTTGGTTGGATAACTTAGAACAGAAAATTTAGAAATTAAACTTATACATTGGCGAAACAGAGGGGCCAGGAGAGGCATAGATTTTCTACAACCAATTGAAAACAGTTTGGCACAAAACGAAGTGGAGGTACCAATATACACCTTGCACCATAACCACTACATTATGCTGCAGGTGCTTAGAATTTCGATTTAAAAGGATGCTTTGATGACATATATGCTCATTAAGGCTCCTATGTGTATCTGTATATTTTGCAAGCTAAACTGATATCAAATATGAACAAAAAAAGTTCTCTATAATGCAATCACATGCACCCATAATCTTATAAAATGCAGCAAGCTGATCACGATTTTCAAACACCATGCACAATTTTCAATAGATTTGTCAAGAACACAAGGTCTACATTGTAACAAATTCATTGATTATACTGTAAACAGTCTTACCTGCCTCTGTATGTAACAAGCATTGCTTCCTTTATAACTTTAGTGATAGATGTCCAGGAAGACACGTTAGAGCAGACTAATTATTTTAATTCTATTTTTTTAAATTGTATTTATTTTAAATACAGACTCCCTGTATTACCTGGGTTGCTATAGAGAGTTCATCTTTAATATCTGTACATACCTGTTAGCGGTTCATTTTTTTATACCTTTTTTACCCCCAAACACTTACTGATTAGATTTATTTTGTTACATACCGAGGCAGCTAACCCTGTTTACAGTAAACTCAGTGGATTGTTATAATGTAGGCTTTGTGTACTTGACACATCCATTGAAACATGCACATGATGTTTTCCATATCCCCCAAAACAGCTTGTTAGGGAGCTGAGATTTCACAAAACGTCATCACTGCTGCGATTGGAATTTTTATTATAGTTTGGCTGATTTAAGTCATTTTTAAACTAGTATTTTAAATTTAAAAAAATAAAATAAAGAAGTTATTTTATATAATTTATTTCCAGGAATTAATTATTTTCTCTTTTTTTGTTGTTGTTGTTTGATTGCAAACTACACCAATATCACTACAGAGGGTCCTCCTGGGAATTAACCCATAAAGTGCCCAAGGGAACATCACTACTCCTATAGATCTTGAGAACAGCCTTATGAGTTGGAACTTTGTCTTTCGCTTACAATGTCCACCTGTGTCCAGTGAATCCTGCATAAGAATGACTAAAAGCTTGTCAGGTAACGGCTGACACCCATCATGATAAAGAAAGTTCCCTGGGCGTTGTTTTTTTGTGTACTGATTGACGAGGTGTCCTTTACTAGGAAACTAGACTTGCAAAAAGGACAAGTCAACAACAGGTTATCCTTGTCCCACACCTCTATTTCTTTGTTAGCATATCACTCAAATGTTACTCATCCAGCAATGCAATCTGAATGGACAATAAATCAACATATATCTCTTCTGCTGTGACGTCCCGGGGATAAATCCCTGTCTTACCACACTTCCTCTTTATGGAGCACACAGTGTAACTTAAAAAATAAATGTTCAGACCTTAGTTACTGTACACATGCAGTTACATGCAGCATTTATGCTTAGTATATATGCTAAAATTCTGGTGCTTGCTTACAAGTCCTTACATAATGTTGCTCCAACCTACCTATCCTCCCTAATACACAAGTATGTCCCGTCAAGGCCCCTACGCTCTGCCAAAGACCTAGATCCTCTGTTCGTACGCCCTGCTCTAATGCTCGCCTCCAAGATTTCTCCAGGGCTGCACCTCTTCTGTGGAACTCATCATTGAAAACTCACTTCTTCAAGAAAGTATATCAATTAAACTGTTAGCAGGTTTTTATCCCCCATGACTCCTCTCCTGCAACTGTCAAAAATAACGTACTAAGCCCTCAATTAATACTTTTCTAACAACCTACTTCATATTCCTACTTTTACCCTTTGTGTCACTATAGCCCACTCCCTCTAGCATGTAAGCTCATTGAGCAGGGCCCTATACCTCTCTGTTCCTGTACGTCCAATTGTCTAATTACAATTACATGTCTGTTAGTCATTGTACAGCGCTACGGAATGTGATGGCGCTATATAAATAATAAAATAATAATAATAGGTTGTACACTGAAGTGAATCTTTACTACAATTTGAGAATACGTGATCACTGGAGGCAGAGCCTTCAACCACCAGTAAATATGTCAAGAAAATATTGCCAGAGCTTACCGATGATCACAACATGACCTCAACATTCTATGGCACCAGGACAGAGCCATAAAATTAGAGGACCAGGACCATAGAGACTAGGAGTTAAACGAAATTTAGCAAGAGAGGAATTTAACCCACATTTATAGTCTGTATTTACTCAGCTAAAGCAGCCAATGCATTTTTGATCATTTTGGCTGGCGTTGTTACAGGGACACTTTAGGCACTGTAACCGTTTCATCTCATTGAAGTGGTTATAGTGTCTGGAGTCCCCTGGCATCGTTCTTCCATTCAGTGTTAAAACATTTTTAATGCTAGATGAGAGTCCTCAGAAAGCATTCAACTGATCAGCAATGGGCAGCTGTGATCGGCTGAGAGTGTCAGCTGACTGTTTTCAGCCTATCACAGTGCCCATTGCGAAGCATGAATCGGTATGGTTTGAAGGAAGTGTGCTTAGCCACACAACATGCAGGCTTGCAATTCACAACTACTTACCAGCCCTGCTAGAATTGGATAAGTAGGATGTATGATCATCCACCTGCCAGCCTTCAAGTCACCTTTGTATTGATTTGTCCATTTACAAGATTTTTTCTTTAGTTTTGTTGCATAAGCACAACTATAAAACGTTAACGTCATAGCGCAAAGAACAAATTATCATTGTCACAAAATTACAAGAATCCTCTCATTGCTGTAACAGCTACTAAAATACTTTATTATCTGTAAAAACATTCTAAACGCACTTCTGCTAGAAGCAGTTATGCCCAATCAATCGAAATAGAGACGTTGATACCCGTGTACCTTTTGCCTTCCACTTAGGTGTGTTTATCATGGCAATCTTGCATAACACTCAGAGCAATACAATTGTTTTCCAGATAAAGTGACTTTTTAAAGGAACACTACGAGTACTCAGACCATTTCATTTCATTGAACTGGTCTGGCTGCAGTGTCCCTGTTCCCCATAACCCTGCATTGTAAGACATTGCAGTTTCAGACAGCCACTAAAGTCGCTTCCTGGAGTTTCACGGAGTTTGACTCAGTGAAACAAAAAGCTGGACGTCCTCATGCTTTGCATGATGACGTCTAAAGATGTGTTGACATTCCCCATAGGAAAGCATTGAATCGCTGCGCATGTGCATTAAGTTCCCTCGGATCTCTGACGTCAGAAAAGGAGGCACCTGATCCAGCATCGAGGCAAATTAGATAAGAGTTTAAAAGGTTATTTAACCCCCTTACTTGGAGGGGGGGACAATAATTTTGTGCATTTTGTATTCCTAATGCTATAATGTTTCTTGAAAATCCTCTGTGTAAAGACTAATTTGGCCTAGCTCTATTAGATTGACTCAACGTCATCAAATCCAATCAGGAGGTCATAAAGTTAATAAAAGGGACACTCAAGTGCAGAGTTAAGCAATCATTTTTAAAGTACGTATATCGATTAAAAATATATGCAAATATATATATATATATATATATACACATATATATAGAGAGAGAGAGAGAGAGAGCAAAAAACGGGTCGCAAGAGTATTCTGAGAACGAACAGCAGCTAAAATAGCTTGCCCTTTGGTGGGTACCCGCTCAGAACTCAGGCTGGTTTTAGCTCATCTTGTTAAAAACCAGCTTGAGTTCTGAGCGGGGACCCACCGAAGGGCAGGCTATTTTAGCTGCTGTCCGTTCTCAGAATACTCTTGCGACCCGGTTTTTGCTCTCCATTAGTTTAAAGGGTAATCCAGACGTGGACCCCTTGCTCACGGTGCCTACAGAGATATCAGCTGTGCCTCACTGATGATGCCTAACAAGGCTGAAACCATCGTCTTGGGTTGCTGTATCTCTCATGCAGAGAGAACTTGCTGGCATTTCGGATCTGGACTGCCCGTATGGGTGGGACCAGTCTGATATGCTTCAGATATGTTCTCTCTGTAATGGCACAAGATGAGCTAAAACCAGCTTGAGTTCTGAGCGGGGACCCACCGAAGGGCAGGCTATTTCAGCTGCTGTCCGTTCTCAGAATACTCTTGCGATCCGTTTTTTGCTCTCCATATATATATATATATATAAATATATTTACATTAGAAGTTTATTTTTTTATGTAAGTCTCCCAACTTTGTCACTTCTACTGTTTGTTCTTACCAAACCAGAAAGTGACTCAGCCCATAATGAGGTGAATTTAACTTTCTACAGCACTCTTGTGCTTACCTCGAAGCAGTGCCTCATGGGTAATGGTATCTCAAGAGTTGCAGGTCATTATTAGTTTTCTACTGTGGCATGTTATGACATCATAAATAGATGCGTTTTTGGAGAAAAAAGGGAAAACCTGCATATTGAGTGGTGTACTAATGAAATAAAACAAATTATTATACAAATATAAATAAAACAAAAATATAAATATATATAAAAATATAAACAAAAATATAAACAAATCCAATGTAACTACTGATGACTGTGGTGGCTGTCCCTTAGAGCCCCCAAAAATAAACGCGCCCCTTTTAGAATGCGTGCAGTTCTGAGAACGTTATGTCAACACTGTTCAGATCATACAGATTTAGTTAGAATCCTGGAAAATTAAACCTATGCTGAAATGGTTTCTGTTGCATGTCATAGCAAAATCACAATTTTCCACGTAATTTGTTTTTTATGTGGCTTTTTGAATAACCAAGGTCAATAGGCCTAAAGCTCTTCTAAATGGAAAGAAAAATGCTGTGTAGTAACGTAAGCCTTGAAGGGAACAATAAAAAATGAAAAATGAATCAAATTGTCAATTTCATTCACCTTCAAAGAAATTCTTTATCTCCTATTAGTGAGATATGGTATGAAAAAGCTTATTCTTGACCGTCACGAGATCGCGGTGTGAGTTCATTAACCCAGTTACGAATATACAGGGCTGGCCGATTTGAGCATATCCACAACTGGTAAGATGGACATTTTCTATAAACCTTTATTTATTTATTTATTCTTTTAACCACGTGAGGACCACCTGTTGCAAGACACGATTTAGATAAGATACGTCAGAGGTAGGCAACCTTTGGCTCACCAGATGTTGCGGACTACATCTGCGTTGTCAGCATTATGTCTGCAACCATTAGGGGAGCTAGGCCGCAACATCTGGATGCTGAAGATATATCATAGCAAGCATGCAAGCATAGGAATCGTCATGTAATCATTAACTATACAGTATGTAAGCTTGCTTGAGGTTCTTCATCTCCTAATTCCTTACACATTATTATAAAAACTTCAAAAAATAATTAAAAAGACTTTTTAGAATTTTATTCATAAAATTGTAAAATGTATGCAGAATGTGATAGGCATGACAGTTAGACCCCTTTCTGATTAGTCTACGAAACCCTCTATACTGGAAATTATGGCAGTTCCATAAATTCAACACAGAGTTTTGGGGAATTTTACCCCTTTTCCCAAGTTCTTGCGTGAGTGTTTTTTTTTTTTTCCACACACAAGTCTACTGGTAACATCATTACAATAATGAAACAAATATCTTTATCAGTACACAAATGGTTCCTTTGGAATTTTGCAAACATTCATACTTGGACGGGATGTGGAGTGATGTAAACAAGGAAACAGTTGAAGAATTTGGAGCAGTGTGCCAGTTAATAGCCAGGGAGGCCGTGTTACTAATTAATAGACATATCACAGGTTAGATCTCACCTAGAGAATATGAACTCTTTTACAGCCTCATTGTGCGCAAGGGATGAAAGCAGTGGATTGTAACAAAAGAAACTGGTATGTTTCAGTTTTGTTTTTTAAACATTCACACTGGAGTTTATTCACTTAACAGTAAATTGTAGTGAATCAAAAGCCAAATGTAAAATATTAGGCAAAAAAAAAAAACAACAAAAAACAACCAACAAAAATGCAACTATTGCTCAGTTGGAGAATTATTCCAAACAGACTTTTTGCACAATTTAAAAAATTAATCGATAAAAATAAATTGCAATTTATTTTTCAATGTACTACATTTTGGTGGTTAGTGGTGTAGTTTGTTAGGCAATTCTACCCATTTTTCCAATATATATCTGCAGTTGAATGGACTGGCACCTGCTGTACATTACCCGTGTAAAGGGGGCCCCTAGCTATTAGAATTGCTGTAACATACAGAATAATCGAGTGATCATTAATAAAACATAAAATCACTAACACACTTCTGCGTACGTTCTTTATAAAAAAATATACTGAAACTGATTGTCAAAGAAGGAACTTATTTAAACGTGAAGTTGACTGTTGGCTGGTGTCAGCCATCAGTAAAGTGACTAAGCATTGCGTAGTGTCTAGTATTTTGCATGGAAAGGAAGACATAAGGGGACATATCAGCAGATAGATGGCTTCCGGGGGTAAGTAGCAAATGGGCATGTCACTGTCAGATGCGTGGTTGCCAATAAGCTGTCCATGTGGCACGTTCTAATTTGTGGCATAATAAAATTCAGAGATCAACATTTTTAAGCTTGTTTAAGCTGGCTTTTCATCTACCTATTGTTCCTGAATCATTTTTTAATTGTCTCATTTATTGTTAAAATTTCCCCCTTACAAAATACTGTAAAGTACTGCGGAATAAATTGGTGCTATTTAAATACCTATAATTATAATAACAAAACTACCAGGAAATGGGCACCATGGTTATAAATAACCACTATGTAAAAAAAAAAAAGTGACACATTTAAAAATAAATAAATAAATAAAGTCCCATATTAGGACTTCTTCCTCTGAAACTGAGACACTTGGGAGATATGCTTGTCTAAACCAATTAACATTCCGACAGTGCTACCAGGAAATATAGACCATGATCATAAATAGACACATATTTTTACAACCGTAACAAAATTCTTTAAAAAACTAAAACTGAAATATTTTGGCTCCATTGTAAAAAAAATAAAATAAAAATAAAAATCTACCTAGCACACCACTGGCTGGATATTGAATGAAGTAAAGGAATTAAATCAAATTAACCTTAAAATGCCGAAAAGTGAGCTTTACAGCAATCTCCTCTGTCTCTTACAGGGTTGAAGCAGTTATGCATTCATTTTAAACTCCAAAACCTTGGCATTTAGGTTTTCCTGTGTCTTACCGATTTGGTTTTCTAGATTCAAAATCCAATAAAGCAGGGATGGTTGAAACATTTATGATTAAGTAATATTTAAGTAATATTTAAAGGACAAACCACACACGCTCAGTGTCTCCCTCCCACTGCATCCTGAGCGCACCCAATATTCCAGGACGGTACTAATCAAAGGCTTATTGTTTATCTGGTAAAATTGAGCCAAGATCCCGCTTTGTATGGAACTTGTGTTTTGATCCATAAAGTACACACACAGACAAACATGTTCTAAACGAGCCTCCATGTGTAAAGCATGACTATATATTTTCATAGAACAATATAGGGTTGTATTGGGAGAGGTATTAGCAGTAGAAAGAGGGAAGTGCTCATGCCATTGTACAGAACACTGGTGAGACCTCACTTGGAGTATTGTACGCAGTACTGGAGACTGTATCTCCAGAAGGATATTGATACTTTAGAGAGAGTTCAGAGATTGGCTACTAAACTGGTTCATGGATTGCAGAATAAAACTTACCAGGAAAGGTTAAAGGATCTTAACATGTATAGCTTGGAGGAAAGACGAGACGGGGGGGATATGATAGAAACATTTAAATACATAAATAGAAAGATTTAAACACAGTAAAGAAAAAGACTATATTTAAAAGAAGAAAAACTATCACAAAAAGAGGACATAAGCCTTACATTAGAGGGGCAAAGGTTTCAAAATAACGTCACGAAGTATTACTTTACAGAGAGGGTAGTGGATGCATGGAATAGCCTTCCAGCTGAAGTGGTAGAGGTTAACACAGTGAAGGAGTTTAAGCATGCGTAGGATAGGCATAAGGCTATCCTAGCTATAAGATAAGGCCAGAGACTAATGAAAGTATTTAGAAAATTAGGCAGACTAGATGGGCCAAACGGTTCTTATCTGCCATCACATTTTATGTTTCTAATAAATTGTTGTGTACACTAAATATTACGCATATTTCAAGATGGATAATCTATGCAGAATATTAAAAAAAAACTGTACATAGCATTCAGTATTTGGATTGGGAATTTCATAGAAATGTGATCATTACAAATGGTGGTTTTGAAAAACGACCTATGAGGGGGCCAGATCCTAAAAGTGGGACAATCAACAAAAAAGTTCCATTGGTTTCCAGGGTAATTATTCCACTTTTGTAGATCAAGACAGAAAACGTCTTTATACAATGAATCTGAAGATTCTAGAGTAAAATCATCGTTGAAAGTTCTAACACCACCAGGACTCAGGTCTTCACCAACGTACTAGCTGTATATAATTTATATGCAAACAGGCAGAATAATATGCATGGCAGCAGTTACAGTGTGATATAACTGAACTCAAGTTCATGTATTTGTCCCCAAAAATAAAAAAAAATAAAAAACCCAGAAAGATGTAGTATTATAATTAAGACAAACAGTTTTACACTTATTCATACAAACCAGATGATATTATAGGGCAAATTGCTAGTTGTTGAGAGACATTCCATTGGTTTCTATGGCGATTGCTCCTTATATAGCATTTTGTCCCAGAACATCACCAGTTTTTGCCTTGATATATATGGTTCCTGCCTTCCTGGAATTATTAGCCATAAGGGGGGGAGGAGGGGGAGTCTCTGTATATATGACATAATAAATGAATGTCAACCATGTGAAGGTTTTTTTAAATGTAAAATTATTTTATTGCTTCATAGTTAGAACTATCTTGTCATGTGTGGTGCTTATGCCTGAATAGTCAATGTTCGTGACTACCTTCAATTACAATTTCAATATGCATGCCTTCCTCTCCACATGTTCAGCAAAATGTATTGAACTCAGTCACGCAACACAGAGATTGCTATTTAATAGAGATTGTACGTGTGCGGACGTAGGCATCTTTAAAAGTTGGAATAATTAATTGGATAAGGATCCATAAAATAATAATAAGGATCCATATGTCACTGCTAACTGGAAAGGTCGTAGTCTGATGTGTCAATATGAAAAGAAAATAATCCAACAATATTGATTGGCTAGATTAGACCAGACAAAGCGTCATGGGAGTTGTTGTTTTATTTACTATCACATATCATCCAAGTGTCCCTATTTAGGAGGGACAGTCCCTATTTTGGACCCAAAATTACGGTAAGTGGTTAAGTCCACCTCTAGGGCTGTTTACCAGAAAGCCACTAGAGACGCTTCCTGCTTCCTAATGAAGCTTGACTCAGTGAAACAATGTTGGACATTCTCATGCTTTGCATGAGGATGTCTAATGTTTACAAATTGATTCAATGGTTTAATGCAGAGGGTGCTCACTGTGCATGTGCATTAGGTCGTACATCACCATGATGTCGCCGGAGGAGGTAATTGTTAAAAGGGAGTTTTAACCCTTTCAAGAGCAGTGAGTTAGAGACAGGGCACAATATAGCATTAGAAACAGGTTTGTATTCCTAACGCTACAGTGTTCCTTTAATTGTTAGCCACTACATGTATGCTCTCCGGCTCTGAAACAATTTAACCCCTGCTTATGTAGATGTGCATTTAATGCCACACTCTTAAAGCTTTAGTAAATCATAGAGTTTATAATTCTTTGTTTATACGCCTCCCAAATACTACATTTTAATAACCCTTAATAAACCCGTTTCTCTATCATACACAATGCTGGCTGAGTGTGATGATAGTTGCACAATGCTGGCTGAGTGTAATGACAGTTGCACAATGCTGGCTGAGTAATGATAGTTGCAATACACGGTAGCTTTGGAGGAAAAGGTTGGGAATCTCTAGCACAGATTAAGCTTTTGTCTGCCAAGACCCTCTGTCTGCCCTTCGCTGTTATATAGTCACACAGCATCTGGTATCATTTTATGCTTGGCCTAAATGAATGGAATACCGTCTTATTCAATACCACAAATTTTCTGCTTTTGCAATGCTCAAGCTAATAGGGAACCAGATTTAAAGGAGAGAGTAAGTTCAGCACTTGGGATCTTCTGCACCTCATTTATACCAACAGAAAAGTGGTGATTAGAGTCAGTCTCTGGACCGCTGTTTCTTTTTTGGAGGCAGACATTTAGCTAGCTACTGACCTACAGATAGGCAGCCTGAATACCCTTACCTGACATTACAGGGGTTTTAGACCAATGCAGGTAGCTAGCTAGATTTTGCCTCGAAGGCACAGCTAGATTTTCTCCTCCTCAGAACCTATTTACTACGGATACATTGTATTACCAGCCAGCTTATCAGGCAGTTTATTTCACTTTACTTTATTTTTTTCACTTATTATATTATCCTGATTTTACCAGCTTTATTGATTCTGCTGTGATATTAACTTCTGGTGTTTATTTTAGGGTAAAATTTAACTGGTCAGGCATAACATTTGAGACCAAGCCAAGTTTATATATGTATATATATATATATATATATATATATATATATATATATATATACACAGTATATATATATTGCTGAGACACAGTATAACACCGTGGTAACTCACCACTTATGCTCTTTTGCAATTATATAGCCTATGTTTCACTATGCTCTCTTCTCTACTACGTTGTCATCAACATTAGATTAATTGCATCCTTTGCAAGAGGATAGTGCTTCACCTTAATTTACCCTTATTGGCTTCCTCCACTAGATCTGTACCTTCTGTACTAGTGGCATTTCTCCGGGGCAGTTTTTACCTCTGGACCAATCTTTTATCCTATATATTTGTTATCAAGTCCACTATCATATATATTTTTTTTACTCTCCCCCACCACTATTTTGACCTAGGTTCATCTTCACTATCCTTACGTGTGTTGTTTAATTTCTATGTTCTTCTTTTTAAATATTTATTTTTAAAAATTTGAATTTTTTTCTAGGGACAGACCTTTTCTCATGTATTTCTAAGGATAAAAGCGAATATTTGCTCCACTGCAATGCTGCAAAGCAATATAGAGAGATATTTACTAAACTAGGATTGTGAAACATTAACAAGGAAAAATAGCCAAAATTGGAATATAGTTGTGTTCATTACAGCTTGGCAAATTGGCCTAAAAATGTGCAATCCTCTCAAGTATTGTACACAACTCTCAGTTTATTGAATAGCTCTGTTGCCGGTGAGATTACTCAGTGGGCCGATGCACCACCAGCAAAATCTGCCCACCACCTGGGTTGCAGGTTCAAATCCCAGCATGTCCTATTTCATCCTTAAAATGGTAAGTATTCCACCCTTGTGCAGCATTCTGGTAGTTAGCGCATGTGCCCAATATGTTTGTAGTTCTACGCATGTGTGGAACGTCCATTAGCCGCACATGCGTATTAGGGCACATAGAAGCGAAAACGGACATCGTGGTTAATGATAAATGTCCATAGCTTAACAGTGGTAGTAATAAAAGAGTAAAAGAAAGGGAAAAGTAGGAGATTTTGTATAATATGTACAACAAGCGAAACATATAGTGACTGAAATAAAATAATATAATACACATGTAAAATAATACATAGAAAGAGTGACACTATCCATATAGTGGAGAAACCTAGGATTAAAAAATATATTTTATTACTTTACTGAGAGGATAGTGGATCCATGGAATAGCCTTCCAGCTGAAGTGGTAGAGGTTAACACAGTGAAGGAGTTTAAGAATGGATGGGATAGGCATAAGGCTATCCTAACTATAAGATAAGGCCAGGGACTAATGAAAGTATTTCAAAATATTGGGCAGACTAGATGGGCCGAATGGTTCTTATCTGCCGTCACATTATATGTTTCTATGTTTCTGTTAATACAATCTTGCTCTGCAACAGTCTAATCCTGAAACAGACTGTTTGGAGTCCTAAAACAATGTATACAATACCGCTGCCATTAAAATCTCTCTGGTAGTCTATTTTATGGTAACCACTAACGTCATCTGTAAATCACAACTACTGCTGAGTTTTCTCAACTTAATAAACATGCCAGACCTATACAATCAGGGCTATGTACTAAAGTGATCATTCAAGGTGAATTTCAAATTTAAGGCCAGGGCAGCGAAAAGCTTAGCTGGCTTTGCAAATGTTTCCAGTTCGGCTATTTGACCTTAAATTTTAAATTTAATTTGGATTCACTTTGAAGTCTTACTTTAGTGAAAAAAATATAAACAAAATGAAAAGAAAAAAAACCCCAAAAAACCCCAAACATATAAATAAATCAATACATTATAAAAGCAACTCTATATAATTGTTAAAGAATGATGGATTTGAAAATCTGATGCAAATTTCAGTATCTCCCAAAAAAGTGATGGCTATTTTTTGCACAGGAGATATTTGCAAACTATATTTCTCATCCCCTACTCTGTCGGACAAGGCCATAGGCTACATTGTAACCAAGCAATAATTTAATGACATAAAGCCTCATGACGGAGCTTCTAAAATTTCTGCTTATTTCTTCACTAAAACTTTGTATTGCACGGTCTTCTCTAATATACATCCTTCAATCTATTAAAATGCACTCTGTGTCAAAGGCATGAGAAACATGTAAGGTGTTTTAAATAACTTAAAGAGAACTTGTCACTTACCTGGAATTTTAATATTATGTTTACTTAGCCCTATATTTAGGTAATAAATACGTAAAAATATGCTCGTTAGGTGTGAAAAATAAAATTAAAATGCAGAAATCCACACCTCTGTATCCTGCTACTGGGTGCCTCCATCTTAACTTCCTGTTAGCCATTGTTGTAAGCTCTAATATTTGCACCTGGCAGTCAGCATAGAGAAAGTGTATGGACAAGAGGAAAAATTAAACAATGTTTCGATGTCTCCTTCTTATTTACAATGTTTGTCCTTGTTTTGCCTTTTCTGAACTAGATTATGATGTTATTTGATACATCTTTAACATAAATTTAAAAGAAAACAGAGCGTGTCACGAATTATAGGTTAACACACGTTATAGATGATTTTTGTGACAATTTCCCTTTAAAACTAAATAAATAAAAGTCATAATTTTCCGCTATTTTCTAACCCACAGTGATCTGCAGACTAGAGAAGTTCACACAGGCGACTGAAAGTCCAATTTCTGAGCCAAGTAAAATCTGAGATGCTTGGAGAAGCTGCAATTTAATTAATCACTCGCAGCAGCAAAGCCACAACATACACCACGGTGCAGTACAAAGCATTGAGTCTGCGCAAGTGAAGAATAGACAACATACAGATGTAAACATATGGAAAAAGGAAACATGTTTAATTCAATTCAAATGGTCTCTTGTTAATATAAATAAGAAATGTAAAGTTATTTTTATATTTCTGGATTATCCAACTGTAAACCACTGCAGAACATGTTGGTATAACGTTTACCATCATTATATACTATTGGAGGGCCCCAAGCCGCAATCTCTATTTTGTTTTGGTTTAGAGCAGGCAAATGAAATAGATAGGCTGAGAATCATGGGAGTTGTAGTTCAGCAACATCTGGAGGGCCGGAGTTTGGGGAAGCTTGGTTTAGATCATCTCTCAAGTCTGCTGAATTAACATTTTCTATGAAAGAAGAGAAACAATATGTAGGATCGATCCCAAACCATCTTCATTTTGTCTGTCCTTCTCCGCATCAATGTGATGAGGTGGCAGCAGCAAAAAGCCATCTGACAGCTCAAGAAATTGAAGGCACGCTCCAGGCACCATAACAACTCAAGTGAAATGAAGTAGTTATGGTGCCACATCATGGTTCACAAATGGTATAGCCCTTGTTGGATTGCACTGGCCCCCTATCCTTTCACTTTCCTAAGTTCTTCAGAATTGAAGGCTGTGGCACATCCTGCAGGGGCGCCGCTGATTGGCTAAGAGTGGTCAGCGGATGCTCTATGCCAATCAGTAGCTACCGATTCATAATGATGGCTCAAAAAAGGTATGTACCTTTTTCAAGCATTCACTGGGGCACAGAAGTTGGACTTAAACCATTCGTGAATGATTTTAATTGTAATAAAGCGCCAGGAACCTACTGGCACCATAACAACTACATTTTAATGATTTTGTTATGGTGCCCGCAGTGTTCTTTTAAGGAATATAGAAGCATAACGTCACACATGCACTGCATGGCATGCACTGTGTGTGTGTGATTATTATTTTGTCGGATTACAATTTTCTGTAGATTCCTACATGAATTACGAACAACGGAGGAGAAAAACGAGAAAAACCTTTGAAAAAGCACAAGAAAATAGTAAATAGTACCTTATTTATCCAAAATAGTACCTTATTTATCCAAAAACCAAAGTCTTATCTAGGTTTGCTTGGAATGCTGAAATCGTTTTGTATCCAATGTTTTTAGAAATATTCATTTGTGCGGATACAGAATTATAAGGTTTTAGAAAGTTCTAGAGGTTTGGTGTGTACAGCAGAATTGCAATTTACGAAGTCTCGATAGACGAGGCCCTCCAGATGTTTTGGAACTAGGTTTCCCATAATGCTTAGTCAGCAACAAATACTCCCTGAGCATTTTGGGAAATGTGGGATATCAAGATTAGCCATTACTGATCCGTATCATGATCCAATGAAACAAACGGGAATTATGTATTTGGAGAAGGAATGTCCAGTATTATCAGCCCATCTGTTACTGGACCACAGCTCCCATAGATCCGATCATACCTCGTCGGCTGTTACCTGGAAGCATATGTTTAACCGTAGGCCAGCAACACCGGGAAGTATTTGGTTAGAAATCTATATAGGCATCAATGTATGAATCATATTGTCTTTTTGGATGGAACTTTAAAGAGTCTTCATTAACTTTCCAAATTCAGCTCAGCTCATTATAATTATTGTACGAGACGAAGACCCTTTAAATATATAATATCTACCCATGAGAACATCTGTATTGACATTAAATAACATATTATTCATTATTAAAGGGTTATTAAACTTGTGAATGGTTGGTGATCAGCAAGGGTATTGCAAATTAAATCATTTACTAACTGGGTTGGAAATATAGCTGATATTTGGCCTAAAATGTATTATTCCCTAGCAAATTCTACACAATTCATGGTTTAGCGAATCATTGTTCCTATGATCATTTAGATCATTAATAGGGATAATGAACCAAATAATTAATCAGCAGAACAAAAGAAGGAAAAAAAGATAATGATTAAAGTATAAATTACGTGCTTTCTCTTAATGATGAGTTACACAAGTGTTTGTGCTTTCTAAGCCAACATTACAGTCATGGTGAGAGACTCCCAGCATGCAATAGGGGGATAGCTGGGGGAGCAGATGGCTCTCAGCACAAGCAGAGACCTGTCATGTGGAGTCTGGAATCTCAATCAGGTAATATGTGCATTCTCCATCCTTGCTGGCTTGCCTGTCACAACCTGTCTTAAAGCAGACTCACAAAACAAGATGTTCCAGGATATAAGACCACAGCCATAACAAATCACCTTCATAGATCTGGATCTGGTGTAATTCACACCTGGACCCACACACATGACACCCTCCATGTCATTGTCTCACTGTAGATCGTGAATACGCTGCCTCTGATACTCCAGTTGAGGACTATGACTCTTATGATGCACAGCCAGACATCAACCCTAAATACCATGTACTAATGATCTAATACTGAGGCAGGGAGTCCACAGGTCTTAAAACATATATATCATATTGTCACAGACTGACTGCCCACTGAAAGAACTGGCATCCTCAGGCACAGCAGATGATGTGGATTGCCACTCTCACAATGCTCAGCCAGCCTTTAAACAGACATTCACAGCAACAGGACAGCCAGAGGTTGGTTATTATTGCCATAGACTGGGTGGATTCGTGTCATCCAGACAAATTTAAGGTTTCAATTTTCCCTTTTTGTCTAAACAGGGTTGCCAAGTACCTTATGCAGAGATGTTACAGAATGTAAAATAATAAAAGTCAGATAAACTCACGTTTCGTGCTCCCAGCTCTGTCTGATCTTCCTCAGGTCAGATCCCACTTTGCAGGTTGTCTGTTAGAGATACACAGAGAACACGATTTCCAAGTTAGGAAACACAGTGGCAGACAAAAGAGGTGAAACCAGACTAACCAGAGCCTGGCTATCACAGCCCAGTGATACCACATGCTCTCCTCCCCCTTCCTGCCCTGCAAATACTGGGCTTATTCACAGCTCTCCAGCCAATCACAGGCCAGGACAGGGAGTGTGGGGAGGGACTGATCTATGGCAACCAAGGAAGCATTATGTCACACAGCCCCTTTTCAATTAATTTCCTGGGCTTCACAAGAATACACAATATCATCTTCTTCTACTATCATTGCTACAATGTGTCTGCTTAGTAATGTTCTATTTAATGCAATATAATACATCATGTGACCCACAGCAGCCACTTCTTGGAGAATGCTGTATAATGTTTGCAGATTAAATTTGCATTCAGCTCTTTTTTTTTTTTTATAAGAGATACTGGGTTTTTAGTCTTTAATTAGAGGGGAATAGTATACAGTGTAAAAATATATTCTTTGTGTTTTTTTTTTATTTAAACATTTTTTAGTTTCTGCATCCTAAATTGTTAACATAATGTCAAATCTAACCATAAGTAAATAATATAAAAAAAATGGCAAATCACATTAAAAAAAAAGGGGGGGGGGGGAATTAACTGATTTTACAGCATTTGGCAGCATTATTTAAATAATAGTTCTTATAAGATTTTCTAAATAATATAAAGCATCAGTCTAATTCGCAGCATGGTGTGATAGTCATAAGATATGGTCTTCTATGAACTGCAGTTCATAAAGCTTAATTCTACTAAATGTGGTATAGCTCTTAAGATCATATGTTTCACTGTTTAAGAACGACATGTTAAAAAGAGTTGGTTATCCCAATATAGTAATAAATCCTTATTGACTACACGTCCTGTTGCCCTTTAGATTGTAAGCTCACGGCAAGGTCCTCTACCTGTTGTATCGGTCTGTTCCTATTGTGTTTGTCTTTTTCCCAATTGTACAGCGCTGTGGAATTTGTTGGCACTTTATAAATGCCAATAATAATAATATAGAAATTAGAAAATGAATGAATTTTTGCTCCTTAAGGTAAACCTGTTGCGTAAATTCTAACAATGGCTAAATCCCTCCTAAATACATTGATTACATCATATCATAGAGATACATGATGTATTCGATGCAAAATACGGAGATTTACTAACTTTACCTCCATTCCAGTGCTGCCATGTCCTCAGCTTTGTGGATGTTACTCTTCATATAACACTTCTGTACTGTCCTAACTTTGTCCAACTCCTGTGATTTGTCCTGATTGGGGACACTTCCCCAAATATTGCATGCTTCCTCCATGATATCAACACGCTGACATTATTTGCCATTATTTGCCTATCCTATCTAGCGAGCGCTATCAGCATCTGCTAGAGTTACCATAGCAACCACAGAGCTTGCGCTGCAGTTGCTATGTGTGGTGAAGGACCAGCTGTGATAAGTCTTGTCTGCTCTCCGTTTTCAGTCAAACCGTTGGCACAGAGTCTTAAGAGCATAAACATATGGGAAAATAGCAACAACAGGTATCCTTTTCAGTGGGGCTGGTATTTTTTTTTTTAGAAAAGGCATCCACAGATTTGCATATCGTGTCAGCTGTGATTTGGCTGCAGAGGAAGGGCTGCAGTGACTTGGATTGCCACATTATCAATGAGCTGGGACGTACACATATTTTGAATGGATATTTAGAGGGAGAATCCCAATCAGCGCTGTGGGCCTAACGCACCGGGGAATCCACTTTTTTTGTAAAACTGCTTAAAAATCAATTGACAATAATCTGAAGAAATGCTCGTGTAGCTGTCTACCAATACAATGTAGTGGATATAGTGCGTGGAGTGTTCCTTTAAGTAAAATGTAGCCAGCAATGTATATAATTATTTACCGGTAATTGTAATTTGCTTGTTGGATTGCAACTAAATCTCTTTTATGATTAAGTAATTAACAGATCATCACCTTCTGAAATAAAATACCCCATTATTTATAGGAGACAATCAATTGTTGGTATGGGCAAGGATATATTCCCCAATCGTTTTGTTCGATAGAAATTAATATAGGCCGGTTATGAATATACAATGTGATGATTGCTGCATATTCTACTCTTGTAATGATTTGATGCAGTAAATATGATATATAATAAGTATTGGTTAGCATACTAGCACATAGCTCAATATAAATGGGAATCAATACGCAAAGCCAATACAGATATATTGCAACGGATGTTAAGCTTTTGTAGAAATGCTAATGTAAGGACTGCGTGGTACTATGGTGAATTAGAAACATTTAACACACAGACACCAGTGTGTGCTTATGACAATATTGTTGAGTTTTGCGCAGTAGTATAACCTTTTAAGGTATCTTGCGGTAAAGTAATCAAGTGATAACAGATGTTGCTTTTCAGGAAAGTTCTAAATAATGTGCTGTAACCATGGAAACCAACAGAATGTCTGCTGACATCTAGCACTGCGTTCCAGGATAACACTTGTTTTGCCTTAATAAGCCTCTTGACCTCAAATTCCAGGTACATCTAATAACAATCACAGGCTGAAATATACAATAAGAAAACAATGTTCTGCTCTGGGGAATTTGGAACAGTAGCTGTGGGAGAAGTGTACACTTAAAAAAAAAATTTATGTAGTTTTTGACACATTTGTACAACTGGGCACAATATAAATATGCCATTTGTCAACACAAATATTCACATATGCACGAATAGCAAGGTCAACTTCAGGTAAGTAATATTATATTTATCACTGAAAATATGGCTAAATACTATCATTATTTTGATCAAATATATGAAAGTGTTCTAAAAAATGACAAATTCATTCATTGTAAATTCTGCCTGTTTTCGCATAAATTTCTGATGGAAAAAGAAACTAAAAGATTGAGAAATGTATAGTGCTGTTTGTCTGTCTTTCTCTGTCTGTCTATCTATCTACCTATCTATCTCTGAATCATTGAACGTATTTAGTTATATTAATCTATATTTAACTATATTAAGTGGGCTAAAATGAAAAAATAAAATCCATTCTCAATTCCACACAATTCGTGGTTCAGGGAATAACCTTGAAAGTCTTAATATTCATAGAGTCACATGTTCCGGCTGCCTGACACACAGTATGCTTTGTATTGTTTGTACTCATACCAAATGTGTACACACCAACAGCAGACACAGGCAGTTTCATTCCTAAAAGACCAGTCACCAAGACACTGTAAAAACAATGCTGTCACTCTGGGAATTGCATTGTTGTGTGATCATGAACGTATTTGACCTGAGCCGTGATGCTCTCTTATAATTTGTACAAATGCAACGACACATTGCATCAGTGTAAACAATGTAATTATTTATTTACCTGAAAATTATATATGTGTTTGTATGTATCTGTCTTTATTGTCTGCCTGTCTTTATTTATCTGTCTACCCAGCTGACAAATTCCCTGAAGAAAATAGGCTAAAGTAGATAACTTAAATAAAAAAATCTACACCTCATATCTCATATCTAAAAGTAGTAATTACCATTATTAATCACAAAATGAGGGACCTTTAAAAAGTGACGCCCTTTTGACCCTTAATAATCAATTATTAATTTTGGCCATGTTATATATAGTACATAAACTACTACACGTACATTGTGAAATATCCTCATGGGATATTCTTCTTTCTTCAGGGACATTTTTTGTGTTATATTAAAAAAATGAGCTCTAGTATCATCGGGTAAGTACAAAGGAAAAATCTCTAGAGAATCGAGCTCTGGGAGCACACTGTCCACCTGATACTCTGGGATTATTGTAAAGACTTTGAGACTCAAAATGTGATCCACAAAGTCTAGACCAGTGATGTCTGCTTGTTGGCTCTCCTTTTGCTATGTACTAAAATATACCAGATTTTTATTCATTCAAATGTAAAATATCTACCAGCATTTGAAATTAGCAAAGAGAAGCGTTTTATTTTAGGGGGTAAGGCTGGAGATGTGGTAAGAGGCGGGTACTTTCGTCTGGACAGTCCCAAATTCAGGTTGCTCTCCTGCTGTCCTACATTTGGTTTCTCTGGTCCCACTTTTTGCTATCCCCAGAAAACGCCATGCAAACTGTACACAGGAGATGATTTAGTCCATGGTCAGAAGGCCTCAACAACCCTGAGTGGGGCTGGCAATTGGGATGGTCAGACAGCCTGGCTGTCACAACCCCTTTTTGGGCTGAAATCACAGCTTATGGCATGATCAGTGGCATGACTGACATCACTGACATACTCCCTACAAGCAGGCCTGCCAGGTACTGATGTCATATCTCCCAATGTTGGAAGCTGTGGTTTTAAGTCACTTCATGACCCACCGATGTACATTTCTCTGAATCAAAACGTAATTTAGGACAAGACTAACTTTACTGAAACCAGTAACTTTACTGAAACCTTGTTAGACCCACACAGTGTATGTATAAAGACTGTTTACCGGGTTTTATTGCTGCAAAGCTCTCTTATGCACAGGATACACACACAAAATGGCAGTCTTAGAAAAGATAACTACTGGGATGAAAAGTAGCACTTGGGATTTGGGCCCAAGAGAGGGAATGCCTCTCCTTAAGACGGCCACTTGAGAAGTATATGGCTGTTTAATTAACATTATTAACATAGTCCACAATAAATAGCGTGTCAAACATTAGCCCACAGAGGTCTAGACAGACCTGACTGTATATTTGTGATTATTCCACCTGACACCAGTGAAACAAAATGTAAATAAAATACAACGTAACATATAGGGACACAGCCTCCCAAAGTTACCTTGCAAGTGGTAACCAACCACAACCGATATGTATATATACAGAATTTAGGGATCTTGCTGGTGAAGCTATAACTAAAAAAATAACATAGTGCAATAATGTCTGATAAACAGAAAATGCAAATTCTCAGTTGCACTCACAGATAAAGATGATAACAGCGCCTTGATTGTAGTAGGGGGATAAAATACCTCCTTCGGACTTCTCTCCGGAACGGTCTATTTCAAACACCAACAGTGATAACCAGAGTATTCTTCCAAAAAGAGGATTTATTATACAGACTAAAATAGTATACAAAAAATGTGTAAAATATGGTGGTCCTCCGCGTTTCGTTCTCACATGAGAACTTCCTCACTGACCCATACAAGTAAAATCAGTAACAATGTAATGCAAAAAAAAAATCACATATTTACAGTGAGCAGGAGTGTATTTACATATATACCATGTGTTCATTGTGCGTATGTTCAGATTACAATCAGCTCTCTGATAAACCTTTTTCCATGTCGTGCTTACTCCATCTTAATGCTTCTGCCTTCACAACATGTCAGATATGTCCACAATGTTATAGATACTGCTTTCACTTCAAAGCCTTTACTTTCAAAGTTTTGCTGTCCATAAAGCCTTCAATAGCCCCTACGCTTCCATATAATCAAGGCTGAAAAACCTGATAGTCAGCTTACCAAGACTGACTTATGGGATCTTTCCAAAGCTCAGCTCTTTCTTGTCCCCTTAAAAGCTAGTCATTAGTTGGCTTCTACAGGTCACTCCCTAAGGTGTACCTTGAAATTGCCAAGTATAATCTATAATTTTGGATACACCCTTCATAAGCTTCAGCCATGGGAGCTATCTCTATACTAGAGTATTTTTTTATATCTAGTAGCTATAATCTGCATTCTGTGAATTTTTATTTACCGATTTACGAAGAATTGATTACAAAAAAAGGAACCACGTATTGAAAATGTGCATGGTCTGATGACATAACTGATGGGGAAAAGGTATGCTGTATATTGTATGTTACATCATTTTTTAATTTTTTTTTGTCAATCACTTTTTATTTGAGGCAATAAGAGTTTATAGTACAATAGTAGCGGAGCAACAGTATACACATAAATATTTAATCAAGTCATATAGAAAATATATCATGAATAGTGGATAGATACACAAGCATTCAATACTCTACTCCTGGTAATATCAGCCTCATTTTAAATGATAAACCGCAAGCTTGGCTCATGTGTCTAGGTATTAGAAGAATAAAATATTAACAGGCTTAGGTGCAGGATTAAACTCAAAATATTTCAGTAGGTAAGTATAGCTGTAAGCTCGGATAAGGGTAGCTGATAACATTGAAAGTAGTGGTGGTGTGGTTAAAGCTACTACCTCTTAATGTTGCACACATGATAGTAATGAATGTAATGACCACTGGGACAAGGCATTGCAGCCATAAAGAGCATTGCTATCTGAGTATAGGGACAGTTCAATAATAAAGTTTGAAGGCAACATGTTGGAAAACCAGTGTCTCCTCTCTCTGCCGCCACGATTGCTCAAATTCACTGGGCATTCCTCTGCAGGTAGTAACCCGAACCACATGTCAGCAACTCTGTGTCCTTTTGGCTCCAGGAATGAATGGGAGCCTGTGCCCCATGTCCATGGATCCCCTGGCCTGCGGTAGGATGATCATGGTCCCGCAGGTGCACCGGGTTACAGCTCAACCCCTGGGTGTATGGATGGCTAGCTGGGGACATTCCCGATTGAGTTCCAGGCCCAGGAGAGGGACGAGTGATTGTGACAGCACTCCGGATCGGCCTTGCAGCAGGAGAGGTGAGTTCAGATGGTCTGCTATAAATGTGATGCCAGAACTTTTGGTAGCCTGCATCAAATTTAGCAAGAATATGTTCCATTCACTACTGGCCTAGCGGGCCTCCATGGTCGTGGTGAGTATCTTGTTCGGTAGCCATTTTGGTAAGGCCACACGGCTCTGAGGGCTTTAAGGAGAGCAGTGTTTTACAATCTCAGTGGCGACCGGGATAACCCACGCTGGACTGGGGGGAAAGGGGGTAACGGGGCTTCAAAGGCGAAAAAATGGTTGGTGCGCGCCACCTTTGGAGATTGGCTACCTCTCACCCAAGCTTGCGTACCAGCCCAGCTAGGCCTCAAGCAGGAACCAGGCAGCTGAATTGCAGTATCGGAGCTTCATGCATATCCAGAGGAATCATTCGATGGGCTGCCGCTTCCCCGTCATGTATTGATAAGTTACAGACTCAAAAGTTTCAATATAATCAGTACTAATTCAAGTTTTCATTGAGGAGCTCCTGCTACACACATCTGCCTCGGTCAGTGGCTAGACCCCGCATTAAAAGGGCTTTAAAGCCGTTGCGGCGGCATAGACAGCCGTAACGGCTTGCAGCCACTGGAGGTCCGGTGCACTTACCTCCGCCGCGATCCTCTTCTGGAGGGATGCCTGACAGCCAAGGTAGCCCTCCCCGGCAAATGAGGCCCCCGGGGGCCATGTGATCGCTCTCAAAGAGCGATCAAATGGCCCCCTATAGCTGGCTGTGGATCTGCCAGCAGGGGGACTGTCTGAAATGTCAGACAGTCCCCCTGCTGGTGGGAAAGTAAAAAAAAAATAATTAGACATGTGCAAAATAAAATAAATTTATTTATATATATATATATAATATATGTATATATATATATATATATATATATATATATATATATATTATATATAATATATATACATATTATATATATATATATGTAACATCATACAAAGTGTATTTTAATATTAATATAAGTACATATATTACTATTAAAATACACTTAGAATGACGTTACATATATTTAATATGTATATATATTATATATATAATAGATATATATACACATATTATATATATATATATATATATATACGTATAATTACAATAATAAATAGATAAAATAATAAAATAAATAAAATATTGAAACAAAATTTAATATAAATTATATATTCATTTTCATTCTAACTGTATTTTGTTATTAATATATATATATACATATATATATATATATTGGTAACAAAATACACTTAGAATGATATTCTATATATCTATCTATATATAAAATACAAATAACCGCATATATATATATTTGTGCTCGGAATTTAAATACGTGATGGATAGTAACTGTGAGCAAAGTTGGTTGTGGTGTGCCGAAACCAACGTACGAGTGGGCCTGTAAATAAAAGAGGGCCCACCAAGGATAATGCAGTTAAAACAGGGTGTAGGTGGGTGGGGACAATCAGCTGAGCGGCAGCGGTGAGTAGGGGCTGGGAGCTTAAGTAGGGGACTTACTCCTCCCACAAATTCAGGCCTAATGGCCTTTCTACTTGTGCTCGGAATTTAAATACGTGATGGATAGTAACTGTGAGCAAAGTTGGTTGTGGTGTGCCGAAACCAACGTACGAGTGGGCCTGTAAATAAAAGAGGGCAAAAAGATAAATTCGAGAAAATACACACTTTATTGCATTTTACAAGACCAAGTTTCTGAAAGCTTGGCGAAGCTCTTTCTCTGGTTGCGGAATATATGCGTTATATATGGAGGATTTCCATCGCCCGAGCCTTTTGATGATGTGGACCGGTGCGTTTGTGCTTGAGGCTGCTGAGGCGGCTCCTATGCGGAAGGAGTGCCCGGAGAATGCAGCCGGATTGTGTCCGAGCTTAGATAACAGGGTTCTGACATGTGACATCAATTTTGCCGTGGTAAGCGGGTGCCCTTGTAATGTTAAGAGCGGAGAGTCTGGCAGGTGAGTGCGAAAAGTAGACCGTAGTTGGTCGAGAACTTTCACCGGACACCAGGCATTATCAGTAGGGAAGAGAGGAATTATTGTAGGATGTATTGACCGGTTGGTTTTAGTGGTAGGGATAGAGAGGAGGTAGTGATCCTCTACCTTGGTGAGGTGTGAAGTTTTAAGGCATCGTGCGATATCTCCTTGACAAATCACTGTGAACTCTCTAGGTCTGAGAAAACCGTAGAAAGCGAGATATATGGCAGATTTTATCACCGTATTGGTGTAGCTATCAAATGGGGCTGTGTCAAGGAGATTGCTAAGAGACCTGAAGATAGGCCCGTCTATGGGTAATCTAGTGCTTGCGAGTGGTGGTGAAACCTTAGATATACCTTTCAAGACCTTTTTTATGGGGTATGAAGACAAAAAGGGGGTGCTGTTAGGAAAATTGGTGAGGCTGTGGTGCTGAACCCCGGTGAGGTAAAGTTTAATGGTGTTGTGTGACAGATTAAGGTGTAGGTGGCAGAAAGAGGCAAAAGACACCATGGTTTGGATAGAAAAGTCACCTTGTAGCCCGAATTCTGCAGTGAATTTGTTAAATATGTTAAGTGCCCTATTGTAAGTGATAGCAGTGTTGGGTGATAATGCTTGGTGAGTGAGTGATCTAGCGTGAAGCAAGAGTGTGCTTAATCCAATATTAGTTCGTGAAACCGTGGTGTCCTGGATGGCTGTTGGTGAGCTGCTGGGAGTGCCTGAGAAAATGCCTGGAATCGAGAACGAGAAAGAGCGTCAGCGGCGGTGTTGTGAATACCCGGGATGTGAGAACATACTAAGTGAAACTGATTGGATGCTGCCAGCCAGGTCAACTTGCGAATCAGCCGCATGATGGTCAGGGATGATGAGCGCCTTTTGTTAATAATATCGCAAGCTGCCGAGTTATCTGAGTAGCATTTTACTGCCTTGCCGGACCAGAGATGACCCCAGGTGTGTGCGGCCGCCACAATGGGGTAAATTTCAAATAGGGTTGAGGTCTCCCTGAATCCTGGCAAGGCATCCGTCTCAGTGGGCCAGTGGCCCCTAAACCAGTGGTTCCCGAAAATGGCTGCGAAACCGGTGTTGGCTGCTGCGTCTGTGTGGATGATGGGTGAAGAGGTGGAGAGAGGGGGATAAACATGGAGATACCATTCCAGTCTTTCAAAAACTTCCCCCACATAGCCAAGTCAGCCTTGGCGTGGGGGTCCAAAGAAACTGTGCCGGAGTCCGGGACTCCATGGAGCAGGCAAAGAAGTCTGGAAATAAAAGACCTTCCCTGCGGAATGATGCGCATGGCGAAGTTCAGAGATCCAAGAAGGGACTGAAGTTCTCTCCTGGTGCAAACGTCATTCCGC